TATGCTTTACAATACAATGACTTTTTTATGCCTTGGTAATATGGCCTTTTTTCTGAATTTTTAGAACTATACTATCATGTTTTTATGACCTTTTCTGCCTTACTATACTATGACGTTTTTGTGACTTTTAATGACTTCCTATACTATGACTTTTTATGTCTTACTATACTATGTCGTTTTTATGACTTTTTATGCCTGACTATACTATGACGTTTTTATGACTTTTTATGCCTTACTATTCTATGATATTTTTCTGCCTTACTATACTGTGACGTTTTTGTGACTTTTTATGCCTTACTATACTATGACGTTTTTATGACTTTTTATGCCTTACTATACTATGACGTTTTTATGACTTTTTATGACTTACTATATTATGACTTTTTATGCCTTACTATACTATGTCGTTTTTATGACTTTTTATGCCTGACTATACTATGACGTTTTTATGACTTTTTATGACTTACTATATTATGACTTTTTATGCCTTACTATACTATGTCGTTTTTATGACTTTTTATGCCTGACTATACTATGACGTTTTTATGACTTTTTATGACTTACTATATTATGACTTTTTATGCCTTACTATACTATGTCGTTTTTATGACTTTTTATGCCTGACTATACTATGACGTTTTTATGACTTTTTATGACTTACTATATTATGACTTTTTATGCCTTACTATACTATGTCGTTTTTATGACTTTTTATGCCTGACTATACTATGACGTTTTTATGACTTTTTATGACTTACTATATTATGACTTTTTATGCCTTACTATACTATGTCGTTTTTATGACTTTTTATGCCTGACTATACTATGACGTTTTTATGACTTTTTATGACTTACTATATTATGACTTTTTATGCCTTACTATACTATGTCGTTTTTATGACTTTTTATGCCTGACTATACTATGACGTTTTTATGACTTTTTATGACTTACTATATTATGACTTTTTATGCCTTACTATACTATGTCGTTTTTATGACTTTTTATGACTTACTGTACCAAGACGTTTTTATGAGTTTTTATGCCTTAAAATACTATGACGTTTATGACTTTTTATGCCTTACTTTACTATGACTTTTTATGCCTTACTATACTATGTCGTTTTTATGACTTTTTATGCTTTAAAATGCTATGAAGTTTTTATGCCTCACTATAAGAGGACGTTTTCATGTCTTACTATACTATGACTTTTTATGCCTTACTATACTATGACTTTTTATACCTTACTATACTATGTCGTTTTTATAACTTTTTATGTCTTACTATATTATGTCATGTTTATGACTTTTTATGCCTTTTCATGCCTTACTATACTATGACTTTTATGCGGTACGATATGTCNCTATACTATGACTTTTTATGCCTTTTCATGCCTTACTATACTATGACTTTTATGCGGTACGATATGTCGTTTTTATGACTTTTTATGCCTTATTATACTATGACTTTTTATGTCTTACTATACTATGACGTTTTTATGCCTTACTATACTGTCGTTTTTTTGACTTTTTATGTCTTAATATACTATGACGTTTTTATGACTTTTTATGCCTTACTATACTATGACGTTTTTATGCCTTACTATACTATGACGTTTTTATGCCTTACTATACTATGACGTTTTTATGCCTTACTATACTATGACGTTTTTATGCCTTACTATACTATGACGTTTTTATGCCTTACTATACTATGACGTTTTTATGCCTTACTATACTATGACGTTTTTATGCCTTACTATACTATGACGTTTTTATGCCTTACTATACTATGACGTTTTTATGCCTTACTATACTATGACGTTTTTATGCCTTACTATACTATGACGTTTTTATGCCTTACTATACTATGACGTTTTTATGCCTTACTATACTATGACTATTTATGCCTTACTATACGGTGACGTTTTTGTTTTCCTTTTTAAACCTTACTATACTATGTCGTTTTTGACTTTTTATGCCTTACTATGCTATGTTGTTTTTATGCCTTACTATACTATGCCGTTTTTATGAATTTTTATGCCTCACTATACTATGTTGTTTTTATGAATTTTTATGCCTTACTATACTATGTTGTTTTTATGCCTTACTATACTATGAGGTTTTTATGAATTTTTATGCCTTACTATACTGTTGTTCTTATGCCTTACTATACTATGAGGTTTTTATTAATTTACATGCCTTACTACACTATGTTGTCTTCATGCCTTACTGTATTATGACGTTTTTATGCTATACTATGTTGTTTTTATGACTTTTTATGCCTTACTATACTATGTTGTTTTTTTGCCTTACTATACTATGCCGTTTTTATGAATTTTTATTCCTCACCATGTTGTTTTTATGCCTTACTATACTATGCCGTTTTAATGAATTTTTATGCCTTACTATACTATGTTGTTGTTATGCCTTACTGTACTATGACGTTTTTATGACTTTTTATGCCTTATTATACTATGTTGTTTTTTTGCCTTACTATACTATGACTTTTTTTTAACCTTACTATACTGTTACGTTTTTATGACTTTTCATGCCTTAATTCAATATGAAGTTTTTATGACTTACTGTAATATGTTGTTTTATTATGCCTTTGTATACATGATGTTTTTATGACTTTTTATACCTTACAATACTGTGATGTTTCTGTGCCTTATTATACTATTAATTTGTATGCCCTACTATACTATGTTGTTATGACTTTTTCTGCCTTACTAAACTATAACTTTTTTTACCTTACTATACTATGACATTTTTATAACTTTTTATGCCTTTATATATCATAAAGTTTTTATGACTTACTGTAATATTTTGTTTTTATTACTTCATTATAGTTTTACCTTATCAATATGTAAATGTATGAATCAAACTCTAATCAGATCATCTGCTCCATAAGAGGAACCTGTGGTGTAATTGTGAAGTTTTTTAGACCTACTACAGTATGTATCGTTAATGAGTTGTCATGTTCACAAGAAAAATCAGTTTCCCTCTGATGAAGCCAAACAGCTCATTAATTAGCAAACATTTCTCATGCCAACATGTCTGTCTCTTGCTTCCCACATATCTGGTATCAATTCAAACATGTTAGAGTTGCAGCAGTTTATAGGAAATCATAATTCACTCATTCATATTCAAATTTATGCAGAAAAGTACTCCAAAATTTGATCAGATCATCTGCTTCATATGGAGTAAGAAGTATCATTCATGAGTCATCGTGTTCAGAGAGTCACAGACTCCAGCAGGACGACATAATGTCCAACATACTATGAACCATGGTGGGAGGTCATGATAAAGACATAATTATGAACACAAACACACTGAAATGTAATGATTTGTATATAAAAAAAAAATTCTAAAATAATTCTGTTTTAACACAGAAGTGAGATGAGTCAGTAACATATAAAAAGGTATATAAACTCACCTTCTGAGGATTAGCCAATAGGAGGACCTGGGAGGTGGCAGATGGAGGCAGCAGAGGGTTGTAAGGAGGTAGGTGTGTCCCTGAGGCAGGTTGAAGTTTCACCAACATGGTCTGCAGGACACGTATGAAAAAGAGAATGAGCTCTATATTCATCTGTTCACCTGTTACCATCATGTTTGTGCACAAGACTGAAAATGATGTACCCAAAATAAAGAGGATACTGCTCTTGTTTTACAGTCATAACACTGGTCTCACTTGAAAGGTGACACTTTAGATTTTACAACAAAAAAGAATGAGTAGAAGAGACAATAAACCAACGTTACAGAGGCACAAACATGTTAGAAATGTAAGGTGTTTGTGTGCCAATAGAAGGACCTTTTGTGTGGAAAACCAATTCTGTGTCACCATCTGTTGCAGTGATATGACGTTCCTAAAATGCTATGCACAGATAGAATGAGGATAGTTAGAGCTTCCTAACAATGTCTGATTTGTCAAGTGTGAAGATTAAGTCCGGTACAGACCAAAACACACCTAAAGTAACACCAAGGCCAAAGTGTCCCCTAGGTTGAATGGTGCACTTTAAAGGGTTAAATGAAAATGAAATGAAATGAAAAACTGGCCATTATGTAGATACATACAGCTGAAAGTGCTGTATAATAGGAAAAACAAAATAAATATAAAAGTGGTGGAGGACTGGCTCCAGTAGGGGGCACCAGAAGCATTAAGGTAAAATAATGTTGATTAACAGTCTACCAGAATCTTCTCATATAGTCCAGCGAGTAACAGTATTTGGGATGAACCTAAACAGATCATCTGTAGAGCATCTGTCTGGGAACACAAAAGGAGGAAAGGATGTGCCAGCAGTAGAGCCACAGCAGGTCTAAACTGTACTAAAGCAGTGTCTACAGTGTATACTTGACTGTTGGAACCACATACAAGAGCACAATACACTTTTCTCACTCTGAATGAATATACAGTACATACTATTTTTCAATTATTCAACTAATTGTTCCATTTTTAAAATGTGAAGAAATAACCATTTCAACTTCAGAGTCTTGTTTTGTCTAAACAACAGTTTAAAATCCTAAAATATACCATTTACCATGATGTAAAACAGCAGAAAGCAACCGGAAGAAGCTAAAACAAGCATATGTGCTTCATTTTCACAAAACATTTATTAACTTGTCCATATGACTGATTAATCACATTGTGTCAGCAATAATATAAACATCTGATCAGCAGTAAATTCAACAAGACATTTATTCTGTTCAACATGTCAGCCACAACAGGATTAATCTAAGTTCCCATGCAGTTTGAAGACGTTTTCAAGTTCTCAACTTCAAAACTGCATTAAAAAAACATCAACATTTTTATTATTATATATTATCTTTCACACTTTATTTTGAAAAGAGACTGTTGTTACCTTTGGAACGGCAGCTTGAAATAGGAAGTCTTTCACATCAAGGGCAGACGTATTCACTGTGGAGATGACGACCACGGCGACACCTGGATGGCCTGGTGGAGAGTCTTTGGCGAAATGGAGAGAGACGTGGACCCCGCCCTGATCGTATAGAGTGATGGGCTCCAGATGACCTACCACAAAGAAGAGAACAACAGACGTTTAGAGGAGTGGCTGTGAATAAACCATTTGTAACAGTGTTAAACAAGCTGTCTCTCCATATAAACTATAGTTCTCAGACTTTGGGGACGTACTGGACTTGATGGTCTCCATAGGAACAAAGATGTTTTTCAGTAACTGTGGGGGACACACGCCTTCCCCAGACATGCCATTTGGTTGTGTCTGTGTCTTGTGCGGTGATCCTGATCCAGTGAACTGTTGATTTTGAGGGAGTGACCTGATCGGAGAAGAGGTAGAGTCAGTTCACTACTAATCATTAAAAATAATAAAGCCAGAGGACAGTGAGATACAAATTAGAGCAAAATGCTTTAGTTCACTGTTTGTCTCATAAAATGTTTTTGTACAATAACAAATATTGATTTTGTTTATAGAATCAATTCTGATGCAGTCAGTCCTGCTGCAATACAATATGTTAAAGCTGCATTTTAAACCCCGAACTAACTAATTAATATTCATGTATACTGGGATTTCTACCGATAAAATCATTTCACTTTCCCTTCTTTACCAAATCATTATTAGGGCCGAGTATTTTTCCGAGCTTGTCCATACCAGGGCTGATACAAAACCAAGTTTCTATACTGTTACCCAAACAAAACCTCAATACCTTACTAATACCTACATATGAACATGTTTCTACTTTTTTCTATTTAACACAATAAGATGAAATAGTCAAATACTTCAGAGTTAAATTTGATCTTAGCATGAAGCATCCTTGCAAGAGGTTTGCATATATAGAAATATATAGAAAAGCATCACATTCTCACATTTGAGAAGCTGGAACCAGAATCTTTAGCATTTTATGTTGCCAATTAATTATCTGTTGATCAATTAATTGACTATTTATTCTCTCTAAATAAAATAAATTACCATTTAATGTGCCACAAAACACACAGTGCACCAGAAAAAAGCAGGAAATTGAAGATGGATGTAAAAGAAGCAGGTTTCAAAATTTTCTACTGTAATTTTTGTAATTGTTTTTGAGGAAGGAAATGTTCTCAACATTCAACACTCAGTGTGTATTTGCTCTAAAGAAAACACAGGGCCCCTTTAAAACCAGGAAATATCAGATCCATTTCAGTCAGGACTCAACAAGCACTGCCCTTGACACGCAGCTCTAATCACTGAAATAAGTCAATCAACCAGCACAGTCTCAACTACACTTGATAACAGGAATAGGATTTTCAAAACCCACATAATGTGAGTTTATTTAGACAAATCTAAACCCAGAAAACTGCCTTAAAATAATCCACTCGAGAATCTCCGCTTCCTTCCTCTCTACATTCTTACCAAACATTCGTCCCATTTGATGTGGAACTCCTCCCCCCACATCCTCGAGCTCTCAGCAAAAGGCCTGTCCCTCCATTCTGCTCAGCATTCCTCATCTGAACGTCTCCATTAAGCTGAAAGGATAAACTGTGTTACACACTTTTCCAAATAAAATCTTTATTTCTAACCTTAGATTCAAGCCTCACCTGCATTAGTTCCTCAAAGTACGACTTTGAAGTCTCTTGAGTCTGTTTCGAGATCTTATTATCTAACTCTGTAAATACAGGACACCACATCATTAGATCATGAAACATATTCACCACTGTTATAGAGAGTAAACTAGAAGTAGGAACAAATGGAAGTCTACCTAATTCAGTAAAGTCTTGGTCAGGTGCTGGTCGGAAGGCGTTCTCCAAATAAGAGGGGAGGAGGGGTGAAGAGGACTCGAAGGTCAGTGCTGAATCAGCTTTTCTGCGAGTCTGTGGTGAGTCTAGTGCTGAGAGGTCGATGAGGTGGTAGCTTTTAATCTCTCTGGGACTCGTAGGAGCTGGAGGAACATGAAGCAGCAAGATCAAATACAAACAGAACAGAGAAGCCAAACAAGCACAAGGTCAAGGTGTTTTTCCACAGGGACTACAAGAAGAAAAAAATGTACAAAATGATGCCTACCACTGTTTTTATCCGTCACTTCTCCATCACTTTTACTTCTTTCTGTTCGACCGTTGCACTCTCTTCTCCCCACCTGGTCTTTGTAGGCGTTTACTGTAAGTGTTAGCTCGTCGTTAGCTGCCAGGATCTGCACCAGAGCAGCGTCGTCGTCCATTGTGTCGCTGGCCAGGCGGAACAGGCTGGGCCTCAGCCGGTCACAGCGCTCGTACAAGGCCTGCAGTGGGGAGAGGGACGGCTCCAGGGTTGGGTGGCTGCATTTACTGAATCTCACACTTCCACACAGACGCAGTCTCCTCTAAATCGAGGCTCCCTCTCAGTTTCCTCTACAAATAATGGGATCACTTTTTGTTTTCCACTGGGACAGATAGTATCTTCACATCAGCACCACTGTATCCCATTAACAAAGAGCAATTATCAACCAACCACCCATTTGTGCTACAGGGTACGTAAAACAAACACACCCTTAAGGCTGAAGCCAGCAGGAAGACTGTGACATAGCAGGAGCCACTTTCATATAGCAGAGTGAATTTGTTTATTGACTTAATCATCTATAAAGTCAAACTGTTTAAACTAATTACGTTACCATGATGATCCCCAGTTAAAAGTGACCCAGTATATGATACAGGAACACCTGAGTTAAGCCCAAAGTTAGCTGGATAACCTACTTGTTGTGCTTCATGTACAGACGCCTGGTTGACTGTCTGTTTGTATCATGTCCAACGTACCTTTGCGTCATCACTGGGCTTTATTGAGGTTCCGGTGATTGTGTGCTGGTTCAGCAGCTCTCTGAGCTGCTTGGTGCTGCTCTCCACCTCCTTCAGAGTAGATTCCCGCTTTAGCACTTTCTCTGCCTTCTCCTGCTCCTACAACACACACACACACACACACATACAATATGTATACCCGGCAGATGCAATTATTAATGCATAGATGTCTATCAGCCCTGCAGCACTCCTCACCTCTTGGATGGTGCTTTTAATGAGTCTGTTTGCAGTTTCCAGATCTTCAGGACGGGCACTTTTCAATAATCTGGCTAACATCTGATCACACAGGAACACATTTTAGCAGGATGAAACTTCAAGCTATAAGAGCAGATGTCCTGTTAAACACACACAAACACACACACCCACACACACCTGGGCCTTGTCCTCCTGGTCGAAAACAGACTCTGTGGTTCTTTGTGGTGGAGGAGCCATTATAAGTGCGTCTGGTAGTTTTGGATCTTTCTTCACAATACCTGAAATAATAAGGTAATAATAAGAAAGGTAAGATGCTTTTATTCTTTAAAAACAAAGGCCGTAATACAATGAAAGACATTCATTAATATCAGTCCTTATGTAATATATACATATAATATATGTAAACTGTAATATGTGACATGCAGATAGAATTTAAAAAAGTTCATGTCCTCTGAGACACAGACTTGAAAAAGTGTTGCTGTGCTGTGTCTATGTTGCACCCTGACCTTGTTTCTTCAGCATGCTGTAGGCTTCCTGAATCTTGGGTTCATCTTTAAGCCACAGTGTCCAGCCATAGAGCACCTCTATCACTCTGTCTTTAACTCTCTGCGGAGTCCAGGCGCCGAAGTACTGCTCAGAAAACATCAACCAGGTCAGTCACATCAGTGTCATTCCTCAGAAAGCAGCTGTTACATGGCACGTTCTTTTCTTAGTCTTTAACTTTGCAGTTAGATCAGATTTAAGTCATTTCCTCGTCCACAGAGTCTCATGTTCATCCTTTGGTATCAGACTGTATTCTGAGTAAACTGAGCCCGTTTTCTTTAAGTTTCCTTTCTGTGTTAAACTCAAACACAATCTCATTTGATTCATTTCAAGTCATTTTTATTCTATATACCAGAATTTGTTATTATAGGATATTTCTCGCTCCTTTGACATTTGTGTTCCTATTGTATGATCATAACTACGTGGTTAATCATTTGATATATTGTTCAATTGTTTTCCTATGGTATTTTGTATCTGTTTGAAATTGAAGCGCTCAGTGTGGTTTTGTTTACAGATTAAAATTAGTGTTTGGAGCTTTAGCTTTTGTTTATGGTTGCTGTCTTGTTTCTTTTCTCAACACTTGTTTTGTATTTTCCTAATGGCTTTTCAAATATATTTTTTATTGGGCAGCTTATTCTGATTTTACATTTTTGTTAATGAATTTATTTTGTTTGTTATAATAACTTGATTTTTCCTTGGTGCCTTGTATGAAGCACTTTGTAACTTTGGTTTTGAAGTGTTCTATAAATAAAGATTGTTATTATTATTATCGTGTCCAGGATTTGTGATGCTAACACCAAAAATACAACTCAACAGAAACAGCATTATTTAAATTGATCTGGTCTGATGAACGCCACTAGGCCAAATTGTTAACATGTCTGTCTCAGGTTGCACTGAATTCAGGTCAAGTGAGTTCTCAGAATCAGACAATAAAATAAATGACACTGTTAAAACAGGATTAGCACATGCAGGATTAGGAACCATTTTAAAAATCACAGTTTCTAATAACATGGTGCCTTTTGCTTCCAGCTACCACAAACACCTGTCTCTGTGAAATATGCGGTACCTTTGGTGTAATGAGTTTGATGAGCTCATTGAGAAAACGAAACTTGGCGGCTTCGCTGTGGAACCTCTTTCCGCAGTTGTTCATACACGCCTCGAGAACCTGGAAAGCACCAAATAAATCATCAGAATAAATCATCATGAACAGAAGCTTTAACAAGTGAAAATGAAAAAAAAATATAGACGACAATATAGGAAGAAAAGATTTTGTAGCTGCACGTTTGTGGTTTACGACGTTTAAATATCACATGACATGAGGAGCATGAAAAACAGGAAGCTTCTCTAAGATGCATGTTAAAGTGAAACACTGCAGCTTTCTCACAGACAACAAACCGTGTGGTGTCACAGCAGATTCAAAAGCAGATTCAAGCCCCTCATGTCACCATGTGGTAAAAGTTAGTCACAGATACCATTTACAGGATCGCTCTCTCTCTCTCTCTCTCTGAGTTAAAACAAAGGAATTGTTCTCAGTGAACGATGCGATGATAAATGTTGAATATGAGCCATGACAAATAGCTTTAAATAAAGTCAGATGTGTACTGTATGTGGTACCAAACAAGGATGAGTTTGCTTATTGTTGCAACTGACTTGTTGAAAGATTGAAAAAAAGAGCATTTTAAATTTAAAAAGAGGGGAAAATGAGTTGCCAGTTGCTTCTGGTAACACTAAAATTAGACAACAGATAAAAATATACTTGTAGAGTAGATCATCTGTGTATTTTATATGGAGGTGAGGAGTCTAATTACTTACAGTGAGCGCCTGCACAGCCTCTTTCTCCTGCGGGGACTGGATTTTATGAGCAAGAAGACGAATGGCTACCTGTGGCCTGAAAGCAGAAAATTAAACCTTTAAGTCACATAATTTCCACACACTGTCATGATTAAATACAGCTACTATAAGTGAAAGCAAACCAAAAGGAAGTAGGAACAAAGAAAGGATTAGATTTGTGCTTTAGACAATCTAATGCATTCACATTGGGCAGAGGAAAAGGGTCATAAGGTGAAAAGGTTCCCCCCGTCTCACTCTGGCACGATGATGCTTTAACTGAAAAGCTGTGATCGCAACATGGATGTGAAGCAACTCTTTCTCAAACACCACAATTGCGTTAAAGTAACTTCCAGAAGCAGGCGGCCAGCCCCAAAAACTTTAATTCATGTTCGTACGGTAGTTGAATAAAACAATGTGGAAATCCATGCATGGGTTGTGTGAGTGCTTAAAATGTTTTTCTTACCCATCAGTTTCCTGGTTGACGAGCTGGTAGAAGCCCTGGATGCTGTCCCACCTGTCCTCCTGATTATTTGGGTCTGTGGCCTGGTCTGGAGACCAGAGAAAAAAGTAAAAACGTGCCGCAATTAGATCAAACATACGCAAATACCTACATATGCAAAAATAGACAAAAATAGACAATTTAATGAGGAAGTGAAATTAAAGACAGACTTGCATTGAAAAAAGATTATGTTTACTTGGGCCACAGAATTTACATGAGGAGTTACATGTTCAAGTACTATATGCAAAACTTTAGTATGCAGTATGTACTGATGAGCACTCCAAAAGCAGAATGTCTTTGATTCTTGCTCAATAAATAACTTTAATCATGAGTAAAATTGCTGATTCATCTTGATTCACTTTCTGTCAATCTATCAAGTCAACTAATCATTTCAAGACTAAAGTAGAATGCCTTATGGCTAATTTGAGTTACTGCTAGCTATGCATGTTCATTTTGGCTGATTTTTATACTTTTTTAAACTACATCTGTCTGACAAATTGAGGAGGATTTACTTTGAATATTCAGATGTTGCACTAACCATGAGATGAAATCATTAAATACTGCTCTTCTAGCATAAAAATCTTTTACCTCAAATGGTGAGTCACTTTGAAAACAAGGACTTTGTCATTATGTAAAGAGTTTAAGAGACGTAAAGAGGATGATCTTTTTTTTCCATCCTGCTAAGCAGCATGCAAGTTCAACTGATTTGAATTAATATGGCTTAAACTGGGGATAGGTGACAACTTTAACTTCTTGTATCAAATAGAGCTGCAATATTTCTTTATTTGTGATTGTTTGGCCCATATAACATCAGGAAACAGTGTAAACATTTCCTAGACCACAAGGTGACATCATTAAATGTTCAAACCCATAAAATATTCATTTTAGTATAATGTAAGACAAGTAGAAGAGATATTATGGAACCATCTTTTTTTATTTTGATCAGCTAATAGATCAACCTACTAATCGTTGCAGCTCTAGTATTAACAGTCTGAAAAAAACAGTTTAACTTTTTTAAGATTTACTTAAATGCAAGTCTTTAACTATTACCACTGTGTTCCTCCACGGTGGTGTTGCCACGTTCACTGAGCAAAGTGAGTACAAACTTCATCCTACACTGTAGACATATGTATTTTTTTCCGCCATCGTGAACGCGCACAGCAGGAGCTTAGACACAACACAGCGCTCCAGCGCTGGGACGGGCACGCGCACGGGCTAAAGCAACTTCCTGTTCCATCCGATACTTTCTGCATCAAGACAAACTGATTTATTAAAGTTAAAATAAATCGACACACATGCATATTTACGCGCACGTGTAACGTTTTATTACGGTAATTGAGTCCAGCTGACGGTTAACGTAGCGTTAGCTAACAGAGCAGCGACAGTTGGTTCAGATATGACATGATAACGTTACGTTACGTTAGCTAGGTCCGATTTACAAGTAAAAGAAAAAAAAGAACAGCTGTTAAAAATTTCCCCTGCTCCCTGTTTTACTTACTGAGCCATGACTCAAAAGTTGCCGAGCTGTCACCGGTCGCCATCACCGTCCGTCTCCTGCAGGTCCAGAGATATTTACCGCTAATCTGAGAGTCTGTCTGTGGGAGGCGGAGGTGTCAAACTGCCGCTGCCGCTTGTCTTACTGTGGCGACATGTGACACTCACGCCCAGTCACACTCCTGACACACTAACCAGTTTATATGTCACACGCCCCCGCCCCTCCCCGCCCGTACATCTGCACCACGCTGTAAACCAGAAACTGAAGTACTGCATGAAGCCACCAACTTATATGAACAAGTAACAGCTGTGGAAAGTTAAAAAAGTAAAAAGTACTGAGAGATTATGTGTCCCTGGGCACAGACAGGTAACCCAGAGAGCCCCCAGTCCAAAATTGTGTCTGTCATTTTGCATCTCTATGTAGTTGTTTTGTTCAGCTGTGGTTGTTCTGCATCACTTTGTGTCACTTTTTTTGGTAATTTTGTGTTACTTTTTGATCGTTTTGCATCACTTTAAAAGGTCACTTTGTGGTTGCTGTTTCTTTGGGTTCATTTTGCATCTCTATGTTCACTTTGTGTCTCTAGTTGTTTTGCGTCTCTTTGATGTTTGCCACAGCCCCAAAGCAGAATACTCCCACACCCATGTTTAACAGTTGGCAAGGACTTCCTTTCATCAAATGCTCCAGACTTCAGACATTGACCTTTGTGGTGAGGTCACAGGTAAGGTTTCCCCCTGATATAACTTCCATGTAGACTCTTATTTGTGCATCAACGCTGCACAGTGGACTGGTGCACCACCGCTCCTGTGTCAGGGGAACCTTCCTGCAGCTCCTCTGCAGTCATATGGGCGTTTTGATTTTTGCAGTTTTATCCAAATGTTTTCTTGGTCTTCAAGATCTTGTCTGGACTTCCACAGTACCAGTTAACTACCTTTTCCTAATGACATTTTGAAGGAAATCTGAAGCTGGGAGCACTATGATATCTTTCTATAGCCTCCCCTGCTAATTTTGTAAGTTTACCCCCTTACAAAGACATGAACAGTCCATATTTTTTTTTATGGTAGCTTTATTGTAACAGAGAGAGAGAGACAGAATATCAACAAAAAATCCAGAAAAAAAACATTAAATAAAAGGTTATAAATTAATTTGTATTTGAATGAGTGAAATAAGTATTTGATCCCCTACCAACCAGCAAGAATTCTGACCCCCACAGACCGGTAATATGCCCATGAGGCAGTCAAATTAGTCCTGTCCCTTTAGTAAAGAACTCCTAATCTCAACTTGTTATGTGTATAAAAGACACCTGTCACAGAACCAGTCTCTTCCATTCAAACCTCTCCACCAATATGGGCAAGACCAAAGAGCTGTCAAAGGACGTCAGGGACAAGATTGTAGGAATGGGCTACAAGAGCATCAGCAAGAAGCTTGATGAGAAAGAGACCACTGCTGGCGCGATAACTCAAAAATGGAAGAAATACAAGATAACAGTCAGTCGCCCTCGCTCTGGAGCTCCATGCAAGATCTCACCTCGTGGGGTAAGGATGATTCTGAGAAAGGTGAGGGATCAGCCCAAAATTACACGGGAGGAGTTTGTTAATGATCTCAAGGGAGCTGGGACCACAGTCACCAAGGAAACCATTGGTAACACACTTTGCTGTAATGGACTGAGATCCTGCAGTGCCCGCAAGGTCCCCCTGCTCAAGAAGGCACGTGTACAGGCCCGTCTGAAGTTTGCCAATGAACACCTGAATGATTCAGAGAAGGCTTGGGAGAATGTGATGTGGTCGTCATGTTTCTCTGCTAAGGGTACAGGAAGACTTCACCGCATTGAAGGGCCGATGAACGGGGCCGATGAACGGGGCCATGTACCGTGGCATCTTGGCTGAGAACCTCCCGGCCTCGGCCAGAACACTGAAGATGGGCCGTGGATCGGTCTTCCAGCATGACAATGACCCAAAACATACGGCCAAGGCAACAAAGGAGTGGCTCAAGAAGAAGCCCATTAAGATCCTGGAGTGGCCTAGCCAGTCTCCGGACCTTAATCCCATAGAAAATCTGTGGAGGGAGCTGAAACTTCGAGTTGCTAAGCAACAGCCTCGAAACCTTCAGGATTTGGAGAGTGTCTGTAAAGAGGAGTGGACCAAAATCCCTCCTGAGATGTGCGCAAACCTGCTGACCAACTAAAAGAAAAAAGGGTTTCTCCAGTACTAAGTCACGTTTTGCTTGAGGATCAAATACTTATTTTATTCAATCAAATACAAATTAATTTACTACCTTTATTTAATGTTTTTTTTCTGTATTTTTTTTTGTTGATATTCTGTCTCTCTGTTAAAATAAACCTACAATAAAAATTATGGACTGTTCATGTCTTTGTAAGGGGGTAAACTTACAAAATTAGCAGGGGATTAAATAATTACTTCCTCCACTGTACATGTTCCATGAGAAAGTCAACAGTAATTAGAATAATTAACGACTTGTAATCGTTTTCACTTTTGACTGTACAATACATCTGTGAAATGGGGTTCGTTAAAACTGTTTTTCTGAAGTAAAGCACAGGATAATTTGCATAAAAATACCAAGGTACTTCCCAACCTTGAGTGCATGGCGTCTCCTGGTCCAGTAAAGTCTCACAGCATGAATAAAACAAACACATCATGTGTGTAAAATTAGTTTTCTACTGTTTTATAAAATATTTCTAATAATTCAAGTATTATTTAACTTATACCAGTGGGGTGCAGTTCAGTTTAAATGTGTCCCAGTTAGCTTTGGCAGAATCAGTGTGAGGTTAAACATTTAACTCTCAACATACAGGCCACGTCCTTAACAGCAGTTCTCGTCTTCAGGTCAACATCCAGCCACGAGCTGGCAGGTGGTCCAGTCTTTAACTAGTCTCTGAAAGCAGCATAAGTTTCTGGAATCGATGGCTGATCTCTGCAGGCCCCAAAGACACCATCATCTCGGCTACACTGGGACCTTGCTGCAGATCAGAGGAAGAAGATCAGTGGTCAGTGAAGTTATGCGTGTCGAACCAGACAAGTAATGCAACAGACAGTAAAGTGCAATCAGAAACAACTTCCTCTTTCCATATCCCTGCAGGGTTACTGTGGTGGCATTTCTCCGGCTTCAGTCATTACTAACATTTTAAAAATCTATTTTAGAGTTTACCTCGTCATGCCATGGATGGAAATTGAAAAAAAAAAAAAGGGACACTTGAAATTTTAACAGTCCAGCAGCAGGAACTTCTGAGTCTTTTTGTGATTATTGAAACCAAAAAAAATGACTGAATTTGCTGAGGTCACATTCGAAAGATACAACTGCAGAAATGAAAGTTGCAATGGAGCTGTAAAAAAAGATCAGGTGATGTAATTAGTTCCTCAAAGTTAAAATTATACTGAAATATCATAGTGCAGGTGATGTTCTTGAGTCAGTATTTAAAGACCAGTCAAAGACAAACATGTTCTTCTTTGTTTGATTTGTTTACTCAGAGCAGTCGACGTCAGTGAGACTCCCTGAAAGGCTGTGATTCCACTTTAGTCATATCACATCCAGTGGTTTGGATTGGACTGTTCATTTATTTATTTATATTCATATAATCTAGGAAAAGTATGATGAGTGACTAAAGTCATTGTCAGGATTAGACATAACTGCAAATTGTATTGTGAATAATGTAAAAAAAAAAAATAAAAAAAAAAAAAGCAATAAAAAGGACTTTTAGAACAACAGTTGCGGGAGGGTTTCCTGCAGCCGTGTTTCTGCAGAGTCCGCCTGCACACATTTAGTGAATGACCACCTCCACTAAAGCCCAGCACAGAATACTTCACTTTTACCATGATTAGCCTGTCCGAGACCAATTTTTGTGAAACAGAAACTCTTGTGCTGTCGAAGAATTGGCTCATCAGAATAAGTTATGTAGGTCACGCAATTTTGAAAAGCACCTCGACGCGGTTCTAGCTGGAGATTAACAAGTGGGCAGTTTTTTGCTGCATATCACAATCTAGTTTGTGAATGTCTCCAGGTTTTGCTCCAAGATGAAAGAAAGGAGCCTGAGGAGGATCAGGATTGACTGATTCATCAGGCTTAAACATCATACGTTCACTTATCTTTTTTTTTTTTTTTTTTTTTTTTGTCAGTCAGGAAATGTTGAAGGCAAACGGCTCAGTCAGTCACACACAGCTGGAGATGTGTGAAGAATGACTCAGCACACAAGCAGCAGCTGCTGAAGCTCTAGGTTAAAGGATGAGTCTGGTGATTTTCAACATTTGTCAACAAATCCCATCAAAACACTTAAACAGCAATAAATGTATCCACTAACTAGTACTGTGTGTATCCACAATCTGATTTAGCTTATTCCCCTGTGCCATAGAGCTCCCTTGTTTTCCCTTGATCAATATGAGGAGTATGTATGTCTGACGCACAAGAAGAAACTGTCGAATGTGATGGATTTGTGTAAGAGCTGGAGTAATCAGAAGAGGAGATACAACAGAGACGTGATAAGAGGGCGACAGGGAACACCGATGTTTCCTCATCGACCGATAGCGAGCGAGGCATTTCGCACCCCGAACAGAACTACGGGAGACTGGTGGAGCAGCTGCAGTCAGTGCTCAGAAATATGAACTGAGGCAGAATCTAGATGCTGCAATGAGTGGGACATTCAAGCCCAGAGTGTTGGACACTTTCCTCAGGGGGCAGAAAATAAACTGACAGCATCACACGGTCTGGACATTCCTACACACCAATTCAATTTCTAATGCCAACTTCACAAATAATAACGCTCACAGCGATTGTTCACATGCACAGTGCCCTCTGCATTACAAGAGCTACTCTCAAGACACTGTGAAAGACGTCGCTGTTATTAGTCTGTGGAGCTGTTTCTAAATAAACACAGTGCCCGTATTTTTCATGATGAAGAAACAGTCACCCAGTGCATGTTTTAATTTAATGATGTGTTTAAATAGACAACAAGGCAGCAGTGTGGCGCAGAGGAGTAAGCTAAGGTTCTGGATGCACACACAATACTTGTTATTAGGATAATATTCATTGTTGTTTTCGTGGGATTTATTGACAATAATCAAAATGTGGAACATGGCTGGCCTTATTCTTTAAAGTTAGTTTGAAGTTCAACACCTCCGGCCTCTACCAAACCAGTTTCAGACAGGAAACCCTGTGGATTTTACATCACCACCAGTCATGAAAATGAACATGTTGTCTTGAGATACCTGCAGACCGCTGAGAGTCAGACGTAATAGCTTCATCACTTCTCTGTACTTTGTGGCTTTCGTCTGTTTAGCCAGAGTCTTCAGATCTTTACTGAGCTGATCCACCGTCAGCTCCTCACCTCGCTCCTCTATCAATCTAAATGCACAGACACAGAAATGCTCATAATCCTGCTCAAACTGTGGGTGTAAAGTAAAGTGAAAACAGTTAGTGTTAATAATACTACATACTTTAACACTAATGAGGCAATGTGCTGGGCTTCTGCAGTGAGTGCTGCCACCTGCTGGCTGGAGACAGAAGGACGCACCCATAGGTAGGAATAATCAGGACTCACAAGCTCCTTCAGGGAGGATATGTGACCCTGTCAAGACGGGAAGAGAATAGTTTCAGTATTACAGACAGACAGGAGAGCAGTACTGACAAAGAAGAGATGTAGTTTGTTTTCATCAGCTGCATTTAGGCTCAAAATGCTGAGTAAGCAAACACACTAACTAACATTTAGCACGGTGAGGGCGTGGTGTGTATGTTTTGAAACATGCAGACACATTTGTAAGTATGCTCTTAAGGTTACCTTGCGAAGCTGCAGCACCCGCCTGATATAATCCTCATGTAGGACTTCATCCTCCTGGATCTCTGCTGCGTAGGCCTGCTGGATTTGCTCCTGCAGATCTTTTATCAGCAGAATGCACTGGTCCTCGTCTTCGATACGCTGCTGCAGGTGGATTCTGTCGCAACCGGACACATTACAGATATACAGATATGAACTGTAACTTTTATAACTTAAAAAGAACAAACAATTTGACCACATGCAGTTTGGTTGAACCACAAAAAGCTAAATTTACTTCAACAAGACATGCTAGCAGCCTTGTGAGGCTGTAGAGCTCAAAGACACAATTGTTGGATTGAGGGACAACTTTGCAGATTTTAGATCCTTAACTTTGACCTCAGGAAAGACTGTGGGGTGACTGCAACTAAAAGGGTTTATCCTCTGTACAGCAGCAGTTTAGGATATCTAGTACTCAGTTCTGCATTTATAGCATTAGCCTGTCATCATTAAAGTTAACACTGAGCTCAAATTACAGCAGAGGTAGACCAGAATTTAATCATTAGGTTCTGAAGCATCTTGTCCCGAGCTTTATTCTTGGACAAGGGGTTTCGGGCAGCTCTGCTAATACTGGATGTAATTTATCTAATAAACTACTAACAATGCTTCAGTAAAAAAAGCTTTTATATACTGTGATGGAATAAAACACTGTGATAAAGTTATTACAAAGTGCTGCCGAGTGGTCAGTCCAAGTATACACAATGTTCACTTTAGGACCAGATGAGGCCTCAGTGACAGAGACAGAGAGACAGTTGAAGAAAAAGAAGAAAGAAACAGACAAAAAAAGACAGGAATACAGGGAAGGACAGAGTTTTGACTTACCTGTTGAACTCTGGTAGTTTCTCCAGGTCTAACAAGGCCGAATGAGTTGTGATCTTTGAAGGATTAAACTCAGATATCAGCTCAGCTATCCTCCTCCCAATTCGATTGGCTGTAAGGCAACATGATATTAATAAATAACAATAAATATTCAGAGCTGATTTCACACAGTTTTTTTTTCTTTTTAATCACTATCTCCAGGTTCAATCTTAAATACAATTTAAGCATCCAAATAAATGTAATTTTATAGTCACTAATTCATCGTGTTCTTGTCTCTTTATCCTCCCTCTCTGATAACTTCTCCTTCACTCACTGTTGAATCCAGATCCACAGTTGGTGGTGATATCCAGCAGAGCCTCCGGCAGGATCCCGTCTCTCTGGAAGCTCTGGATGAATATATCCCCCTGCCTCTTGGACAGCTTACTACCGTCTTTGTTCATCAGGAGCGGCAGATGTCCAAAGGTGGGTGGTTTCCATCCGAGGGCTTGATACATGAGGAGATGTTTGGAGGTGGAGATGAGCCACTCAGACCCCCGCAGAACATGGCTGATCTTCATGTAATGATCATCTACTATGTTAGCGAGGTGATAGGTGGGAAACCCATCTGCTTTGATCACCACAGGGTCCCCCTCCACCTAGAGGCGAGGACAGAGGGTAGGAAAAGCTAAATTAAAAAAAGACAAACTTATTCTCAGACGCATTAGTCTTAAACTAAAACTCTTGTTAAATCATGATGCAACATCAGAGATCCTGGATTAAAATTAAATAAAAATTAAATTAATGGCAATAAATTTAACGGCAATTAAAAGTAATCTGAGAAAGTGGGGAAGTAATAGTCATCACACCTCATTTGATGCGTTACTCTATCCTACATCATTTAGTGTGTGTCCCACTGAATCAAAGAGACGAGGGACTACAGACATTTCAGGTGCTGCACATTCAAAACAGTGCAATCATCAGAAACCCGACCTGGGCCACTTCATGACGATTCCATCCAAAGATCAGGTCCTGAAACGGCTCGACGCCCTCTTCCAAACGAAACCTGATCACATGCGACGTTCCTTGAGCCAGCTTCTCCTGGACCTGGTCGGCCCGAAGGTGACGACACCTGTTGTCATATCTGCAGGGAAAGAGAAACACAGCCAATGTTTTAAATCTGACAAAACCATCCTGAAGTCTTGGTTGCATGTTATCTAACTCTGCGAGAATATGTTTGTTCACGGTATTTAGTCACCTTGGAGTCTGTCCGCTCCTCAAAGCTTCTTTTTTGAGCAGTTCCAGTCTCTGTGGGCTGCAGAAACAGTAGTAGGCGTGACCACTCTTGACAAGCTGCTGGGCTGTCTGACTGTACAGGTCTAATCTCTGAGACTGAAGGTATGGACCCACCGGCCCGCCTCGACGGGGACTCTCATCTGGAGGTATACCTGGCAGACGTGGAAATGGTGGCATTAAATTAATAAACCTTTATAATATATAGATTATTATTATATACAGACAAAACATCTGATGATCTTAATAGCGATTATCTACAATAAATAAAATCTGCAGTCATAATTCACAACCACAGCGCTTCCTACCGGCCCACTCCAGCATGTCCTCTATGGACTCTGCTGCTCCTGGTACCAGTCTGCTCTGATCCGTGTCCTCCAGCCGCAGGATGAACGCGCCTCCATACTTCTTTGCAAAGATGTAATTGTAGAGAGCAGTTCGGAGGCCTCCGAGGTGCAGGAAGCCTGCAGCACAAAGCAATGTATTGTTAGTGTGTGTATTGTTAACATCAAACCCCCAAATACAAATAGATATCTAAAAGAGGCTGGTTTTCACATGCAGGACAAAGAGAAATATTTTCACATGAACTGAATAGGGCTTGTTCACTTGACTTATCATAGTTGGAAAAGGAAGGGAAAAGTAGCTGTACTAAAAACATTAAGAATCTCTCCCTTAACTAAAACATCACAGTAAGGTTTGACAGTGAGTCAGCATTTGTCTCTTTGTTTTCTGTCTCACTGTAGCCCTTCTTCATCTCTCTGTGGTAGATTTGTGTCCCTCTGTAGTCGTTTCGCATCACTTTTTTAGTAATTTTCCTTCTGTTTTTAATCATTTTGTGTTTCGTTTTGATTTGAGGTCTGTGTGGTCCATTTATGTTTTTGATGAAAGCAAACTTAAACAGATCTAGACAGAACAATAAGTTCCGCTACGCTGTGAGGACCTTACCTGTGGGACTGGGTGCAAACCTGACCCTCACCTCCCCGTGAACCGTGGAGCAGCATCTTCTGACAGCGGCGTGCGACTGCAGTTCACCCCGCCACCTGTTTCTGACGCACTGGAAACCTCTGGGAGTGAGCACGCTGTTCAGGTAACACCGCTGACATGACCTCAGCCACAACGACATGATGACAGAAGGTCTCTGGGTGTTCTACCGAGAAGACACGCGCTTTAACGGTCACACCGGTGACGTGACGGGCACCATGCGACGGTTACCGAAACTGCATTTCAACAGACGACAACAAGACAGTAAAAACTAAACGCTATTACTGCAAAAGGCTTCACATCACAGGTGCAAATGATTGGGTCACACATGTTTATAGTCCATTGAATAATTTCATCCTTCGTCGAAACAAGACCGGAAGAAGAATTCAGCAGCCACGAAGCGCATACTGCCACCTAGCGGAGAGTGTTATTATTTCTACAGATTTAATTATACTACTGGGTAAAGATAGACTTCACACACTTAATTGATGACTTTAAATTATATTTTTTAAAGTGTCTTGAATATTAAAAGTGTCTTAAATAAAATAAGAAAAAGAATGTCTCAGTTTGCAGTTTCTTTTTTTGGTGCCTTTTGTTTTTGTAGCTTGTAGCCAACTTGCTGCCAATGATCTCAAAAATCAATCTCTTAGTCACTGAGAATATTCAGTCTCTGAAAATAAACTGTGAATAAAAAAGCTGCATAATGTCTTCTGTGGCTCTGGAGAGAGCTTTATCAAGCCCCCCTTGATAATATCACAGTGATGCCATTAAACATTATCTTAGTTACATATTTTACAAACTGGAGAGGATCAAGGGGCTGGCTGGAGCAGGTGAAGTGTAGCACGGAGTAGAGGCCTGAGAAGAAACCTAAAGGAGAAGACTTACATCTGACGATCATTAAGACAGGCGATCAAACTAACTTGCCACAAGGTGTAGAGTGGGAGGTGACTTAAGACCTCAGGCCGGAAGCTGGTGGACCACAAGGTCAGACCCACAGTAAAGAAAACAAAATAACTTGACGAGCTGACAAAGGGTGGCAGGAAACACCACTTTAAGTTGTGTGATAGCAGAGGCAGTTGAGGGAAATGTCATAGGATACAGAGCTGGAAGGAAAACACTGCAAAAACAAGGTTCTTGCCAAGTCACTTGATCACATGAGTTATTTCTTTTATAAACAATACATTTTCTGCTGTAGCGATTTTTAGGAAATTAGTGTCAGTTTCTTTACATACAGTAATACAATACTGCAATATCACTATCTTCTTCTCCGTGTGCAGATGACCACGGTGAGCCAAGCCAAGCTGAAATTTCAAATTTGTTGAACTTTGACCACTGCTTTAATGAACAGAAAAAGAATTAGCCCACTTGTACTTCTAAATTGTTACAAAAGTGTATCTCCCTAAATACCTAACTATTCCTACTCCGGAAGTTGGAGATCTCCAATTTACACACACAAATACACACACAAAAAGGTAAAACACGTTGGTTACATTTGTTTAATATTCTTTCAAAGATAATATTTTTGGCTTGTAATTTCTAAACAATTATAATAAATCTTAAAGTTCTTAAAGGATTCTTTTAAAGTCATAATAGATCAGATGGCATCTGAAACACTGTGGCACTGAATAACCTTTAATATATCAATAATACGCCATCTGTTGCGATTGTAAACATACTGGTATTACCAGTTCTCCTTGATCAAATTGTGAATAAACTTCAGTTTACCTAAACCTTTTTAGTAATCCATTCCCTGTAATATGATTTATGGCTGGGGCTCTGTACACTGGAAGAGTCAGTCAACCTTTATGCCGAATGAATCACTAATACTGAATTCAGTTTGTTTGAAGATTATTAGCAAACCAGTTTAACCTGATGTGTGTGTGCATGCCAGGGTATGTGTGTTTGTGTGTTCTTGAGAGTGTGTGGCCACACGCACACATGAATGCCAACGTCTCTCCATTTTAAGAATAGCATGTGATGTTTGCGGTCCACTTTTAGATTTTAAAGTAATTTCTTGCTCATTATTTGAAGTTTTATGTCTAATTCTAGGGATTAAAACCGACTGACAAACCTTTGAAGCCCTAAAAGAGATATTTCATTGCGGTGGAAGTGTTTATAGTCAATTCTTACTCTGGTAAAGACATCATTACTGGGTTGGATGTGATGTAACCACAGAAAAGGAAGAGTTTCTGTGACAAGCTGTTTAAAGTTGAAAACAAATCTATATTTAACCCATGTGATCTCTAAGTTAAACACTACATGATTGGCTCTCTCAAATTTCAAGTCCAAATTGCTGTATTATTAACAAAGCTAGAGGCTTATATATCCAAAAACAAATATTAGGGAGGTGGAACCTGCTGAACATGGATCAGGTGTAACTTTATACTTTGTGTCTAACTTTCTTTCACATTGGCACAAAAGCTGAGCATATATGTAGCCTACACACCTAAGTACATAATGTATACCTAAATGCAGCAGTTGCTGTATAGTGCACGCCTAAAGCAGAAGAGCCAGCATTACCTGTGTTGTCGTCACAAGAAAACACACCCTTCAACAGTTCACTGGTACACCTGTGTCTCAGGTGTCAGGAGAGAGTGTCTAACCAGCAGGTACTTTACAGCGCCTGACGGACTCCAGCCACAAACAAGATTTGGTAAGAGATTCAGTTTTTATGTGTCATGTTGTTATGTTATTTTATATCCAGGCGAAATCTGTCACTGCATCCTAGAGGATCACATCACCATCTTGTTATCCTGTCTCTACATGTGCTTATCATGGATGGATCTACTCATGTAGAACAAATGCTAATGTGTTAATGGTTTATACAAGCAGGTTTTACAAACAGATAAGGTTGAAAATCACTCACAAGTGATCACCTAAAGTACCATAATCTGGCCTCTTTTTTTTTTGTTGTATGAGTGTGCAGCTCTGGCAACAACGTGCCGTTTGGGGATTTCAGCTGTGGGAATAAGTTCTGTCTCATTAAACTGGGTTGGAGAGTGTTCAAGCTTATAAGGAGATGCACTCTCCTTATAATACAATATACATGTGACTTTCTCAATAACCATTAGAACAAAGAATAATAAATGTATTACAGATTATTCAGATGATTAAATCACTGGCTTGAAACTGCAAGAGACCAAATGAGTGATGGAAGAAGTGTCCAGATCATTTACTAAATGCAAAAAAAAAAGAAGTTAACTCTTACATTTAAAGATTTCACTGAGGTAAAAGTGCAAAAGCAGTAGCAACAAAATATGAAGTATTAAGAATCAAGTGTAAGATTATAATCTTATTACTTTTGTTTGTAACTCGAGCTGTACAGAATTAGCATCAGATTTTTGATTGTATGACTAATTGTTAAGCGACTGTAAGTCACAAAATCTAAATGTTGTGGAGTAAAAATTGAAATATTTACTCCTGAAATGCAGTGAAGCAGAAGTAAAAAGTAGGATCAAATAGAAATTCTCAAGCAAAGTACCTCACAACTGTCGTTATTTGCAGTCCTTGAGTAGATATGCTTTGTCCTGTGGTGCCAGGAATTGGAATAAGTTGCTTTTGCACCACAAAACACCAAAACAAAACAAAGTAACTGCACCATCATTTTCTTTTCTTACAATTTTCCTTTCTTACTTTTCTTTCAAATTTCAAAAGTTCTAAACTAAAAGTGACCTTTAACATTGATACAGGAAACAAAAATTATTAAAAATTAAAGGACTGATAATCTTTACTGAGTGATCAACTAGTTTTTATTTTATTTTGTCTAAACTTAATTTTTTTTTTTTTTACATCCTCTTACGTAATAAAAATAATAAAATACTGAGAGAAATTTATGGCGATATTCAACTGATTGCTGATGATATGAGAGAGTGGAGTGATTCGTGGTCGAGCAGTAGTCAATTTTTACAATACGACACCTTTACAGGATCATCAACCATTTTGTCCAATGAATTTTCACACTACTTCTGTTAATCTCCAGCTTTGGTAACAGCAAATTATCCAAATATAATCTAAACAGTGTTTGTCTTTCACCTGCCAGAGTTACGAATGGGCGCGGAGGATGAATGAGCCTGAACAAACACTTAAACTTTAACCAAATATTTATTTTAATACAAGAGCTTACAGTATGTTGCAATACATAACACAGATTCAACTGGGTGAAAGTGTTGAGAGGAAACTCATCAGTGTGTGCGTGATTTTGTGTGTAGCTGTAGCAGTAGTAAATAATTTGTAAAACAAGAATATAATTTCTTATATATTGCAAACAAATAACTCTCTGATGATCATCTGAATAAATCGATGAATAAAAACCTGCTACAAAAAATATTCACCTCTTAACACACAGCCTAATTTTCTGCCTGAGGGCCCCTCCCCTTGAAACTGAGATGATGCAGCTCAAAGAGTTTATCCTTAAAATTTGAAATTGAAAGAATAAATCTGTTCACACATACATTGTGGGGACCCACCTACTGTTTGTTCATTAATAGATTTATATGTTTGGAAAATACCCACTTGATGTGACTAACTCACACTCTTCATAACAGATAACTCTGTCAGTATACATACAGTACAATACAGTATGGCATGTTGGTATAGTATCAAGATAGACTTGAAAAAATCTCCTTCATGACTTAGGTGTTGGTTGGGGTTCGACATGTTGTAGTTATAGTTAAAGTTAGGGTTAGTTAGGATGACATTAAGTTTTCCAAGTGACAAAAAAAATGTGTGTGTGCGTGTGTGTGTGTGTGTGTATTAAAAAGAAAGCAAAGTAAGGAAAACAATCAGTGCATTAGTTGTTATCACTTTACCATGACAGATGCTTAGAGAAGTGACCTAACAACTTCTAGCAGCATTTTATAGAATATATATTTTTTCAACCATGGTTATGTGCTCCTTGGCTGTGTTCATTGTTCTGAGGTAAAGGGTGTAGGGTTTCAGCATTCTTTCCTCTGAAGCATCTATTGTCTCATCACTTTTGTACCGCTATGTTAAAGGTCACTTTGTGCCACTGACTGTAAGATATCTAACAGCCACTCCCAGATTATTATCTGTTGTCAAAAGGCTCCGAGCTTTAATGCACAAAGTGCATGAGTGTTAAACAGTGTTGACAGCGACTAGACAACAATGGACTAAAAACGTGTTTTAAAAAAAGAAAGGAATCTTACTTATGTAATATATTAAACTCTGTCATAATTTCAAAGGAGCAAAAAGTGGAATACCTCTTTGATAATGATTACATGAAATCAATTATTTCATACTGTGTTCGTTGTTTACATATGATTTTTTTTACTTTAATATTAAGAAAGAACTATGATTTATTTTTTTTACAAACCTTGAAAACATCTCTAACTCAGGCTGCTGATCCATCTGCACCTTGTAGTGCTTGTTGGTGTAGTAGCTTACTGTGTCACCTGCTTCCTCTGATTCCCTCCCCAGTGATTTTTAACACAAAGCCCTGCCATCCCATGAGACTTGTCACATCATGAGATCACGCTACCTATTCCTACTCGTTTACCTACTGGGGAGCTGCTTGGGTAAGATCAGATTTTGCGTCTCTTCTCTGATGTATAAGTGTCAACATACAGCCAGAAAGGAAAATTCAAAGTCACCAATGAATTGATCCTACTACGTATTGTCTATGTAGCTAATATCTGATACTGCTCGCCTGGTAGTTCTGGCTCTGTGCTATAGACCTCTTTTTTTGTTCAAAAAATATTACAGATCCCATGTTGTATAAAATGAGATTTCCATGTGTTTTTTAATTTTTTTTTATTATAACGCAGGTTCAGGTTCTATATTAATACTTTGAAAATATCAAAGTGCTCAGTCCACACAGAAATGCACACATCCTGTATTTAGAAACTGAGCTCAAAACTAGCCATCAGGACTTCTGTAACTTTGTGATGTCACAACAAAGCAGTCATAGCTTTCAACCATGCCCAAAGCTTGGCCCACCTGGATCCACCATCCAACTTTGCAGGATTTGGTTTCCTGTGTTTACCTGAAATCTGTTATATTCTTATTGGATCACTCAGAAAACAGCCAGCCAATCAGCTGAGAGGCTCTGATCCTCTCTTCTGATTGATTAATTGACCTTTTGTTGCTAGAGCGCCAGAGAGAAGCCTGAGAGAGGAGATTTAAAACTACACTGAGATGGTTTTCGGAAGTTAAAACCACAAATATATCTTCTTATGGATCAACACCTCAAACAAAACACAGAAAAAGTGTAAAATGTAGGACCTGGTGATTGATAAAGACAGGGTAGGGAAGAATTGTTGGTTTTGCTCTTTTCACTGGCTTTGTGAACAATAGCAAAACTACGTAATAGCGACAGCCTTATTGTTAACAGGATAAAGATAGTCTTTACAAATCCTCTGAAAAGACCAAAATTAACAATGTGTTCATCTTTCTGTCAAAACTTTCCAAAGACTGGTCACATGCTACTATATTACAAGCATAAACAATCATTATCTCATAATACAACGCCTCATGATAGAAATAACCTAAACACTATAGGCCCAACTCTAGCCGAACTTCAGATTCTTGTGTCAGCTCTAATAATGACCTTTGTCTTCTTCTTACAGAGGCATCAAGTGCACAAAGGTAAGATCCGAAAGTTGAAATGGAAAAAACATTTTTAATACAAAAGCCAATGGTGAATAAAATTGTCTTTCCCACTTAGAAAGATTACGCCCTGTTCTAAATTAAATGAATGATAACATCTTTTGTCTTTAAATGCTTGTGTTGCTTCACCGATGGAAATTTACAGAAATGAAACCTGCACTACAGAAGAAACCTGTGGCCAGGTGAGTGAACCCGTCACACACTTAAGTATTTTACATTATTGTGAAACAAAATGCCAAAAAGAAATTCAGCCCCAGAAACAGTTCAAAATCATAAGATCTGCATCGGTTTGTTGATTAATCTGGATTTATGATCATAATCAAATCCGTCCTAAAGCTGCAGGTATGAACGTCATGTTCTGATTCTATCTGTCGATTGGAGACTATTACTCAATTACTCAGAGTGATTTCTAAATAACCGATGATAAGACAACTTCGAATGAGTTATGACGTTGCCATGGTGATTCAATGTGGATTGGGTTTTATTTTCATTGGATTTGTTTCCATTATTCAATCTAGTCACTTTCAGTGTCACTGGAGCAGCTTCAGCATTTATCATTATTTTAAAGCAGAATATTTTAAGTTGTAATTGATCTGACTCTGTGGGGAAATTACCTGAAGCACTGTGTGTAGTAGGCAGCAACTCCAAAGAATCTGGTCAGGGGCAAATGATAACAAGAGATCTCTAATAGTGGCATTAGACTGAGTGATTCAGTGTGATAACAAAGAGAGGACCACAATGGCTGCTACCACAACACGTTTTGCTTGTGACCTCAGTGTCTCAGGATTCTTGGCATAATTTGAATGCACAAAGCTGCCCAAATCACACAACAGCATCAAGATCAGTTCGAACACCAGTTATTGCACTGAGCTTGATAAAGTAAAATGTAAACAGAGTTTATCAACACATGTAGTACTTCGTGTTGTGAGCTGCGTGACAGAGACACCAACAATAGACCTGTCTGGAGTGAATACCAGTGTGTGGAAGCCTGTCATGTTGAGATTTGTCAAGATTGTTGACATGCAACTTGTTTTTCATCTTTGTCTGTTGTGTTTTTATTCGACGGTTTCTACCTCTGGTGTACAATGATTTTGCAGTTCTCATGACAAATGTACCAGCATGTCTGACGGTATGATGAGGCGATTAGCGATCAGCTTTAAAGCTGTCAGAGTTTGCTGACAGTCTCCATTCTTAGTGTTTTCATTTTCGCATCTGGTATGTGAACTTACAAAGTTACAAAGACATCAGAAACTTGTTGAAATATTCTTTAGGCCTTTTTTCACAGCTGACATCTTGACCTGTCATTGCAGGAAAAGCACAGGTGTCATTAATAGCATTAACGATGGCTTTGTTCCATTTACCTGGAACAGGTAAAGCTACATTATATATTATTAATATTATTAATCATACCTGTACTTTTCCTCAGAAAGCAAGTTATACAATGAAACTCTGAAATGTAGTGGTGCAGAAATATAAAGTAACATAAAATGGAAATACTCAAGTAAAGTACAAGTACCTCAAAATTGTAGGCTACTTAAGTACAGTAGTTAATATAAATGTGCTCAATTACTTTCCAACACTTTTAATACAATTACTTCAGCACACGTGGTTGTTAGTATTGTTCAATTACCCAACCAGGTAAAACTCTTGAAACAAAGGGTTTGTTTATTATAGAAAATATCAAAAAGGTAAAAGACTAACTCAGTTGCATCTTAAAATGAAATAATAAACTGTATATTGATGTCAAAACATATCTCTACACAACTAATCCTCCATTGTCTCACTGCTCATAACTGAGCACCAGTGTTTGCTAAATTAGATAATATAGGACCATGACATTATATATTGATAATGAAATGACAAACCAACACTATAACGAAAGGGCGCACTATAAGCTAGCTAACATTAGTTAGCTAAACTGTAACTTAAGGCTAAAGTTAGAAACTAGCTAACATTAGCGTTCATTCATAGATACTTCACACAGTCTAATTCAGAAACTCTGAAGGTAAGAAAGTGAAGTGTATTAAACAAGCTAGATAATTAGCTACTGCTCCAACCAACAGTGTCTAACGCAGAGATTTAAAGACGTGAGTCATTGATAGAATGAGGCAGAGCAGACTTTAAGCTAACGCCAACGTTAAGAAATGGTATGGTCCACTTTAGGGGTGTCTAAAATCGTATTACAAGAGTCTTCCAAGCATGAATATGGGAAATAAATATTTTAATTACAATTACAGGTAAGAAGGGTATATACACGTCTCAACCCCCCTGAACTGTTGATTTTACCTATACTGGGGGGGGTCTAAGTCTTAATCAGGGGGGTCATACCCTCTCAATCCCCCCGTAGTTTGAACCCTGCTTTGCCTGCTCTGACAAGTCAAACTGTCAGCAAGCTTGATCACAGGAATTCAAATACCGGTACTATAAGGGGGATTAGTTGTTAGGTGTGTCTGTTTCATGCCTCTCAGGTCCTGTTTTATTGTGCTATTGTCCGTGGGAATTGAAATGATTATGTTGCGAATTAATTATACTTCTAAGTTAATATGCTTAGTAAATATTAAATGTGGCTAGCTAGCTTAAAGAGGTTAATTACACATGTTAACTAGTTCACTACCCGCATCTATGTTCTTAGTAGTAGTAGATATACAGCATGTGCTTTAATTTATTTGACACTCATAATGGCCTTATGGCCCATATATGGGCTAGAACCAACATTCAGCCACAGTCTTCCCTGGCTTGTTGAAACCAACTGATAGAATTTGTTCCCTCGCTGATTTCTCATTGTGAAGCAGATTTGTACAAGTTCATGGATATTGTTTGTATATGTTTATATAAAAAGGAAACCCTGGCTGCAAACACCTTGGGTCACCATGGGCCAAATGCAAGTGCTGCTAATGTGGAACTAAGTCACTGCCTGAATGAGCAAAATCTATCACAAAAAAAAATCAAATGTGGACAAATTTGAAATTTGGTAATTTGGTTTGTATGAGCCAGATGAGTACACGATCAGGCAATCTGCCACAATCAGTCTTAGCTTCATGGAAACTTAATGTTATAAAATAGCACATTTCAATCCCATGTTATGAGCTCATTGTCAGCTCAGTAGTTATGAGCTTTGGTGTAGTTTCTGTTTGTAAATGTTTTCAATAAAAAAACAAAAATCTAAAATATCTTTGAAAAGAAGCTGCATATCCCCCCTAATACATAGGATTTGCTATTTGCTTTACAATATCATATTGTTTATTTATTGTTCAAGTTCTCCTCTTGTCGTTCATTCCAAGGTGCCAGATTCAACCTCGCACTTCCTCCAGTGTGTGGGATTACCATCGACAGACACAGGGAGAGAACACATGCGGAGGCTGAAAGGCATGCTTGAGGCAACAATGGATGTGTACACCTTCATGGTACGGCTCAATGTTAGGAGCAGCACAGGAATGTGCAAGTAGACATGCAACAGGAGGAATGTTGCCACGATTTCCAACCTGACCAGTTAGTGCTGTAATGCTGTCTCACAGATCAGTAGTGCAGTGACTGTGAGTCTTCTGGAAAGACTATTGTGGTACTGAAGGTTAAATGTCACATGTTTTTGCCTACGTGTTTTAGTAGCTTTTCAAGGGAACACATTTATCTACATAACATAAAAAAATCAACTGTCTTTCTACCCCACATACTGATTGTTTTTTATTACATCCCTCCACCTCCACCATCACAGAGGTCCAGCATGACAGGAGTGCCATTTCTCAGCCTGCAGGGGGCACTGGACTTGAAGCCTGGTGCAGACCCCCTCCAGAATGAAGCCCTGGTCCAGATGTGGCTGGAAGTGAAGATAAAACCGCTGCTTAAATCCATCAGCAAACACTTCCTGTCCTGCCTCAGCACCAAGAACTTCAGCTGTTCCACCTACCAGACTGTGTATGTCTATTTCTGTCTCTGTCTGCCAGTGTGTTTCGGTGACCCCAGTGTCTTCTCACCATCCTATCTTTTCTTACAGGGTGAGGGAGCTCAGTCACCATTATTCTGAGATGGATCCAGTCAGACAAAAGTGGATCTACACATTCTTTATGTACCCCTTCCTGTCTGGAGACAGCGTAGCTGGTAATGCTTATAAGTCTAACTTCTAATTCTTAACTGGAAGTTATTTACAAAGAGCCTACCTCCACTGCACATTCCTCTAATGTCCTTTAATCACAGAAAATGCTCCGAAAATTTCAGATTCAAAGATTTTACTTGTCACATGCTCATTTAGTGTGTGCTTTGACGTACAGGGCCGACTGTGTTAAAAAGGCTAGTGTGAAAATAAGAATTACAATTACAATAAAAGTAAGAGTTACAAAAACAAATATGCAGAATATAAATTTGAAAAAAAAAATTCTGAATACATGTAATGTAAGTATGAAAATGCTTAAGTGTATATTGGTGCATTGTGGAGGCGGGCTGCGCTGTAAATATAATCTTCTGTTTTCATATCCGTGTCACAGAGCACATAGTGATCATTGTCTGATGATGACAATCTGACTGGCGGCCATGATGAGTTATTTTAATGTTAATTATGCAAAAGTCTTGACTTGAGTCTAACTCACAATCATTCACTTATGGCCGTTAATATAATGTTGCCGTAGTGACAAATATCGGCAGAATTTATGGAAATTCTGCTGAGTCATTCATATTGATGTGTGCAGGTGACATCAAAAAACTATTGCACTGTGCATTTAGGAGTTAAGGTGGTTTATGTAAAGTAGACAACAAATCACAGGAACAGCATAATATACCAAAGAGCAAATGATATGTTTTTCCTGCCTCATCCAAGATTGTTATGATTGGATTGAAAACGTAGGAAAAAAGCTGTTTTGCAAAAAAATAAAAGATGGTGGATAATGTGTAGAGTGCAGCCATCTCTGGTCAGTGACATATTTGACTTGAACCAAGGCTAGGCGGCGCTTATTCTTGTCTTCTTACAAACAGATGTGACCAAAACCCACATGCCAGATTTTTTAACACTATAAAAGATTCTTTATCTCGTGTAATTTGTGTGTGTGTGTCTGTGTGTAATGTGTGTACAGGTTGTGTGAGCCCAGGGGAGAGCAGCGAGGAGTGGCTGATGAAGAATTTCGGTACCTTCAGAGCCATGGCTCGAATGAAGGACTTTTCAACACTCAACATGGTCTTCAGTGGAGTGAGTTAACTTGAGTTTTCTTCAAGATCCATATGATTTACAACGTCACAGCAACAGAGCGAGGAGAGTTTTTGTGCTAGTTGCTCTCCAGAGACACTTCACAGAGCAGTTCATGTCGTAATAACTGGTGAACTAAAACTGCTTTTTACACTGAAGTCTCAGGCACTTAAAGGGGACCTGTCATGCTTTTCTGAGTTTTTCCTTACACAAGGATCCAAGTTTACACCAAAGGGAGTAACTCTGTCAAAGTAACAACCAATCTGACCAATCAGAGCACACTGGGCTCTGATTAAAGAGCGCTGAGCTCTAACAGAGAGTTTCAGACAGAGCGTGAATAGAGTGCAATATAAAATGAACAGAAGAAGAAAAATAATGTCTTTTTCATCCTCCTCCTCTCTCTTATTCTCGGTCTCTTGTTTATTTCTCCACCACAGCTGGAGGTTCTTCACCTGTTGTCTCCAGCGCAGAAGGCCGAGCTGCTGATGAGGCCTGAGGTCGCAGGTTTGGACAACAGCACCTTAACCCTGGTCTTCCACAATTTGTTGACAGGGGGCTCTGGCCCTCCTCCCACCATGAGCCCTGATGGGGGCCACAACTGGACGAGCCCTGGATATCTATCTATCAGTCCTCCACTCCCTACAAATAACTTCAGAGAGGTACTATAATGTAGCATGGATTTATAGGTACTGCCAGGTCTTCAATGCTCAAGTACAACAGCTTTAAAATCTGTTATTTTCCAGCTAAATAGCAATTTTCATCACTTGTTGTGTCTCACTTACAGGTTGTAAACGGGTTCATGATGGCTTTCAGACCCGTTGGGAGCTTCGTTCATAACTTTGTGTCCTTCACACATGAGGTACAAGCACTCACATACACCAATACATTACGTACACCTGCACACATACCACATAAACTGACCTGCAGATGTATGTAAACCACATAAACCTGCCAAGTGACTCCTGATCTGCTTTGTTTCATGTGTCAGAGAAACGTGTCAGAAATAAGAAGTGCCACACTGACCCAGTTCCTGCTCAACTGGACTCTGGCCGAGCTGGCAAACGTTTACAGGCCGCAAAACATATCTGTCCTTCCCGAGCCTCAGAAATTTGATGTGACGAATGTGGAGGACTGGTATCGGCAGGTTGTGATACCGTTGTTACGGAGGTTCTTGCCAAACGACGAAGCCCTGATGCATCAAAACATCACGCTCGCTTTCCACGAACTGTTGTAAGTTAATCTAACCTATTTAATTAGCATTTTCCCCATACCTCACACCACAGCCTTACCGTGTATTTTTCAGGAGTTGGTGGAAAAGTCAAAAAGAAAGTGAATATTGGACTCAGCTGACCAGAAACACAACTCCAAATGAATGCAAATGTTTCTGTTGGATGTGTAAAAGCAATTCCTTGCTAACATGTTATCATAACTTGATAAGGTGAAGATTCGTCAGGCTGTGGTGTTACCGGCTCATTGCTGAGTTTTTCTGCCCACTAGAAAAAATTGTCAGGTTTGCAGTATATAAGTTGGACCCAAATGCAGCTTACGCATGGGAGATCGGTGCACAGGGGTTTATTTGACCAAAAATCCAGACATGAACGTGATGAGAACGTGGCATGAACGTGGCATGAACAGGCATGAACAACAAGGAAAAAACAACAGCGATTAACAACAGATAACAGCAGGAAATAACAGCAGACGATCTGACAATGACAAAGGGAAGCACAAAGACTATATAGACAAGGGAGGCAAGGGTGATTAAACACAGGTGAAACACATTAGGGCGGGGCAGACAATTACTACACAAAAACGAGACCAAGACAAGAAGCAAAACACAGACACACGAGGAAACCTTATTACAAAATAAAACAGGAAGTGCAAAGATTTCAAAACAAAACTAACAAAAGGTGTCTGCCATGGCAAAACGTGACAGAAAAACGTGACAAAAATCATTAAATGCAGCTTTAAGTAAACACATCAGTCCCTTCAGTCCACCACAGGTCAGCCTATCTATGTTTCTGTATTATAATGTGTGTTTTTTTCTGTGCAGCTATCTGGACAACACTAAGGACAATGAAACCTCTGAAATCCAGGATGTTTGTAGCATCACCCTCGATAAGAGCCCTTGTGGGGTGAGGCTTCATTTTATTTTATTTTTTTTAACTTAAATCTAGTTTGAATGTTTGGATTTTTTTTTTTAACCTTTCCTACGTGCCTTTTTTTTTTTTTGCTACCAGCTTACTAATGCAGTGGAAAATGTGGCCCACGTTTTGCACTGTGCTGCTCGTACCAACCTGACAATGTCCGAGGCGAATGTCATGAGACTGATTATGGAGCTGACAGAACGTCTGAACTCACTGATCAAGGAGCTGTCCACAGCGGTGTGTATCTATCTATCTATCTATCTATCTGTCTATCTGTCTGAGTTTGTTCATTTTACCTCACATTTAAAATAAAAACTAAAATCAGTGCTCTCTCCTTCCTGTGTTCCTCCTGTAGAACTTCACCGAGGTGGCGTCCGACTTTCAGCAGATCTTTGCTGAGGCGGACTCTCCGTCTCTGACCGAGCAACACCTCCAGGACCCGAACTTCATCAAGCTCTGGTTCCAGATCAAACTGATGCCCCTCCTGCCTAACATACCCCCAGCCCTCCTCTCCTGCCTCAGCACCAAGAACTTCTCCTGCCCCGTTTACCAAACCATGTGAGTTCACCGGCTTTAGAGGGTTTCTTTCTCCTCACACACACACACACACACACAGTTTGGTGTAGTAATCTTCGTTTTGTCGTTGTCTTGTTATGTGCAGTGTCGCAGCTCTTAGCAGACACATGACTTTCATGGATGCTGATCCAATGTACAGTCGTAACATCTATGAGCACTTCATCTTCTCCTTCCTGATGCATCACAACACCACTGGTAAGCAACCTGAGAGTAATCGTATGGAGGTAAAGATAAGCTGTACTTTTTGCTTTGCTTATTTTGCTTCCTATTTATCATGAATAAGAAAGTAATTTTAAGACAAAAAGGTTCAGTACATGTGGTTAATTCCTGTGCATATGTTTCAGACCCACAGTGTGTCTCCTCAGCCAATCACAGTGCAGAGTGGCTACAAAACAACTTTGGCTTCTTCTCGAGATTCGCCGTCGTCACTGACTTCTACAAACTCAACTCCAACTTCTCTGGAGTAAGTCTGGAGAACCTGAACATGCCAAAATACTTCATCTGAACTAACTGAAGTGACACTTTAAGCATCCTGAGAATAATGTATTCTCTCCTCTCCTGTCTTGTCTCCTGTCCAGCTGGAGGTTCTTCAGCTCTTGTCTCCAAAACAAACAGCAGAGATGCTGTTGTTGCCTCTTCCTACTCCTCCAGAGAAAGACGTTGTTATCAACCGAGTGTTTGACTTCCTGATAAAGTCCCCTGGAAAATTACCAGAGGTGCTACACTACCTGGTTCAGCTCGCCATGAAGGTAAAACCTTTGATATGACAATTTTTCAGCAAACGATTACCTGTTCTGTTGGTTTAATTGTAAATAAGTATTTCATTTCTCAGGTCAATCCACCCTGTGAGGTCTACAAACAGATGTGAGTACTTTCAAAAGGATTTATAACTTACCCCTGCTGTTGGTGATTCACTCCACATCACATAACCCAGCATACCTACTTCACAGCAGACTTGTCAAACGCAGGTGTGACCAATAACATAACTAATTACTGCATTGCAGTAACTGCTGGAACTGAATCATCGTTAACGTTATTAATTGCACCTGTGTTCTTCATGCTATGGCAAGTCAAAATTAATCTGATGCCGGCAAGGCTAACAAGACCCTAGGTTAACAAGATAGGCAGAATGACAGAGGTGGCTGTGCAGCTCAGGAGGTAGAGTGGGCCGTCCACTAATTGAAAGGTCGGTGGTTCGATTCCCGGGTCGTCCAATCCACATTGTAAAGTGTTCCAGGTGTCTGCTCGGTGTGTGAATTCACGCATTTGGTAGAAAAGAGCTGTAAAGGTCAATGTTTCTTCCATGATGGAGTGCTTTGGGTGATCGTTAAGAGTAGAAAAGCATGTAATGGGGCCAGTACATTTATTTTTATATCACTATATACTGACATATGTCATGAGAAAAAAAAAAATTCAAAGGATTGTGCTGCTTTGAAAATGCTGATATGAGCGGTTTGAATTCTAGTTAAATGTTTGTTTTTGTTATTTTGTGTGTCAGTTTTGTGCGACTGTACGGCGCCATACCATCTCTGCCCGCGGACATCGAGCCGCTCACCTGGGCTGGCATAGATGAACTGATCAGGATTGCACCAGATGGTCAGTCTCTCTCTCACACACACACACACACACACACACACACACACACACACACACACACACATAGAGACTGTCCATAAACATAGGGTTATACAGTTAACTCACAAATACAACATAAGAGTTGACTGAATATTTCCTGTCTCCATTTGAACAGCGTGTGTGCCGGAGAACATCACGGTGAGATTTCTTTTCTTTTTCTATTTTGTAGCTCTTGATTGACTTTTAACGATGAATTCTTTCAGTATTTTCCTTTAAATGTATTAAATCTGTCATTCACAGTGCCCAGTGACCCTATTCAATGGTAAGAGCTTTTTGATAAGACTCGTTTTACTATTCATTATATTATTGTAAGTGTTTTTAGAGCTGAAGTCGTTTAAATTCTTTCTTTTGATACTGTTTAACAGCCACAAACATCTGCAGGGGAATCAACAGGTATTAATGTTTTAATGATTTACATCCAGAATCATCAGAACTGTTGTAGCAGTCTCTGTACAGATGCTAATTTACATGTATTTACAGCTCTGAACTACAGTCTTACTTGGACACATCAGCCTCTATGGATGTCCCCTGTAATTTTACCTTGGAGAATTATGCATGTGCTCAGGTGGGTTAAAATCAGATTGGAATGACAAAAATACTGAGTCGGATCCATTCTGACAGTAACGTTTGTGCAACTTGCTGCCTATTTGGCTAAATAACTAAATGGCCACTTAATCTTCTCACACATACAGCTGCAGAACTTCACGGCCAATCAGCTGGTGTCTCTCCTGAAGTGTAACCTGCCTGGAAACAGCAGCCACTCCAAAGTGCTGTGGAAGATGCTGCTCACTAAACTCTCCTTTGTCTTGGACCCAGCCCTGGACATCCTGGCTAACATGGTCAGTAGCTTTTTAAACCTCAAATGAGGGAGTCTGCACCTCCAGGTAATAGAACTGATAGTGATATGTCAGTATTCAAACCATTGACCTCGCCCCTACAGTCTATGACCACGGTTGGTTCATCAGCGAGGGAGGTTTTGGATGTGATCGGGGAGATTAGAGTGTCGATGCTGACTGATGAGCAGCTGATGGACAGCAGTGAGATCAGGAAGTGGTTCTCCGGGCGCCTGAGTGCGTTCCTGCCGTCTGCGTCAGGAAGGTTTCTGCACTGTCTGACCCGCAGGAACCTCAGCTGTCAGTCATACCAGCAAATGTAAGCAACTGCCACAATAACATGGATATACGGCATTTGTCTATATCTACTTTACTGTTTTTGGTTTACATGCTAACTCTAGATTAACGGAAGTAGAACAAATTAAGTCAGATTATATAATTCTGATGTGATTATATAAAGTGAGGTGCAACTGGCCTCCAAAACAACATGTCCTTTCATCTTGTGTCACTTTCAGGCCAAAGTTTATTTAATTTAGAATCGCCGGTGGTAAGGATTGAAGAATAGCAGAAACATTTTTCTTCCATCCGACAGTTCTGTGTTTTAACGTGTGAAGCGTAAGTCCTGTGACGCTGCCAGCTAGTCTATCAACTTCCACACGAAACCATCCTGATTTCTCCCTCTGCCTGTGATGTTATTGTCAGACTGCAGGTATTTATCCACCAGTTTGATAACATGACCTTGAAGCAGCAGCACGTGGTCGTGAAGGATTTCATCCAGCGTTTCCTGTCACAACCACACTCAGGTACTCGCTGCACTTTGACTACAATGCTGTTACTAATTTCAGATCCATTTCGTAGTCTTAAGCTTGGGTGGACTTAAAAGTTGGAAAAAGCGTGAGAGCATTTACAGATATCTCTTTATCTGCTTGATGTGCTCCAGGTCCAGGCTGCGTGAATGGCTCCGTAGGCAGCGCAGAGTGGCTGAGGGACAACCTGGGGCCATTTTCAGTGTTTTTGTCTCTCGGAGAGCTGCTGCATCTCAACCCTCGCTTCAACCCGGTGAGATTTCACTTTTGCAAACAACAAGGGATTAAAAAGAAGCGGCCGGTGCTGTTATTACTTTGTCGTTACCAGCAGTGATGAACTTTCTTTTTCCCTTACGTCTCTTTTCAGCTGGAGGTCCTAAGACTCCTGACTCCGAAGCAGAGTGCAGAGCTGCTGGTGTTGCCTCTTCCTACTCTCCCAGATAAAGATGTCATCATCAATATGCTGTTTGATTACCTGACTGAGGCTCCTGAGCAGAAGAAATTTTCTGAGTTCCTGTTCTACCTCGTCATGTTCCTTGACCAGGTAAAAAATAATAAGGTTCTTCTTTTATTCTTCATTCAGAGTTTTCACTTTGCTTTCCCTGTTAAAAGTATTCACCTTTGTTTTCTGCATTTCAAGGGGAACCTTTCCTGTTCATCATACAAGACACTGTAAGTTCATATCTAAATATGTTGGGGTTTTTTTTTTCGTGGCTATTGTAAATAATCGTTTTAATTATTACATTGTGATGTTAATTCCACATATTTTTGTTGTTCCAGGTTTACCAGACTGGACCTGGCCATGGCTGAAGTTTCTCTTGATATAGCTTCAAACATCACCTACACCAAGATAGCCTTGTCCGAGCACATACCACCGGGTGAGAAGCACAGTCTGGAAAATAACATCAACATACACAGGAGTATATAACAATATATACTCTTTTTGTGTGAGACTTTTTAACCTTTCAACGGCTGCACCAGTCAATGATAATGGAAATATTCCAGATGTATTTTGTATAATTTTAAAACACATTTCTCCCAAATTCACCTTGATCATTTGGTATGTTATAAAACTTAAGGATCTCCATCAGAATATAAAATAAAATACTGTGGGGTTCGATATTGTTTGGCTGCACGGGATGCATTTGTAAAGACTGAGCAACTGGCAGGTTAGAAGGTGTTTTACAGGTTGAAAACACAGTCACAAAGTATAAACATGGGACTAAATGAAAGTGTAAACATATTACCAACAGTTCCCAAACTGGTTCTTTCCTGTCAGTTCACTTCATCATGTAAAAGGTGTAATGTTATCCTGGAATCTGACCCCTTGTTCCTGCTGGCGTCACATTGACAGAGAACAATCAAAACATTCAGTTGGATTGGATAAAAAAAATTTTTTGTTTGATAAGAAATTCCACAGCCACTCCACCACTTTTTAGTCTCAGTCTGTGACTCCTGACGATCACTACAGTAATCAGCTTTCCGCCTCATTTTATCCTCAGTGTACGAGCTTTTCACAGACAGTGTGTAATCCGGTATAAAAGGCTGCGCTTTAAAAGAATTATTCAAGTGAATTCAAGTGGTAACAGCTGATTCTGTGCAGTGTCTAAGGTTTCCATCTTCCCTGAACATGAACACGTCTTTATTTTCCTATTATTACATTCCCATAATGTAAATTGTATCATTTAAATGCATTTTAATATGTTTTTTTTTTAAACTATACCAGTATAAGTAATTTACATTTACCTGTATCTTTATTACAGGTTGCATCATATACAGTGGAGAGGTAATTAAATTGGTATTTTTAATTTTCATATTGTCTCATATTATGATACAAGATGCATGACCACCTTATTCTTTCTTTCCCCCCAGTGCAATGTTACCATGACAAACGGTGAGTTGTCTCACTTCTTAAAAATATAATTTTTCAAAAATTCTATATTTTAATGTTTATAATCACCATGAATTAATTTATTGCTGTTTTTCACAGAAACTGACATTTGTGCTGGAGTGAACAGGTGGGATTTATAAAACAATCTTATTCTTATGTTATAACATCTACCTTATATTCTTATCTTATTCTGGGTTAGACGCATAGTTCCAGAAATAATGTCAACACAATTTTGAGCTCTTTCATTTTTAAACCCCAGCACAGCGCTGCAGCTCCACCTTGACAGCGGGAAGATGAACGGACGTTTGTGTGACTTTGCCGTTGAGGAATTTGCCTGCGCCTCGGTAAGAAGATCAACAGCCCGTCCTGAAACTACCACTGTAAGAAACAGTCAGTCAGTCAGCGTGTTTTCTCACCTGTTGTCATCCTGCTCCGTCTTCACGCAGCTGACGGCGTTAACAGCAGAGGATCTGGCAGTGATGCTGATGTGTAATCGCTCCTCCAACTCCAGCGGATCCAGACCCGCCTGGAAGCTTCTCCTCTCCAAAGCCTCCCATGTGCTCGATGAAGCTCTGGATCTTCTATCCAACAAGGTGCAAATTAGCAATTCTGCTTTTCTGTAGTGTAAGGCATTAGCATGCTGATAGTTTGAACTATACCACTATACCGTGTTACTTTTTCTCTCTGTGTGACAAAACCTGCGTGAAGTTGTTAAAATATCAGAAACTATCAGACCTGACCTGGACCCTGGGTGTCTAATCTTTTTTTGTAGACTCTGGACCCCAGAAATCCTGCTTTGTCAGTGGTTCTGGACTCTATACGAGAAATCCGATTGGACGCCTTCAGCGAGCTCAGCTTCAACGACCCTGCCCTCATCCAGCTGTGGTTCAACCGCCGGCTCCGCCCCTTTCTACCTGCTGTTTCCCCCGACTTCCTGTCATGTCTCACCACAAAGGGACTGAACTGCAGCACCTACCAACGCATGTAAGCAGCGCACTGTTTATCATAGGAGCCTCTCACACCTTCTCCCGTCACCTTCACCCACTCTGACCTGATTCTCTGGTGATGTCAAATTATTGTCACAGTCTGCATTAATCATATCGACTCATTTCTGAAACACAGCGTGCAGATTCTGAGTCGCCTCCAGCCACGCATGACACGAGCTCGGCAGATGTCCGTCTACACACACTTCATTAAAGTTTTCCTGACCAGGAACAACACTGCAGGTCGGTGCTCGCATCATCATGAAGACAGGGTGTTATGGTTAAAGTAAAAGCATGAAAGCAACGAGAATAAAAGTCAAAACAAAACCGTTGGATGGATGAAAACAGACAATTTTATGCGTAGGTGTAAGGCAAAATGATTGCCTCCATACTGACTCACAAACACAAATTTATTAAGCTGGATCTCAGTCAGGACCTTTGACCTTCATCAACGTCTGTTTAAATAATCTTCTGGTTTTGGGTAAATTTTTAAATCCTTATCACTGCTGTGATATAAAACAGAACATCACATTAAAAATATACTACAGTCAGCAAGGTGTCATGGAGTAAACAGGTACATTTACAGGAGTAACGTTGTGTTGTGTGGTTCAGACCCCAGCTGCAGCTTACACATAAACAACAGTGGAGAGTGGCTGCAGCAGAACCTGGGAGGTTTCTCTGCCCTCGTGTCCGTCAGCGACCTCCAGATGCTCTACTCCAACTTCTCAGCGGTACCTGCTCCTGTTTTCTTTTATCGTGTTTGTTTATTTGCTTGTGTTTGTTTGTTTGTTTGTTTGTTTGACCTCCTTTGTACGTGCCTGTTCGTGTCCATGCAGATGGAAGCGTTGCCACAGCTGACCGTCAGACAGCTGGCAGAGGTGTCCGCCACACCTGGCCAGCTCACCTCTGCAGCCCAGGTTAACATGTTGATGAAACACATCCCCGGCCCACAACTCACTGCCTTCTTTGATGACTTCTCACCTGCCATCGTGGTGAGTCTGCCTCATACTTACAGACTTCCTGCAAGCGTCAGTTCTCAGATAATGACTTAGAAAACAATGGTTACCTGCTTATCCAAGGTAGAAAACGTCATGAGTCAAACATTTCCTGTAATACTTCTAACATACTGTATATTGGTGGGTGGTTTCTTAAATTCTGTTTCTTAAAGGTAAAAAAAAATAGAGGGTGTCTTGTTTAAGCTCTTCCTCTGTGCGGTTGCATTTCCTCATCCTTACTTTGTCTTCTCTCTTTTTCTGCAGGCTCATGGAAACATGTTCCCCTCTCCGGTGAGGTCGGCCATGTTACAAGTTGTGTTTGATCGAGCAAACCTCTCAGATCACTCAGTGAGCGACTCCAACGTGTTGCTGTGGCTTCACAACCGACTGCGCCCCCTGCTGGTCAACCTGTCGCCGCTCCACGTCGCACCGTTCTTCAGGATCCTGACAGGAAGGAACTGCAGTGTCGAGGTGCAGGGGTACGTGTGAAGTCATGAAAGTCACGCAGAAATGATTTCATTTCACTGGAATATTTACGTTTTAAAACCAGATCTCTTTTTGTTTATAGTGGCTTGTCTCTACAGTTGCTCCTATGTGATTCCCTCCAAATGTCAAATGTCAGTGAATGTAGTAATACATCAGACACAAAAATCAGCGATTGCCTTGTTTTTTTATTTTATTTTATTTTTTTAATTTCAGAATAGAGGACCTAAACTCAACAATCTCATCTCTCAATGAAGATACAAAGACAGAAATCCACAACCACATCGTTCAGACTCTCAGAGGTGAAGAAATCACACTGAAAGGAAACGAGTAACAGTTTTTCACTTTCTCGCCAGCGGTTTCACGCTTAAGTTGACACGCTTAAGTAAAGCAATACTGCGAGCTGCCAAGCGTGGATGTAAAAATATGCCGATCTCAAATAGAAAACAAATGACTTCGCAAATGTTTAATGAGGAAGGAAATAGAAGGAAGAAACACAGTCAACACATTAGTATAAACACATAAACAGAAACAGAGTTTGTTTAGAAAAAAAACCCCACAGCGCACCTGCTGCTTTGACTTCTGTACGGGAGTGATGTGTTGACAGATTACTCTTGTATAGTCAAACTATAAGCCCCTGAAAGTGTCTGGAAATTGTAAAGTGTGTGTTGAAGTGCTGTCCTGAGAGAGTACTGTAACTGTAAGTCACTAAAACTTTAATTTTAAGTATGGATGATCTGGATACTTTCCTAACTCTCTGATGGAGAGAACTGCTCTGTATTTCTGTTGTTCACTGAGTTTTTGAGAAAATTACAAATTCTTCTTAAAACTATCGACAGCAGTTTACAGCGAGCAAATGTATGTCGTGACAAACATTTACCCCACCATAACCTTCGATTTACCATCTCTGAAACTAAACCTTCACGCTTCATTTGAACTCAGTGGATCGGAGTTTGTTTGACAGCTGGCCTCTTTCACTCTCCCTTGTTCTAGGACCAACGCCTCTCCGCTGCTACGGCGACAACTACAACCACAGTTTCTATAGTTTCCTGGAGCGTACATTCCTGGGATTCCAGTTCCCCAACCTGACCACCTTCCTGTCGCTCATGCCTCACGACAGAATGCCTCAGGTTTGTGTCCGGAAATAAGAGAGGTGCATGAGGAGAAAGTTAGAAAACAAATGAGGAGTAGAGACTAATTTTATGTTTGCTCTTCTTCTTCTAGTTGGTGAACTCCATGTCTCGATCAGATCTTAAGGAATTTCTCAGTCGTCCTGACGTTGTCGACAGCGATGCTGAGCTCTGCGTGCTCTACAACAGCTACAACCAGACACCGACCTTCCTGGAGACCGTATGTACCACACTCACAAACGCACAGAAGAAATGCAAACATATTGTGATGACATAACCACGTTGCTGTGTATATTCGCTACAGGAGTCTCTGCCTGCGGCGGTGAGGCGGCCCACGCTGCCTTGCGTCTGGCCCATCGCTCTCAGCAGCTCCGCGAGGTCAGAGGTCAACGCTTGGTTTGACCAGCGCCTCCGAAACTACTTGGTGTTCCTCACGAAGAATCTGATCAGCCCCAACGTCACACACAACGCCACCTGCCCAGCTTTCCAAAAGCTGTACGTGTGCTCCGCTCATTTTAATCATGTCAATTTCTCTAAATGTGTTCAACATGAAAACACACACACACACACACACACACACACACACACACACACACAATCAAAATAATCAGTTTCTCCCATTGTAACTCCTATATGTTATGAATATGTCCTACAATAAACTTTCCCCTTAAGTACATATCTTCCTTTTTCTCTATGAAGATCATTAGCATATAAATTAAAAATTACTTCAATAAATTTAAATCACTTAAATAAACTGTCCAATAGTAGGATTTCTTCTATTTTAGTGGTTTTCAAATCATGTGTTCTGATTGTTTTGTTTCAGTGTTTCAGTTCTCGGTGAATACAACTACACAACTGCAGACTTTGGGAGGCGAGATGTGTTCGACACCGTCAGTGCCTACCTCACCTCAGGTCAGTCTTCAGAGTCACGCAGCGCTACTCTTTAAAACACATGGGCCACACGCTTGTGTTTGTCCTGGCCCAGCAGAGGCCCGGTTCCACGGCACCGAGTCAGGCCCATATGAAGCATTGTTGCACAGGGTTGAAGTGCGTTAAATGATTCACAGCTGTCAGGAGAACAATCAGTCTCTGTATATTTCTAAATTGTGTTTTTATTCTTTATTTATCTCTCTGCTCAGTGTAAAATCTCCACTGAAATATTTATAACTTGTCGTTGTAGATACGGTGCCAAGATGTTACAATCCCAGCGACCCAGAGCTGAACTCTACAGCCTGGTTTGCTGAGTACATCGGCCCCTTCTTGCCTTTCCTCACTCTGGAGGATCTTCAGATGTTTGGATCGGCGCAGGTACTGAACTCATTCCTGAACAACAGCTCAGGTTTTTGTCCACTGGGATTGAAATGAATAAAGAAACATCTGGTGACGGCTGGATAAATGTTGTTCATAGCGCTCCCTCCTCCCTGCAGGTTATCCAGGTGTTTACAGTGAACCCTCTGAATCTCGCCCTCTTCAACCACTCCTCCTTCCCTCTCAACCTCACCAACTACTACACCGAGCTCGTTTACCAGCAGGACAGCAACTTCAACCCCTTATTGTGAGTCTCAACATGTGAAATGTGTGTGTTATAGCCTCCGAGTGTTTTTTTCCATCCTAAAATCAATTCTTCTCTCTCTCTCTCTCTCTCTCTCTCTCTCTCTCTCTCTGCAGTCTGCCTCTGGTGTTTCGCTGTGTCGCTCCCGGTCCAGCGTTCAGCCAGCTGACTGCGGAAGAAAGTATGATAGTGCTGCACAACCTGACCACTCTCTGTACAGACCTGGACTCACAGGTAATAAAAACACACAGAGCACACCTGCATCAGCGGGACAGTTTTCTACTACCGAGGAAAAATCTGTAATAATAGAAAGAATAAGAAAATGATGTGAATCCATACGAAGGGCACCACATTGTGTTTTTACTCCGAAACTGACGCTTTTCTCTTCGGTCATCGTAGATTTCTGCAGCTTTGGCGGGTAACCTCGGCGACAACATTGACGCCACGGCCATCGCTGCCCTGGGCAACGAAAGCTCCGGCATGTCCACAGGCCAGATCAAGGCGATAAAGCCTGAGGACCTATTCGCTGCTCTGAGCACTCTCAGCAGTGTGATGGGCTGGAACGAAGGTCAGGCCAAGGCCATTATCCAGTCTCTGATGTCTTCAGGGGCCCTGCAGGTAGCTGTCTGTCTGTCTGTCTGTCTGTCTGTCTGCCTGCCTGCCTGTCTGTCTGTCTGTCTGAAGTTTTCTTAGTGGTGATGCTGTCCTCTCCTCCTCTCACCAGATCAACAGCACGTCGTCGTTGCTCATGCTGGGCTCTCTGGTCGTGGGAGTTCCTTCAACAGTGTTCAGCAGCATCAGTGGCTCCCAGCTTCTCACGGCATCTAACAATCCTACGTTCCTGCTGAACTTGATGTCGGCTCCACAGATCGTCCAGCAGATCTTCGTTACTCAGGTATGACAGTTACATTTCTGCTGTGGGATTTGTAAGATAGATGAATGTAGAACAGTTGCCTTTTAGTCTTATTTGTATGTATAAAATCACCTCTCTCTTCGGGCCCCTCGATTCGGGTTAGGGGGAAAGTGGTGGAAGAAAACTTCAAAATCCAGGTTTTGGAGAACTCTGATAGAAACCAGGATGCTGCGGCGTGTAAACACCTCATCCAGGTTTCTCAACATGCTGTGTTGGTGAAGAACGTAGTGGCTGAGGAATCAGATGATCAGATATTGTTTTGATCACACATATATTTACATACATAAATAACCAAGTTTCTCATGTTCCATGTAAACACCATATCCCAAATGTGATCACAACCAGAATAAGACTCAAAACTGGGATAATAATGTGAGATAATGTGGGATAAGGATTAGCGTTTTGCTTTTTGCACCATTCTTAGAAAACCGTTGATATTTCTTTTTCTTTGTGTGGGTGTAAAGAAGCCAAAGGTACCGCTGTCTGCAAGACGCTAGATCCAGCATGCCTTGTGAGAACAGAGGTTCACTTGTGTCGTCTGTTTCCTAAGCCTCTATTGATCACAGCTTGATTCTAGAGCTTACCCTGATTTATGCAACACACAACAATAATGTCCCGTATAAATAGCTGGAATGTCCAATTTGTCTAAAGGTGTAAAGAGTTTTAACAAAGTGATGTAACTGTCTTCTCCTAGATCATATCCGTGCAGAGCAACAGCGACGTGATCATACAGAACGTTCCAGATGAGATAGCCACTGAGATCCCTCGAGCTCTGCTGCTGGGCTTCTCAAATAACAACGACGTTATCAAAACACTCAACAAGAAGAAATGGAAACGGCAGCAGGTAAGGGGGGTGGGGGGGGGCTGCAACTGAGAAATACACGCTTTTGTGCTCAATACACCTGCTGCATGTCATTACCTGTTGTATCTTTTCCTTTAGGCTGAGTTATTCTTCAATCTAATAGCTGTGGAAAGTGCAACCGCAGAGCTGGGAAGTCCAAACAAGTGAGTTTTTAAAGACGTTTCAGGCGGAAAATGTCCTGCAGGTGGATCGCAAGTGGTACATAACGTGCTGCGTGTATGTGTGTGTTTGTGTAGTTTGTCGTCCTCTGTGCTACAAGGGTTCACCTGCACCGGAGTGAGGACTATTCAGACAGTGCAGATCAGGAGGCTGGTCAGAGCCTGTCGGAGGAGAGGCAGCAACAAGGTGGTGCTGGTGGAGTCTCAGGTGAGAGCGACTGGGAGAAGATATGATATCATAGATCAGTACCTTTTTAAGATGAGGACGTTTATAGTTAGATTTCAGGGGACTACAAATACCAATAGCCATTGTGAAGGCTCTATTCCAACTTTTTATACACTTTAGAATATTGTAAATGTTCACATATATTTAGGTTGGTAAATATGAATAATCAAATCACTGCTGAGCACCACACTAAAGGAGAGATTCTGACTTGTTGTTGATCTCACCCACAGCTGACCTGCATGTACAACTACATTAGAGACGACACAAACGTCACCAGCTTCGACCTCTATCCTCCTGATATGCTGCTGTACTATGAGTGAGTTTAGATTGTTAGTATTTGTGTTGGGCTGAAGCTAAAAACACGTTTTGTCAGAGCAACGTTCGTGCGAGTTACTGTTTGTCCGTCTCCCTCCACAGTTACTCTCTGGTGCCACAGGCCAGCTGCAGGTCCTACTTCGAACAGCTGGCGGATGCAGACTTCTCCGTCTTCTCCTCCGCCCTCAGCTACAAACGTACCGATCTGTTTATTAATGCCAGGAGCTGCCTGGTGAGAGCGACGAACAACACATTTTTTTTATTCATTTAATAGGGACAATACAATTTAACATTGTTCCAATACAAAGCATGAAACTGATGTGTTGGACAGAGAGTTTATAGCATCACATCTCTTCTTAAGTTTTTTACTGAAGTCGCCTGTTAAACTAAATTTCAACTGGTTTTCTCAGGAATATTGTTGAACTTGTTTATTTAACATATGTAGCTGAAATTAATCTTAAGTTAGTCCATAGTCAAGAAGACTGACTGAAATTCAAGAAGAAGATCTCTAGTTCATATTCTATTATTATTCTATTAATATGCTATTAAGAATTATTATTTCAAATTTTATTTTTATTGTATTTTATGATACAAATACAAACAACAGAACAAACACACCACCCATCTAAAGCATGTATGACGTAAAGTAATCCTGTTCTTTCTTGCTTTACTTTCTAAGGGTATCACAAACACGAGTTTGACTAGCGATAATATCCTGGTGTTGGGAAACATGTGCTGCACTCTGGATGGGTCCTACATCGAGAACTCTGACCCGTCTGTTTTGGATAAGCTGAAGAACTGCCCGGACCTCACTGACGCTCAAGCTTCAGCTGCTCAGGCCCTGCTGCTGGGCGGGAAAACACAGTTCGGGTGCGTCAGCAACTTTCAGTTTTTCTTTAAAAGATCATAAAACAGTAAATGTTGGTGTTTGTCTTTTTTCATTTTCATTTTTTTTTTTACATTGTTTTTTGTTGTTGTTTTACCAGAGCTCCATCGACATGGAATCGACAGACTCTGGAGGACCTCGGGATGTTACCGCTGTATCTGACCTCAACTTTCTATGAAAACTTTGACAAAGTGAGTATCGCACAAATGTCTTCATCTAGTAGATGAGGTGACATTTTTTTTTTAAAAAAAACATCATGCACCTGTTTTTCTTCCTGTGAGCAGAAAACGAAGCGCAGGTTCCTGAGGTCCTTCCTGAGAGAAGCCAGGAGGAGCGGAGTGAGCAGACAGAAGAAGAGGAGGCTGAAGAGCGAAATAAGACTGTCCATAAGAAACAGGTCAAAGCGATCTACAGGTCAGCCTCTCGCTCATCTCCTCCGCTCACTCTTTCATCAGGAATCTACCTGTTTTAACTGTTTTTTTTTTTCTCCTGTATTTCAGTCAACGAGTGCACCGTGGGCACGATCACTCAGGTGACTATCAGCGACGAGACGTTCCCCTTCGACTACGACGATGTGACCCAGTTCAACTGCTGCCTCAGCGCCGCGACTGTGGCCGACAACCTGGATGCCATCACTGCCAAGGTGGACCAGGTGGAATACCTCGAGGTCGTTCTCAGCAAGCTCCGGGAGGTAGGTGACGGAAGCCTGTGAGGGTGTGTTCGCTAATGCCTTTTTGAATTGAGCGATAAGACTTCAGGTGGTTCAGATAAAAAGATAACTGTAAGAGACAGAATTGATGATGATAATAATAATAATAACTTATCAATACCAGACATTACAAAGTGCTTCACAAGGATGAAACAACAAAACAAGCAACATGCAGACAGTTATTCAAGATGAAAATAAAAGCACAATGAAAATAAAAAACCCAAATTACAAATGTAAAAATATGTGAAATATTTAAAGGATTATTCAAGATACTGATTTTGCAAGTACAAGTCCACGGGGCAAAATAAACAGCAGAGTTGACTTTGCCATTAGATGCATATTATTGCATACCACGATGATTATGTTTATTATAAGATGGGATTATATATTTTGTTCCTTTTTGAGAGAAGCTGCAGTGGAATTAACCTTGAAGACGGAAAATGAAAACTTGAGTGGATGTTAATAAACGGTTAATAAACTCCTGATGATCGGATCTCAGACTTTCTAGGAGCCATGAACACGACAACAAGAGAGTTAGAAGTTTCTACCAGGAGTTTTGATTTAAATAATATTTTGCACCAATAACCAAACAAACAAAAATCTGAAGGAAAAGATGGATCTTAACTGGTTTTAAACATCAGAGGAGGAGAAGGAGCTAATAAAACTATTTCACCGTTTAGGGAAAACAATGAAACGTTGAACTGAGAGTGTGAAATGAGCAGTGTCTAAGAAAATACCTGCAGTGCAAACACTCTGTAGTTTCCTCACTTTGAGTGACTCCGACACATAATCACAGCTCTGTGTTTCCTCTCTCCGTTTCTTCTCTTCACTCGCTGTGTCTTTATGCAAATAAACCTCCACAGAAAACCTTTAACAGATTATCTGATTCTCTGCCAGGCGAAACATAACATATATACATATATATATATATACACACATATTTATAGGCTTACGCCGCCACCTCCACCATCCCAGAGGATCAGGTTCAGCTCTTAGGCCCTGCGTCTCGTCTGGCCACTGCTGACGACATCAACAAGTGGAGCATCACTGAGATCGACACACTCGCCGCTTTGATGGACTCGTCCAACGGGCAGTGGGACCCGAGCCTGGTGAGCAAACGAGTCAACAAGTCGAGCGTGTTCTGCTCTGTGTTCTGTTCTCATGAATGCATGTTTCTCCTCGTCCAGGCTAAAGCCGTCATCTCTAAGTATCTGAGTAAAGCGGGGAATAAACTCGGCGGCGCAGAGCTCAACGCCATCGGAGGAGTCAACCTGTGCTCCCTGGACGTCGACGTTTTAAAGAACATTTCCCAACAAAGCCTCAAGTAAGAAGTCAAGGCCATGCGTGTGTTTGGAGGATTGTTACACCGGTATTGTGACACTAAACCCAAACAATGTTCATCACTGTTGCTGTATAAATGCTAATTCCTCTTTCCATTATTCTGATCATAGCGCAACATTTCTTAATAAACAACAATTTTTTTTAGACTAATAGAAGTAGATATTGTCAAAAAGCTCAGGTACCTCCCACCAGAGATGTGGTTTTCTCATACAACAGAAAACATGGGTTTTCCTCAGGCACACAACATGTAATAAGGATGATCTGGCACATATGAGTGTCGTTAAATCATCATGATGTTACAAAATAATAGATGTTGAAGGCAACTCTGATTCCAGTGTGAGGGATCCCCATTTATTTTTATGGTTTCCCAGCACCGGCTGTACCCCTCACGTCCTTGTCAAGTATATGACGAGTTTTGGGGGCTGTTCTTACCTACTTCCTGTCTCTAACTCTGCGTGTTTGTGTCTTGCAGAGACGCCAACGCCCTCAATGTCACCAGCTGCAGCACAGAGAAAAAGACAGAACTGTTCACCATCGCCAGACAAGCATTTAGAGAAAACACCCGCTCAACTATTTCTGTGCCCTTCTACCAGCTCATACAAACTTTTATGGGTAGGCCACCGCGCGCACACACACACACACACACACACACACACACACACACATCCACACTGCATGCAGAAAAACCTGAAAGTAAAGTTGAGTTCACTATCTAATGATTGTATTCATCGCTCATTTCTTTCCCGGCCTGCAGGGGGAGCAAATTCAAGCTTTGTCAGAAGTTTGTCAGTCTCAAACGTCAGCATGGACTTGGCTACGTTCACCAGCCTGGAGGAGAACGTTGTACTGGTCAGTTTATGCTCTGCTGGACTAAAATAAAATAAGTGTGTGTGTGTTTTTTGCGCATGAGTTTAACATTCCTCTGCTCTTCTCTCCCTAGAGCCTGACCGTTAACGAGGTTAAAGGTCTTCTCGGCACCAACCTCGCAGATTTGAAGTCCTATGAAAACCAAACGCTGGTCCGCAGCTGGATCAGCAGGCAGTTCCAGTCGGAGCTCGAAACGTTGGGAGTGGGTCTCGTGGGAGGTAGAGCTGACCCCACCACCAACGCTCCTGCTGCCAGCAGCTCATCAGCCACTGCTAGTGCTGGGTCTGGATCCACAGCGAGCTCTTCTACCACCACAGGTGAGCATTGACCATTGAGGAAACAATTTCCTGTTAGCCAAACCCTTCGTCTACGGAAAGGCAAGAGAAAAAAAGAGAGTTTCACACTATATTATTTTGGTTAATGGACATGGACTCTCTAATAGTTTAGATGCATTGATGTTAGATAAATACTTTAGAAATGTGATATATTAATTAAATAATGGAGAAAATAGTGTTACTGATCTCTTACGTGTTGTTTTCTAGGTGACGGTGTCCGCATCCGAGCAGACGCTGGCCTCTCCCTCCTCTTCCTCCTCCTCACGCTCTTCATCACCTCTCAGCACATCGCTCTGTGAAGAAATAGGACTCACATGGCGAATTATTTAATCACACCGTCCTGAATCGTTAAGTGGAGAAGATGAAGAAATAATGTTGTTTTGTATTTATCTCTAGTAGAAGGAAATAATGTCAGAGACGTGATGCAGACAGCCAAGGTTACCTCAAACCATAAGTGACATATAATGGCTACATACGACATTACATTGCTTACTATGCATAAAATATATTATGGTGCAATAACAACATGATAGATGTAAATAATATATTCTCAGTCAGTTAGTATCCCTTTTCCTGAAGCTTCAGTTGTTTCAATTGTTGAAATGAAGGAAGAAAAATGAAGGTGACAGTTTCTACTGTATTCGTCTCACTGTAACGCTGCATTTCCATTTTGACATAGCACTTTGTTTAAGCAGGCTGACCTCGAAAATGAACAGTTTGCCTGGAGATTTATGAGATCAATAATAAATGCATATTGTTTATCTTTGCATAATCATCAAAGCTCATCATTCGCTCGGTCACAGTTTATTATTGTCACGGATGAAAAGGGAATAAGTTACGAGAGGGTCACATTATTTTTTCATCTGCACCAACACACAGTTTGAGCTGTGAAGTCTTCGCTCTAACACTGCAAAACTTAATGCTGCAAATAACAACTGAATAAGAGGCATGAGTCGACATATAACAGTGTCAGTGGAAATCTTTATTACTGTCAGATTCAGCATAATTCAATTTACTGAGTTCAACACTGGTTCATTCGGGAGGAAACTGCTGACCGGTGAATGTGCTATAAGTTTAACCCTGAGTAGGGAACCATATCAGTTAGTGATGCAACTAATGATTACTTTCATGATTAATATTGTTATGTATAAACGGAAAATGTGGAAAATGCCCTATTCAGTTCACTATCATGTAGACAAAGTAAAGCATCAAATTCTCACATTTAAGAAGCACGAAACCAGCAAATGTTTGGCTTTTATGCTGTAGCGTTAACGCCATATTTTAGAATTTACTCTCGTTGATTTAAATTATTCCAAAGTTCAGTGGAGAATTACTCTCTTCTAGAGAGTAGAAAACGATGCAGAATCTAGAAGCTGAGATCTTTGAGAGAAGCCCGGCTCTGTAGCCATGTAAACTCTTAGCTCTAAGCTGCTAGCCACAAACTCATGCGTGTCCCTTGCGGGTTGATGCGAAATAAACTCTAATGCTCTTCACTTTGGCTGGATAACTTTAGAGGAGACTGGCGTTAACCAGATGACTCCAAAGTTGTCAAAACCTTCAAAAAGGAAAATTTGATGATGATTAAAAGTTACAAAAATGACTCTGAGGCACTTCTGTTGTTTCGGTTCAGTTGGTCTTGACTTGGCTTATAAAAGTAAAAGATTGCGCATGTAGACAAAAATGATGTTACTTGGAGCTTGTGGCAAAGAAAAATAAAGGACGCGAAAAGTGCAAAAATGACTAAGAGCCATGAGTTTGTGGCGAGCAGCTTAGAGCTAAGGGTTTCCATGGCTACAGAGCCGGGCTTTGAGCCGGGACTCTGAGCTTTGAGCAAAGATCTCAGCTTCTAGTTTCTGTTTTCTAGCTTCAGATTTTCAGCCTCTAGCTTTTAGCCTCGTTTCTCGCTTCTCGCATCTTCTTGTCATCTGGGTTTCTCTCCTCTTTTTCTTTTTTCTGACATGTGTGAATTGATCACGACTGTTTTATCCCCTGGGGGCTGGCGCATGTTTCAGGGGCGTCACCCATCTTCTCCTGTGTTTCCACTTGGAGAAGAGAGTAATTTTCCACTGAACTTTGGAATAATTTAAATCTAGAGTTTACTTATAAACTCGTACATCCGTCTTCCACCATGACCACAAAACATTAAATGAAATAACAGAAAACTACTTGCAGTAATAATGGCAGAGAGGAGTAATAGGAGTGTTGATTTCATATTACATCCTTCAAACCTGGAATTAATCATGATAAAAGTGATTAATTGATTAAACAACAATATAAACATTTCCTAAAGCTAATAGTCTATACATGTGGATTACACAGCAGTTCTTTGACTGTAATAATAATAATATGGACATGCTGGATGTCATGTAGTGTGTGTTACCTCGGGTGAAGGATGCTGACAGTACGGTCACATGAAGGACATTGTCTTAAAATCTACATGTTACATATCAAACATTCTATGGGACAGAAGTTTGGGATTAAACTATTGCATAGGAACATCTCATGAGTTACAGAACAGCTAGATATTTAATTTTACACATGTCTATGAAGAGAGCTCTGCTGGTCACTACCCAGGATTGGAATGTGGGTCGTAGTTTATGACTCTTATCTAGAGAGGGACAGAGGAAGGGAGGTTGGTGTGTGTGTGTGTGTGTGTGTGCGTGTGTGTGTGTGGGTTCATGCATGGCACAGACAGGCCAGGATTCACACCTTAGTGTTAATCAATCCTTTTGTTGTTACTTGTCCTATACAAGAAACAATCAAATATCATTAGACAAATCTTACTGTTACAAACTGGAGATTTTGCCTATATTCTCCAGTTGCCTGGTGTCCATTGGTTAATCCTCTGGAGCTGACCCTTTGACCTTTGGTCTGGTTCTGTGTCGTTCGGACATGCTGATAGCATGGTCTGTTTGTGGAAGAGGGGTCCTTTGTCTCTGTTTTCTATCAATTTGATAGTTTGATGGTGGGAAGAGTCACAAAGTGTCACTTGTGGGTCCGTAACTCTGCTTGTCCTTACAATGAACTTCCTTAATGGCTTGTGACTGATGCCAGGCCACACATGTACGCTACAATGCTTAAAAAATATATTTGATAAATGTTCAATTACCAAAATAATTGATGGTTAATTTGTTGTTGATTGACTAATCAATTAACCAACTAATCATTGCAGCTCTATCATCAGTTATAAGCGTTTATACACGCCAAGAACAGTCTTGCAGGTAGGACAGGTGTGCTTGGCATCTCTCAGCCGGTCCACGCAGAACGGGATGAGACAGCAACCTAAAACAAATCTGGAGAGGACAACATGTTCAATATGTCGTTTGAAAATTGACGTTATTTTAAAGTTTAAAATAATAATAATTAACAGAAAAAGAACTATTAAATATCCAACTATTTCTTTCTTGGTGAATAGTGTGATGAAGTGACGCCTTCTTACCCACAGAAGAAGAGGCCTCCACACAATATGTAGGTGAGCAAACCGGCGTTGTAGTCCACCTTGGTGAGGACCGTCTGATTGCACTTAGGACAGACAATCTGAACCGGACTGTCTCCCAATGGGCCGACTGTCACTGCACGAAACAAGGAGGGAGAGGTGAGGGCAGGCACATTCGTTTTGAATTGAATTAATTTAGATTAATTAGAGCTCGGCTGCTCATGTGAGGAGGAGTAGAGACTCACCAACAGGCACTTGTACATTTGCCATTTTCCCTGTGAACAATTCATATCAAAGGTGACAGTAAAAACAGGCCACAACATGAACTCACTCACAAATGCATACATTTTTAAAAAAAAACAAACTGATTTACAAATGTGGATGATTTGTAAATAAATTATAGGGATCATAAATGCGTTTTATCATCTACAGCCTTAACATAATAATTTGAAACCTTAAAGAAATGATCTTGCATTTGAACTCCAAAATGAATATGTATATGTAGAATAAATGCTTAATTTTAATTTAATTAATATGTACAGTAACTATAATAACTATAAATAGTAATACATGTGTAAATCTTCTTTATCTGTATCATGAAACAGAGATATACACATGCACAGTATATTAGGATTAAGCATCATTGATTCGTAGGGCAAACAAGTTCACAATAAAACAAGGACAACTATCTGCAAAATATCTACTAAAATCCTATAAATACTGAGACAATGACTTTAACAAATCAACCGTAACTTATTTAAATGTACTTACAGTTTGTGTAGAAGAATGTGTGACTGCAGATCGGACAGTTTTCCCACAGTGTGGGCGACACCTTCTCTGCCAACCTCGTTTACTTCCACAGAAGTCATGAGATCGGCTTGAATCGTCTGTGCAAACCTCACTGACCCAACCCTATCCCAAAACAAGGATGTATTTTAGATTTCTCGTTTTCCAGATCTGTGCATGAGAGGGATTTTGATGTACGTTATTTTTTTCTATATTTATACTTTGGGTTCACATTTGTTTGATTTTTTCTTAACCCTCTCTTTCACTGAAGTGGCCTATGGGAGAAACACTATTGTGCTTTACTTTAATGTTCAATGCATACATGTAGATTTACATTAATGCAATGAAAGTAAACTTAAAACTTTAACATGCTTAAGTAAAAATAACCTACAAATCTTCAATGTAAATCCAGCCTACCATTACCCTCATTACCCTGTTGTCAAGGGAAATAATTACTACTGTTGTCTTTTGTATTGTCTCAGTCCAAAGCAGCTAACACCATATAAATCACCATTTTCAAATATAACTGAAGAATAAAGACAAACAGTGAGTGCAGCTTGAGGTATTTTTAAGAACAGGAAACAGAAACATCTCTGTAAGTGAGAGGTTAACTGTGCATGACACTAACTGAAGACGACCTTTCACTGAGAGTTAAATTAACAGCACATGCTCCTGCTGCTCCAAATTAGATTCTGGCATTTACGTCTTTGCTGAACACAGTCGAACTGGATTCATGGTCACACAGTGCCAGTCTGTTGTCACTCTACGTTCCCTAAAGGATAAAACTGCATTCATATTCTTGGGCCCGAAGGGGGCATCATCGAAACAGTTTGAGCTCATTTATCAAATTTAACTGTGTGGTTCAATGTCACTAATCTCATCAACGTTTTCCAGTCACAGCAGCTGTTTTAAAGGTCGTTTATAGTGTAAAGGTAGAAGTCCTTTTTCGATTATAGATCAGGTCTAGGTTCTATATTAACACTGTGAAAGTATTGAAGTGCTCAGTCCACAGAGAAATTCACACAGCCTGTATTCAGAAACTGTCTTAAAATGAGCTGTAAGGACTTCTGTAACTTTGTGATGTCACAACAAAGCAGTCACCACTCTTTCACGTCTGCAAGCTCCGCCCACCTGGACCCACCATCCAACCTTGAATGCACAATCCTGCATGTCAACCGCAATATAAACAGGCCAGCGATAAGATGAAAGATTTTTAATCAGTAAAAACAGGTGCAATATTTCACATGTAAACAATTGCAGCATCTCATTCTTAATACCTGAATAGTTACACAGAAATTATATTTTAGTGACTCAAGGATTCCTGTAAAAATAGATCAGTTTAACAAAAGAACTTTATCCCCTTCAAAAAAAAAACAACAAAAAAACAAAACAAAGGAAGTGCTCATAAGCTCACCTCCTGCTCGATGAGCAGGTGCCATGTCTTCAGGATTAAATAAATCTCAGCTCCATTAGTAGCCCTTTCTCCTGCAGCCAAACTCTACATCACTAACCTATGGTCACGCATTAAGCTTCTACTGTGCATTAATTTAAAGGATTGTAAAGCAGCAGGAAAGAGCTTACTGTTAATTCTCAAATAGTGGCTTTTATATTTACCTCAGTGGCAGAGAAGAACCATTTATTTCCAAGATTCCCTGCTCCCCAGTCAACGCCAACACAACACCTCCTCCGTGTTTACTTCTGTCTTGTCTCAACTATAATTAACATTTCCACAGCACTAATTCCTACAGCAAGAGTCATGTCAGACGTTCCATTTTGTTTTTTCCCCCTGAGCAATGTTTTTAAGCCACCATGATTTGAACTTTATTTTACAGGTTTGCTCTTTCCTAATCATTTCTTTCAAGTTTCCTGGGAAAAAAAAACATGTAGTTTGGTCTAATTCCAGGAAATATAGAGACAAAGTTCTGAGGCTGTTATTTTAGTTCAATTACTTGAGTTTATTATTGATTTTCAGATGGATTTCCATGAAAGAAGCTGTACCCTTCAAACCCCATTGAAAATGTATTACTCATTTGTTTATTATTAGATACTTTATTCTTTATTCATACTGAATTGTGAGTTTCTAGACACATTTGACATGTTGCATGTGAAGTTCCCCTCTTACCTTCAGAATAAAAGTCTCAAGGTTGTGCTAGCTTAGCATTTAGAAATAACAGGAAGTACCAATTGATCACTGACATTTTACATCTAGCTTACCAAAATATATGATTCTTTCCAGGAACCAAACTGGAATTTATGGACCTGTAAAAAGAAGTTACCTCAACACCTCCAGAATTTTCACATTAAAAGTCCGGCTGCCTTCCTTTCATAGCTAGGCTTTTAATGTGAAAAAAACTCGGGGAAGCATTGAGAGTAGCTCAGCACTGATCAGGAGCAGGGCAGAGAAGAAACAACAGGGATCAGGAGTGTGAAAATATTATTTCTGTTAAAAAAAGAGAAAGTGAGCAGCGGAGTGGTGAGAATAACACGACTCTGTTGTTGGACTGGTGGAATTAATGCTGTGGAAATGTACATTATACTACATTTACCATGTGTAGTAGGCTACAGGTCAGTTCACCTCCCTCAATGTTTTTTAGTGACAGGACTATATTTGTTGCTGCTGGTCATAGAAAAGGCCATGACATGAATATTGTTTTCTATATGAGGATTTATGTTCATTCAGGGAACGTAGAGAATTTGGCTGCAGAGTCTTTTTAGAAAGTTTAACTCTGGTTACGTTTTCACCCGTCAACAGACATTACATCTTTCAGAAATGAGTCGTTTGAACTGAACGGTTGGCACTGAATTCCCACACTTTGTTTGTTCTAAGAGTGGATGAGCCCACGATCATCACAGCACTTTGGAGTTTTCTGTCTCTGCTGATTCCTTCGCTACTTTCTTCCTCTTACGTTTCCTCACTTCTGTCGTGATTGGCAGCAGCCTTTATTTTCCTTCTGATCTTCTACGACAGATTGACGACTGTCCTTTCATCCTCATTTTCTCTTTTGACAAAATCTACTTGGTCGTTGCCCTGTGGGTTTCACATGACCTCCTCATTTCAGCTTCATTTTGTCCTGTTTCACCACATCTCAGGTCTGATCACAGCTTTTTTCCGTCCTCTCTTCATTTCCTGGCCCTGGTTCCTCTCTCTTCCTCGTCTCTGTGATATTTTCTCAGGATTCCCTGCAGACTTGTGGTCAGGAGGCCATATGGCTTCTTTTCTGTTCTGCCTCTTTCCTCTCCACCTCCGCCTGCTCTCTGGCCTCCGTCCTGTCCTTCAGCGCCCTCAGCAGGATCCTGAGCAGCGTGTTTTCATTCAGCAGGTTCTCTGAGGTGTCTGCCAGCTCCTGCAGTCGTCTCACCGCTTCCCCGAGCTGCCGGCTTTTCTCCTGGTGCTGCTCCTCTAAGCTTTGCATCTCTCGCTGCAGCTCGCCGTTCTCGGCTTCCAAGTTGCGAGTGTCAAACGTCAGGCGCCGGTTGTCGCGCCACAGCTGCGCCAGTTGTTGGGAAAGACGTTCGCGGGCGTGATGCAGCGCTTGAACTTCGCGCTTGAGTGCCAGGAACTCTGCGCGGAGGATGGCGCTGGGTCCTGAACCGTTGGCGTTGACGGATGATGTCACCGGTTTGTCTGCATCATGCACGGAGCCAGAGTGCTGCAGGATGAAGTGAAGGAGGTTGGGTAACGTGATGGGCAGGTCATCTGGAAACTTCACACTCAGATGTTTTCTTGAAGAGAAGAAGAAAGAGGGAAACCAAGGGTGAAAACAATTCTACTAGAATTTATTTATAATAATATCTTATATCTTGATGAAATGGTTTTGTAAAATTCTATTTCTTCTTTTGATCAGTTTTCTTTTGGGGGTTATAACATTATTCATTTTATTGTATTCTTTTTTTATATTACCATATCTATTAATATTTACTATATTTATCCCAGGTAAAATAGATTAAAATAGACAGATGTTCTCAGCAAAATAACATGACAACAATAAATACAGTACAACAAAACAATATAAACAGCAAATGAATGTTACACACAACAAAACATATAAATAATAAGATATGTAGATATATAACAAAGACACAAACAAGCATGAGTCAAAACTGAATGAATACTGTATGCAGTGTCCTCTAATTTTGACCAGGTGTTACTTGAAAATCCACGTGTCTGTGTGTGTGTGTGTGTGTGTGTGTGTGTGTGTGTGTGTGTGTGTCAGAGAGATTATTCTCACCTGTATCTGGGAAAGAGAAGAATAGAGGGAACATGATCAGCCATGAACTCCCAGGGAAGGTCATTGCGGGCAACATTCACCCTACGCAGAAGAGAATTGTGGGTATATATTTATATTATTTTTACTTTTCCTTTTACTCCTACAGAGTAGTGCCACAACTCCTTCATAAACAGTCAAACACACCTGGCCACAGTGATGGTGCTGTTTCCCTGTAGTAATCTGGCCAGCTGGATGATGATGTGGTTGAGAACGGAGCAGAACCCACACCACTGAGTGTAGTAGAACAGCAGCACATCCTACAGGAGAACACACACATATTTATATTTGTCTTTGTGATTCATTCTTTTTGAATATGTTAAGGTTATTTCACCTCCTGCACTCAATATATATTGTTTTTATCAGATTTTTTAACAGTTTGTTAAATGGCAATAAACGTTAACTTAACTTGAGTGTGATTGTAAGATTAAGTGTAAGATAATGGGTAGTGAAACTATTAGTTAAACTATTTTCTTTAGTTTAACTTCATGAATTGGGTTTTTGTGTGTGTTTGTGTCTTTGACATGAACAACATCTGATAATGCAAAAACATTTAATTTAACAAAAACATTCAAATTTAATTGTAAATTTTGCTTCTTCCATTCTCTGGCACATATACTGGAGAATGATGTGTCAGAAATGATGCAGGTGCACTGCGAGTGTATTATGATAAACTTCTTCTTCTCTCTTTTAACTGGTTTGGGACGGTCGCTAAATTCCTTCACACAAATGCACAAATGGATACAGAGCGGACGGGATGAGAGTGTAATGGCCAGACAGATATTGTAGAGTTTTCTCTCACCTTTTGAAGATCCATGACGGAGGGCAGGAAGGAGGAGGTGGTCAGTTCTGTGATGAGGGGGCGGGGAGATATCCGCTGGCGTTCATCTGGACGCCTGGCTTCCTCCTCACCTCCTTTCCTGTTCTCCTCTCCGACTAAGTGTCTTTGCAAGAGACTGTAGGGAGCACTGAAGTTCTTGATGAAGGCCTCTTTAACACACACGCGCACACACACAGACAAACACAGACAAACACAGACAAACACACACACACACACACACACACACACACACACACACACATACACACACACATACATACACACACACACACACACACACACACACACACCATGAAAACAGAGAGTTACTATAAGGATCATATTCAAACAGTGCCTTTACCTGTAGTTTTAAAGACATGAATAAATGTGAATCAGCTTTTATTATTCTTATAACTTTAAATTATTACTGTTCTTCTCAGTCTCTATGCATTGCTGTTTCCAGACTTATCACACTAAATGTATAAAATCGAGCCACATAAAATACAGTCTAAATGGACGACATGAAGGTCGTGTGATTTCAGTCACAATTTTACAACAGCAGCAGCATGAACAGAAGGTCAGGACTCACAACTGCAGTTTGTTGCCTTTTTGGTGACATTAGACAGTTATCAAGTGCTGTGCTGTACTGTTCATTAGAAACAATAAATCGCAGCTCGCCGTGACTTCATTATACATCCTGTAGGAGCTTAAAACAACATAATTAGAAGTTAAAATTTTGACGACAAAAAAGTCATCAGATAGATACTTTAAAAGGTCACAATACCTTGTATCCTTTTCAATGCAAATTTGTGGTGACTCTTCCCTGAAAGCATCTATATGTGCACAGTATGCAAAACACCATGAAACTAAGCCTGTCAGCTCATCTGCTGATATGAAAGTCGGTTGTTTGCCTCAGACATAATTCTTGGGTGATGTGCTGAAATTGTGGCAAACCTTGAGCCGCTTACAGAATCAGTAACTCAAGCCAGACGAAGACAGTGATTTTACTCCTCAACTTCCCAGCAGGCACAAAGTGTGCTCACTACAGTTTACTCAAACCATCAACAGGCGCAACACAAAGTTCATAATTTCATTGGAGATCACTTTTGTATTCTAAGCTATTGGATAATAGATTTTTGACTGCTGATGTGTCAGAAGCGCGATGGCCACTTTCACATCATTTATATGTGTATGTAATGTCACCTTCTCCAAAAATAGACAACAAAGGCTGGACTCAGTTGTTGGGCTGCCATTTCCTCATTATTGTCGGCAACAAACTACAAGCAAAACAACATTTAAAAATACTGGATGTAAAACAATGCTGCAGGAAATGGTAGCGTACCTGAACCTTTAGAAAGTACCAACCCCCTGGACGGAGACTTTTTGAGGGGTAAAATTTCTCCCCAAAAATTAATTTAGACACTAGGGAACATAGTTTGAGGAACTAAGTTCCTCAGAAGTTCCTGCTACTAGAGGAAAGTTCCTGTGGTGGAAATGCACCTAAAGAACACTTTTAAGGAGAGGCTGGCTGAAATGTACACTGTTGACCCCATCGAACGATTATTATTAAAACCTCTCTTACAGAATCAAACAAAACATTAACATGAACATTACTATCTTTGTAAAGGTAGAGTTTATGGCTGAGCTGTTGCATTAGATTTTAAAGTGGCCACTGAGTGTAAATATGATTCTGTCCTCGTCTTACCCAGAGACTCTGTTAGTGTGGTTGCTGGGCTGCGATGGAGAACATAATGAACCTCATCCTTCAGGTTCACAATAGCTGCAAACGACCTGTCACTGCTCCCATCACCTGGTGTACCGGCCTCCTGGTGAAGAGAAGCAGTCCTGTTGCCTGTTGCCCCGAGCCTCACCGCTAGAGGCCAGTTGAGAGCAACATCCAGCACATAAAACCTGAGCGTCCTGTTGGTCTGACAGCGGAGCCCTGTGATGCCATCTCCTCCCTGCTGAGGGACAGAAGATGGAGGGATGGACGACCAAGGAGGTGTAAGGGGAACTCTTTGTACGTCTGGCCCCTCTTTGGCTTGTGATTCATTGAGTTGAGGTTCTACTTTTCTGCAGCAGGCACTGTATTGACTAAACGGGCTGTAGCTGTTCAGAAGGTTGCTACAGCCCTCTGAGGTCGAAGTTTTTATGGACATGGGGGCAGGTAGTTGGTGGAGGCAGCAGTGTCTGAGATAAAACTGCAACACGTCTCCTCCCTGAGCCGCAGAGGGGAACGAGCAGCGTATGGAAGAGCTGGTCAGACTCGGTCCTGACAAGCTGTGACACACCTCACACACATTTGTACTGGACTCTGGGAGAAGAACAGACTGGCAGCACAGTGAGTTTTTGTCCAAGCTGGAGTGGTTAATATTGTCACAGGAATGATAACGCACAGCAATGTCAGCAATCTGAAAGACAAAAAAAAGTATAATAATGAGAGTTTTACATAATACAACAACAACAGTAATAATAATTATAATAATAATAACTTCTATAGCACTTTTCAAAACAAAGGAAATAAGATAAAAATAATAAAAACAATACAAACTGTGGCAAAAAACAACAAAAAATGATTCATTTTATTTGTACAGAACATGTACAGAGTTACTTGTGGTTCACAAAGTAAAGTAAAACAAAGTAAATTAAACTAATGTACAGAAAAAAGGAAAAGATAAAAAATAAAAATCACACGACAACCTCAAGTAACCTCCAAGTTAGTAACCTCTAATTACTAACCTGGTACTAGGAATGGAAAGGAAACCTTTGTGTGGAATGTTTTTTAAGTAGAGAAAGGAGGACATATAACCTTGTTTTCTTGAGCATCAAAACTGAGGTTGGAGAGGAATAGGAGATGTTTAGCTACAGGTTTAACATTTATTAACAAAGTCACTGACAAGGATATTATGGAAACTGAATGAAGCTAGATGAACCGAATATTGTATTGTTTAGCTATAGGACACTGTAGGACATCTAGCATTTAATCTTCTTACAGCAGTTGATGAGACGAACAAGACAATGTCACCAGGTGTTATTGATGCAAACACCTGGTTGTCATCAGCATAAAAATGTAAAATTCTAAATTTAATTTAATATTATAGTTGCAAATAATGTCCCCAAGAAGAAGCGTTATAACAGAAAACAGTAGTGGATCTAAAACTGAGCCCTGTAGCACACCACAAGTGAGATGAGCAGATGAAGCATTTCCAACAAAAGTAAGGTACGATCTACGGTTTAGGTAGGATTAGAACCAGATTAGACCAGTATCAAAGAAACCTACCTATCTTGAGGAAATTAAATGAGATGCTTTGGCGCACTGTATCACATCACTGCTCACCTGCTGTAGTATGGGATTGGGCTTGGACCCGAGTGGATTGTGTGGCAGGAACAGCAGCAATGCAGGACCTTTAGTCAGCTCGTGTTCCAGGAGGCGGGACTTTGTTCCTGGGGGCTGCATCCACTGGAGGACGGTCTCATGGTGTTCAAACACCCAGCTACAGATGGCCTCTGACGTGAAGTTACGTTCCCTTCGGGGGAAAATCTGAAAATAAAGAAAAACGTACAGCACGATGCCGGTGACATGCCTTAGTATATATCCAGAATTCTATTAGAATTTATTCCATGGTTAATCACATTTTCTAGCCATTTTTTGTGGTCCATCGTAGTCTGATGCCATTGCTTACCAAAGAGGAGTTAAGTCTTCTGTGGAGGTAAACTGTTTCATCTTCTTTTAGCGAGATGGCTTCAGCCACCTGTTTGTTGGTCACAACCCCAAAACGCACAACTCCACGGTAATCTGCACCAGAAAAACAGCAAAGTTCAGGAGAGAAGAATGAAAACATTCTGTCCTTTCTATCCTCACTTACAGTATATTTGAAACACACACAGGACTTCTGCATAGACATTGCCCACAGTATTTATTTTTGTGTGAAGAAGAGATGTAAAACCAAGTATATTGAGAGTATAGCTGCAATGATTAGTTGATAAATTGATTAGTCAATCGTTTTGAGTCGTTTTTTCTTTAAGCACATTCATTGCATTTTTATTTGTTGCAGATTTATCAAATGCCAATCGCCTAATTGATTCATCGACTACTGTTTCAGAAGTAAGAGCTGGTCTCAGTGCTGTATGATCACTTCTTACCCCTTTTGAGGGCCTGCAGGGCAGAGGACAAATATGTGATGTACCCAGGCGGCTGAGGAGAGGAGTTAAACTGGAAGAAACCCACCACTCGAGGCTAGAAATACAGAAGACACACAGAATATATCAAATGATATCACATGGTAACATAGCTTCATTCAAATAAAACACCCAAGATTTTCTAACACACTTTTAACACCAAGAAATTCAAACATTCAGGTCGTTTCTTCAAGAGACTTAGTAAAAATCAAAGCACAACTACAACTCTTTATAGTACAAAAATCGACCAGCATAAAGTTTGTGGGTGATTCTCTGCCAACTCTCCATCAGATGGCCTGACGCCAAACAATACCTCGTGGTAGGAGAGGAACTCTTCAACTGTGGCTCTTGATGGGAGGTAAGTGAGCGGTGTGATGACTCTCAGGATAAAACTCTCCACATATGGAGCCACAAATGGACCTTTGTACTCTATAGGCCCAAACCTGCAGCACAGAAACCAAGACAAACAACATTATGGATCAGATAGGTCATCTTCCACTAACAGCTCACTTCTACAAGTTAAGATGTTATTAAACATCAATGTTGGAATTACACTTTAAAACATGAATACCCATGAAAGTTGCTTAACTTTCTCTGGATCACATTCTTCTTGTGCTTACAATTTATCTAGAATTTTGTCATCTTAATTGTCCATATTGAAAATTTACTAACTTTATTCTGTGCATGTGACATGTTTAACATATCCATCCTCCCTGGAAGAAGGATCCCTTCACTGTTGCTCTTCTGGGGTCCATTAAAAGGTTTTTTGGGGAGTTTTCCCAAATGTGCTTTGGTAGTTTTTGTGATATTGGACTACATAAATGAAGTTGACTGGACTACACATGCTGCACTTCAAAGTGCTTCACAGTGGAGGCCTCACAACAACAAAACAAGATGAAGATATCACCCCAGACTTCTACTAAGTTGTCATGAACTGTATAAATAATGATTAAATGAAAGGCAACAGAATTCTGTGCTCTTCACATTTGGAAGCTAATTTTGATAAATCTTGTATTTCTTATTAATTCAAAACTATTTATTTTTTTAAGACAAAATAATTAAACAATTATTCAAAAAGAAAAATCAGCAGTTGAATCAATAATTAAAACTTTTCTTAGTTACAGCTTTGCATCAATTGTACAACCGCCCATATGGATCAGTCCTAGTTTTATTCTTGGTGTCTCCATGGAGACCGTAGATGTTCATAACTATATTTACCCATGTAAGGGTTAATGCTGTACTTCTATTCCTGCACTATTGGAAAATGAACATAAAAAATAAGCTGTCATAAAAACAATTCAAGCATATCAGCAAGTTAGCTACAGTCGACCAAGATACTCTGGTGGTCTATATATCACATTGACGACGACTGAAGAGCCACTTTTTTAAAAAATTGGTTAAAACAGTTAAAGCCAGGAAAACATCCGGAAAATCCATTCTACAAATGTTATAACAAAAACAGTGGTAAGACAACAAAAATCTTAGAAGTAAAAGTAATGAATGTAAGATAAGAGATAAAGGCACCCTGGGAAGTTTCTGACCATATATGGGTCTTATGGAGCAAAGCTTTAAGTGTGTGTTCCTGTTTCATTTGTTCTTGGACTCATACACCTGCCAGTAGTTTCAAGCTATTCCAGTGATCTACAGGGTTAGGGTTGGGAAACGCAACAAGAAACGCAGCAATCCACTAAATAAAGGCAGGAAAGATAAGACTGCTAGCAAAGTGAACATGGAAGTAAACAATGCAGTTTTCAAACTTTTGAGTTTAATCAGCCTTGCAAAAGTTTTATTTTCAATTCAAAATCTTCACACCCTCTGTCCTGTCAGATAAGGAAAACCTCCCAAAACAGGGAAACAGAATACAGAATAGACCAACAAGTGAAACTGCGGAGGTGACAGACTTCAGTTAATGGGCTAGTTACCATTACTGAGCCGTGAAGGGAAAATATTCTCAAAAGTCACAGCAGTCATAACTATTACGTCATGCATGTAGAATACAGTTATGCTGGTCTGGCACATTTCCCACAATTCTTTACCATCTACTACGAATGTTTAAAGTCTTCTCTGTCTCACCTTCGATAAAACAGGTGGATGATGGGATACTGGTAGAAGCGGTTTTGCCTCCTGCATTTCCCCTGACTCCACCAGCAGTTCACAGCCACAAACTGCACCTGTGTTTGTGTGAGGAAGACAGAAAGACAGGGTTAAAGAAACAAAACTAATTCCAGACAGAGTATGTTGTGATTCCATTCTCAGCCATGTATGAGTTAAGGCTTTATCTTGTTAATAACTTTTTCATTGTGAATTTAAGGCTTGATTTGATTTTATAACTCCAACAGATTTGTATAAACCCCACATAAACTGAGTAGCTCTACGCTGCTCTTTGTCAGTATAATTATTAATTAAATACCACTCTGCATAAGCACTTCAGACAACAAGCCCCTACTTTATGGAATCCTAGAAGTTATATTTACTCCTCCAGATGACTGACGTGTCTCTGTAAGTTGACAAGCATGTTACTACAATAAGCCCTTGTTTTCTGATACGTTGTCAGTCACTTGAGGTTATTATTTGGTATTTAAATAATCCTGCAGAGTGGTGCTCGTTGTGACCTCAGGTGCCCTGTACCTGTCTGGCCAGCTTCTTAGCAACCTGCTGCACTTCCTGTCGGGCAGCCATCGAGTGAGCACACCACGGTGCATAGAAGAAGATGAGAGAGACCTCTGCCATACTCCTCAGACGCTCCACCTGGAGAGAAAATGTTCATGTTGTTGACATGTTCTAGACTTAATCGCTGCAATTCTGTCTGTGTTCATGATCTTGAATTTATTACTACCAGGGACTAAGACTTGTAGCTTAAATGCTCTGAGAAAAAAAAACATATTTAGTATCAGGTGTCTATGTCTTTGACTCTCACCTGGTCCAGCTGACCCAAGTAGAGGTCGACTACCGGGGCCTCGGCAGAGAAGAACCGCACCGGAGGCCGAGCCGCTGCCACCACATTCTTGGCACGGCTAGAAAGAAAAAGAAAAGATTTTAGTGTAAATTAAGATTCATAATGACACCAACAATATGGGGTATGGCAATATACATCCTGAGACAATATTGGCACCATTTGGCATCAGTGTTACCATACATAAAAAAAATTATTCCAACGATAAAATCGGCCACAACTACAGTCACTGAACCACGGGAGAAGAAGGATTTCCCTGAACTCATTTGTCTGCAATTTGTTTAAAGTCTCAAGCTCTCTGGCAGCAAGCTCCATAGCTGGGTTCACCGAGTGAGTGTGTGCGTTTAGTCCACAAACAATGAGCCGCTCAATCAATAAGTCTATCGACAAATTTTGATAATCAGCTGATTGTTTAAGTCATTTATCAAGCAAAAGTGCCAAACATACTCTGGTTCAGCCTTGTCAGTCTGCTAACCATTTCAGTCTAGTTGATTCATTTTGTTTTCAATCGGTTAATCATTGCAGCTCTAATTTTGAATGAACTTTTATTTGTACTATATTTTAGACATAAATAATTTTACTACTTTTCCTAAGTTAAAAGATTGCAATACTTCTACCTCTTCTGAACAGGATAAAGAGGCAGGATGTGCCTGTGATAATTTGTCTGCAACTTGTTTCAGTTTCAATGTTTCAAGCTGAAACTCCACAGCTGGATTCACTGGAACGATGACAGAGCTGAGTAGCTTGTTTGTAAAAGATCTCCAAGATCCAAGATCTTCATAAAAATCCACAATTAAATGAGTACAGTAACACTCTTGGGAAATAAACAATCTATGTAAATGGTTTAAAGCATTAGTTAATCCTCTTGTCCTTGGTCAGATTAATCTCCTGTGGGACCACAGGGCAAAGATTTGTTGTTGGGCCCCTTTTGACTCCCACTATTCATGGCAGTTTCATTACTTGACTGATAAGTCATAAGGTCAGTAAAATGAAAACTTTCCATTCCAACTTCCCAAACTCCACATTTATGTCTTCAGATGTCTTGTTTTGAGAGATAAACAGTCAAGTAAGATGTTCAGTTTACTATTGTAGAAAACAAAGGAAACCGGAAAATATTCAAATAAAAGAAAAAAGTGAAACCAAAGAAATCAAAAAAAAAAAAAATCAAAACCACAAATCATTTATCAAAGAGAGATTATTCTTCTGTTGTTTGACTTAAAGCTGCAGCTCGAGTACAAAGACAATTGTTGGTGCAGCCTTACAGTTCTCCCTATGGTGGAACAGTGCAGCCTTGCCTGAGACTTTCTGTATGTTCATTATTTGAGACACAGAAAAAGCAAAAGCAATTTGATAAAACACAACTTTAAAACAAAGCAGCTCAACATAAACTACAACAATTAAGGTCTTAAAACTAGATTTTGACACAGGGTCCCTCTACGACATAAGAGCCACAGGACAGAAGATGGAGGACCCCATATGGATATTTTGAGCTTCGGTGGTACTAATTTCTGACAAATGTGATTAATCAAATAATGTAGACCCAAATGACATGGAGTGAACTTGGATTTAGATGTTGTTGTCATGCTGTTGAATCGTACTGCGTCATACAAAGAGGCGTGTGTGTTGTTTAGCCTACCCTTATCGATTTGAATGGGTTGGACTCATAATTGAAACACCTGTCAACATAATACAACGCAGTTCAAAAGCAACGCAGACTACATCATCCAAAACAATCATTCATACAGAAACAGAAGACTGAATCCTTCATGGATGTAGGATGTATTGCACTGTTGTATTTGGCCGCATCAGTTTTACCTGTGTTCATAATAAACTGCCAACTTAGTGTATACTGCTTCAGCACATGAGGTCTGGTTGTACAAGACTCAATGGGAACTTGGAGGTGCCAGGGTTCATATTCAGAGGGTGATAGGTGGAGGGGTCAGTAGTGGGGCCCCAACTGCAAATTTTCTTAATGACAGGGCTGAGTTGATCGTTATACTGTTGTCTTTAAGGTCATTTACAAATACAGAAGCCAAAACCTTTCACGAGAATCCATAATTAATGGAGTACAGTGACACTCTATGGAAGTACACCGTCTGTTTAAACGGTTTAAGGCATCAGTTAATCCTCTTGTCCTACAGCACACGTCAGTTTCTGTCAGATGTAACGTAACTACTTAATAAAGACCTAGTTATGACTAGATTATAATAATGAGCAGCTAATTTTCAGATTACTAATCCCACAACATCTCTCAGTGACCCGTTCAGTTATACTGTTCAGTAGTTTTCATGTTACCCTCGTTCAACAAAAACAAGCTCACACTAACAGAAAATTAACAGAAGCCGGTCTAGTTTACCTGCATGTGAACTTGACAGCCAGTATAAGCAGGACGCCGAGCACGATAGCCCCGCAGAGTAGATCCGGTCTCCGGGCCATCAGAAACAGCACCTGCCGGAGAGACTGCCGCACCCGGCGCAGCATTACAGCCTGTCGTCGGCTCTCAGTCCCATTTATACGCCCCGGCTGCTCAACGCGTCCATTTGCCTAACTGAGAGGGGGGGGGGAGTGGGTTGGGAGGAAGACTGGTTCGACGAGAGACAGAGCTAACCTGGATTGGACATCTGTGCTGCTCGTGTGTACGGTATTCAAACACGGTCAGACCAACCTTTCTTCCCCACGTAGACTTTTCACTTCCGCAACAACCACGTCGGGGGGTCCTCTATGAAATGTTGTCGGCGGTTAAAAAAAACGCGCGGTAAGTTTAACACCGTGATCGAAACGTAGATTGAAAAAAATATGATTGATAGTTATACTGGCTCGCGTTAAGGTGGAGCAAAGCCGGTCTAAATATTTATCGTGTTTTAATTTGTCTTAGTTGTTCTTTTGCGTTTTGAGTCTTACGTGCTCTTTTGAGACAGTTCCTACGTTGTTATGGTGACAACCGTTGCTGCCACGACAACCGTAGAACGCTAGAGGGCGGTCGTTCTTGAATGCTCAATTAAACTTTATTTACATTTGGATTGGCACATTATGATTTCTATTGTTCTTTTAAGGGAAAAGATCTCAATGCAACTCCTGAAGAAAATAGATATTAAAAATTAGCATTTCTTCAAATGTTACTACACTGTTCATTTTTATTTCATGAACTCAAACAGAACAAAATTAGATAGATAGATCTTTATGTTTTGTAATTTTCAAATTACGACATCATGAGGAAAAACAACAACAGGATAACATTATCTAAAAATCTTTATTTTTCCTTGGTCATTAGAGAACACTGAAGAACAAAATCACAGTGTAGAACTTTGAAGTGCAAATGAACAATGTAAAAAAGAATGTATTTGATTGGCTCTACCCACCCACCACATGTAAATGTATACTGAAGCAGAATTTATTTTAACAATAAAAAAAAATGTGCAACACAATCTTTCTCAGCAGTACAAGCAAATAAAAGCTGCTACAAATAGTTTCTCCTTAAAATCATAAAAATTGGACAAGATTTGCATCAGTATTTAAAAAAACATGAAGAACAAAATTTTTATTTCCAATCTAAGTGCCACAAATCTCATGAAAGGAACATTTGGAACTCCTGGAACAAACTTCAATGTTGAACATTCGTTTACCATGACTGTGTTCTTTCTTCCCTTGAATCAATGCTAAAGCTTGAGGTTCCTAACAGGCTGCAGAACTATGAGCCTCAACAAGTCACATGACACATTTCACAATCATGTTGCCAAACCTTGTAGAATTAATCTGTGGACATCTTTGTAGCACCAAGATCACAGTCACAGCCAGAGTCACAATGAAGACCCAGAGTGCACTGAAATTTATGTAGAATGAGGATTTATACACACTTATAACACTGTTTAATTCAAACTGATACTTTTAAAGCAACAGCTTTTCATTTAAGTGATTGCTAATTGCATGCCAAAAGACACATGAAAATAAAACTTCAACAAAGTTCAATTATACTTGTTTTGTTCCACTGTCATTAGCGAGGACTGTAAAAAAAAAATGCTCACCTTTAACTGGACTTCAGCCATCTCAGTGCTACAAAGCTATCAACTGTCAGGAAACTCCTAATGAAGCCGATCCTCATTGCCACCAATGTTTGAACATGACTTATCATTTGCATTACTGCCCCCTGGACCATTTAGGCAATGTGGTTTGTGAATGCACTGCGCACGCAAAGAGAGATCACTGCGGTAATCTCTCCGAATCAATAAGATCACAGATATTTCACTGTTCCTTATCTGGTTGGTTTTGCTTCTCCTAAAATAGCTCAAAGCCTCTCTTGTTCCTCATGGCAACCATCCATCAGAGAGACAACACTGGAAGCGAGAAAACCTCCTTTCCAACAGCAAACAAAGCCAGTCTCATATGAGTTTAATGCTGAAAATAAACACTTTCTCTTCAGCAACTGGATGTCTGGCTATTTACTTTATTTGCTGTGAAGTGTGTGGCATTAATTGGGCACTGACTACATGCAGTTTGTTACAGTGCCTGTGTTTCTGGGTGCATTAGCTGCTGCACCACAAGGTCTATATTTATGATGGGACTGAAGTAAAGCGCCCAGTAGAAGAGGCAGTTGCACACAAACTGAGGGACAAAAGGCCACAGGAGGGCAAAGGCAAACCCCTGAGATAACATCTTCCACAAGTGGTTCCACATCTTACGTGGCAGAGTCCTAAAGAAAGATAATAAGGTCAGTTAATAAGGTCAGTATCAGCACTAATACATTGGACTGGAGCATCCCTGTTCTCAATTACATGTATCTGAAACACCCCAGATTGTAAAACACAGCTCAAGTTCAAGGCAGAATCAAGCACTGGAGTCTTATAGGTTCTTAAAACTGGTTGTTAAGTTCCCCTAGCAGAAAATACTTTTATGTTACTGTGTGTGTTTGTGTCATAAAGAGAAAAAAAAGGATCAGGAAGAAAACAACCAGCCCTCCCACAGTGTGTACCTGATCCTCGCTGCTGTCCAGAGTCTCCACAGGGCGCAGCCTTCCAGCACAGACAGCAACATGGCGTTCACGATAATGAAGCGAGATGTCCAGTAGTGGACGGCCAACCAGTCCCAAGCAAACTCTGCTATCAGCTGGTATGGTAGCAGAAGGTACTTCACAAGAAACTCTCCCCACTGTCGCCAGCTGGGCTCCAACTAACACAAGAACATCATGGAGAACAAAAAAATAACACTTACAAATGTTTTTTATTCATTAAAACAGGTATTAGTGTAAGAGAAAGTTCTTTTTAGTTTTTTTTTTTTTTACAGTAAAATCATACAAAAAAATCTGCACGCACAATAGGCCTATTTATATGGAGATTTTTGAACAGAGTTTAATTTAACAATACTAGTTGCAGTCATAATTATCACTGAAGTGATATCACTAAGTAAAAAGTAAATTAATTACCACACAGTGCATACTGTTCTGGCACCATTTTTGGTGTAATTGAAATGAAAATCTGACAAAGTGCGATACTGACAGCCATGTTAACGCTCACAGCATCATCTTAATCTAATTATTAGCTGTAACCACATAATGTGCATGTAAATGTACCTATCCATTACTACTGGATTTTACGATACTATGTTCGTGGTCTGTTTGGTTTTTCAAAGTGTCACCTGTGCATTGAGGAAACTGCTCTCCATTGATTGGTCGATGTGCGTGATGGCCGGACAGCAGGTGTGCAGGAAGGGCAGGAAGGTTTCCGAGTAGTCGAATAAATACAAGTAGAAGAGTGTGAGGCGAGGGGAGCGCTTCAGTGCATACAGCAAGAACAGAGACTTCCCAGCATTAGCCGCCTGGCAGAAAGTGACAGAAACACAAGTAAACACGGTAAAAGGACAGTTGTTTGATTGTACATGTAAGAAAAAACACACTGACTCAAGTAGTAAAATCTGCTCTAACTTACATTAGTGCATATCTCAGCAAACCTGAACATATTGTGGAATTAGCAGAGTTCTTACTTTATACTCCCAGAGGTTCTGCGGAGGTTTGACCCCCAGGGCTTTAACTCTGTCCAGTTCAGCCAGAACAGCCCGTCGGTGAGCCTGATTCTCGATGCTGTAAGGCGGCTTTAACAACTCTTCGTCCCCCAGCATCAACAGTAGCCTGAAGCAAAGAAATCCTTGTTTCACTCTGTATCATTAAACTGGTCTCTGCAAGACTAAACCTTAATAGAAAAGAGTTACAACTAATGATTATTTTCATTATTGATTAAATAATATTTAATCAATCTATAATTATGAATATGTAATATACAAATCTATATTTTTCTGTCAGTACAATGTTTGAAAATGGTGAAAAATCCAAGATGACATCTGAAAATGTCTTGTTTTATTTAACTAACAATTAACAATAATATAAAGCACAAAAACAGCAAACATCACATGGTAAAAACTGTAATCAGAAAATGTTTGGCAGTTTTGCTTAAAAAAATGAATGAAAGCAGTGCAGTTGAAAGATGACACAAAGTTTAATAAATATGGCTCAATTCAGTTTTTATTTTGTACGGTGTAACAGATCTGCAGTTTAATTTGCCCCCCCCCCAAGAAAAAAATCTGTTTTATGTTTCTACCTTCCATTGACGTTTTCCTGTTGGAAGGGTTCTCTGTAAAGCTGGGCCCACGGGCCCAACTGTTCCAGCCACGACACCACTTCCTCTGGCGTCCAATGGGACACTGGTTTACTGATCAGCAGGTCATGCTGCTCCACCACGCCACTGCTCCAGTGATACACCAAAACCATCACCTGAAAACACCCAGACAATGACAAACAAGGCACAGTGACTCCTTGTTTACACTGCTTATACATCAGCAGGATATTTCACATATTTAGATGCAAAGCAAAGATTTAGTTCACAAAGTTGTGGATGGTTAGGAGTAAGGGATTAACAGGTTTGCATGGTGGCCGGAATTCCTCATAGGCCTGACTGGTGCCACACGTACCGTCTTACCCAGTAACTGTGTTTTGTAGGAATCACCCATCGCCACTAGAGGTCACTATATGAGTCATGATTTATAAGTATTACTGAACATATAAATTTGCTCTTAAATTTGACTTTGATTTGAACATGTTTTGTAAACAACAACTCATTTAGGCCAAGCTCTGTAAGGCTGCAGTGCAACTACATGTGTGTTTTAACAAGTTTTCCATCACCTGTGTTCCTGTTCCATAACAATTTCTGTATGCCATCTGGAATGGAAGTAAGCACATAATGTGTCCTCTTCACTAATTTATGTTCAACTACCCCCCCCCCCCCCCCCTTTTTGTGTCATTTGGTAATGGAACAAGAACAAAGTCATTATAAAACAAAGAAGAAATAAATATGATTTATATATATTCCTTGTGGCTAGTTGTTGAGCCATGCTCTGCAAGTGTACATTTAGCACTGTGATATATAGTTAAAATTATCAAATCTTGAAAGGTCAACAACACAACTACATGCACATACTTTATATTCTCTGCCACAGAAAATAACAGTGTAATGTCCTTCTTAAGTTGTTTATTTCACCTGCAAAACTAAGTTATAAAGTGGGAGTTTTAGAAATCAAAGGGCAAGAGACTGGAGAGAAGTGGGACCCAAACTAGCAAGGGTCAGCTGAGCGTAGGAAGTCACATTAACCTACCTTAAAATGTAAATATTGTTTAAATTGAAGCTTAATGTCTACTTAAAACAATAATACCAGGTATTTTCATACTGTCCTAGCTTTCCCATCATAATGAAGTAATTTTCATTCATCAGTTACTTAATAATAAAACTGTATCCATCTCGGTTTGCATGGAATGTTATTTTTCCAGTAACGATCATGTGAGCCAAGGAAAGCACAAAGACAAAAGCATCCAAAACAACACACAGGCCCAGGCCTCCTTTCATTTTTCCTAATATGACCTGATTCAATAATGATGTTCATCCACAAACCGGGGTCAAAAACAGGACCATGCTGTCATCTGTTTACACACACACACACAAATTTACTGCCACGTGCCAAGACACACAGTGACGTTGCTCCCAAGTGCCACATGGACAAAATAAACATGTACTGTCTACATGATATGAACCATCGACCCCTTGGTCCACTACTGTGGTAACCTCTAAATATTACATACTACTGTTGCTGAAAGTCCTTTGGTTAAAATACACAACAACCTAAAAACAGTTGTTGAATGATACAAGACAAAATATCTAAAATGCTACAATAAGAATAAAAAGTGTAAGTGCAACATTAAATTTCATCCAAGGACACATTTGGCAATATCATGGAGTATTGGGCACAAGGAAAAACTGTAGCGAGACATTATGTATAACGAATTGTTTGGCAGATACAGGACAGTGATAATGAAAATCAGTAGTAGCTCAAACCTTAAACTGCTGTATCTTATTGAGTCTTATTCACAAAAACAAAACAAATAAATTGTTTAAAATTGTAGGTATTAACGGCACCTTTATCCACAACGAGTACAATGAGTTTCACAGAAAAAAATAGGTTCATACCAATCATTTGCCAAGAGCCAGGGCCAATAAGAAAGCCAAATTACAATAACACAAATTTTGCTAGGCCCCTAAGTGTTCTTTCTTTAACATGTTATCCCCTAAATTATTGTGTACCTCAACAATAAATCATCGCCCCATTAAAAGGGCAACTCAAGACTTGACTGAAGCTCTGTCGGCACCTGATAGGTAGATCAGAATAGTAGCTAGACACATTAGCATCAATACTGAGGATGTCATTTTACTACAAAGGATAATTTGGTTTTTACTGCTGTTGGATACTTACAGCCACGCATGTGAGTGCAACTAGGACACCAGAGAAGAAGAAGCCTGCTCCTTTGTGCTGGTTTGTCCTGGATCTACCCAAGTTGTCACCATATCTAAAAAGATGTAGATATTTAATGAAAGCAGGCCACTTTAACAACAAAGGGATCCAATAAAAGTGAACATGAATCAGACACCAGGCAAGTTCACATAAATAACGTAATCATTGTCAAAGGGGAACAACAACGATTTTAAATATCGTATAATGCTTTTTGTGGGTGCAGAGAGCGCTGCATGAAGTCTGATCAGTTTAATGAAGTGATGTAACCCTAGGCAGCGTCGTCTGGGGCTCAAGACTAAATAAGTGCGTTTACTCAACCTCTGTAGCTTGCTCCTCATCTCTCCTTGAGGGTAGTAGCTTGAAACAACATTAACCACAACTAGTATAACATCCCTGACTATGTGACTAAACTGTTGAGTTGTTGCGTTGTGGGTAATGTAGGCACCAAGTGTTCATGAGGAAGACGAACGTGTGGATGAGGTCTCTGACTCTCCTACATCGATTTTGATCCTTTTTGTTTTAAACTGTCGATCTTAAGCCTGACAATGTTACAGAAGTGTAATGCTAAATCAAAGTTCTGTGTCAGTGTATGTTAAGCAGACACACTCCAAAGCTTGACACCACAATGACTTGTATTCATGTATTATCCTGTACTACCTCTGGAAGGCCAGCAAGCTCCGGGAGATTTTGGGGTTTTCCTGGATCTCTGCTCTCCTCCGTTGAACGACATCACTGAACAGCTTGTCAGTTGCATCCCTATGAAGAACAGGATTATGTAAACAAGATAATAATCAGAAGGGGAAGGTGTTGTTATTTTTCTCGGCCAGAGGAGCACACAGAGTTCTGATAAAAGTTTCTCCCTCACACTTTGCCTCCTCTCAGCTTTGTGCTGTGAAACCTTTTAATGAAATTTTCCTCTTTGGTACAATGCACAGACTCGATTAAAAAACCCTAATTAAGTCTTTCTGGTTCACACTAAAACACTGTGCACACTATGCATCGACTGTGTAGGGATAATCTAATGCCAGTGACAGTGTACAAAAACATTTCCTTCTCCTCAGTTGTCATAATAATGTACATGTTTTAGCCTCTTTTTAACATTTTTCTTGTAAACGGGTTAACAAGATGTTATGACCACATTGCATCATTTCATGTTTTTTTGTGTCAACTGGCAGAAATTGTTTCATCTTTGAGTAAAAAGGGAAATCAATATGAAGACAGACAAATGTTTCTCACTAATTGAAGTAATGGTCATTTCTGATATCACACTACGACTATCTGTGTGACAGCAGTACATGGCTTCATACTTTTTATTCTTCTTCTTCCCCATTGGAAAAAAATACATTTCATGTGACTTGTGTTTACAAAAATCGTTCTAGAGAAGTGTGAAAGTGAAACAATGCTGCACTAGGGAAACGGACTACCACATTGAGAAACAAGGATTTAATGACAGTCCACATGCTGAAACGAAAGGATTCCTGGTAATGTGGAGCACATGTTGGATTGTCAATTTGTCATCATGAATTACAGAGGCTAAAACCAGCAGAGTGGTGCTCCAGAAGCATCCAGTTAGCTAAGATCCAAACTCAAATCATCCTCAACTGATGGGGTAACTCAGTTGGCACAGTAATGGAAGATCTGCTGTATGTGGCGAAATACAAAAACATGCCTGCTCCACTGCAGACTTTTCATGAATCAGGATTATATGAGAATCATGTACACAGGGAGCTGAATAAACCGGTTTCTCTATGATTAATGTAAACAGCATATTCTGAGTTCATTAGTGTTTATACCAGGCGGTTGTAAAGAGATATTAGAGAGATAGTAGACAGCTTCTTTAACAAAGACTTGTAGCACAGTAGTGTTAGCATTAATGAGGCATCATCTAAGGCCTAACTGACAGGAAATTAATCTGCAACTATTTTGTTACTCATATGATCATTGAAGTAAATTGTTCTGCAAAAACAGTATAAAACCACTAGTTTAAGCTTCTCAAATGTGAATATTTGCTGGTTGGATTAGCCTTCTTTAACAATGAAGTGAGTGTCTTTAGGGTTTGGATTGCTGCTCAGATATAAGACATTCTAAAGATTTCCCCTTGGGCTCTGGGAAACGGTGATGGGCATTTGGGCTATGTGCTGGCATTCTGTAGTGATAATGATAAATCACTTAATTGAGAAATATAGTTGATAATATTAATTGAAAACAATAATCCTAATTAGTTTCAGCACTTCTGTACAAAACCAATAATATATATCAATAATATCAAAGGTTGGCACTGAATTTGTGGTCAGATTTACAATCTTATTTCTTCTTTATTCATAATCAGTCTCTCTCTCTCTCTCTCTCTCTCTCTCTCTCTCTCTCTCTCTCTCTCAGATACTGTCCGTAGTTCTCCTCTGTTCTGTACTGTAAGTGAGAGAAACAAACATTAATTCACTGATGTGAAAATCATACCTCAGCAGTATGTTGATTTTAGGAAAGCCTTCCCACTTCTCCCGGCACTCTGGGCACTCGTTCTTGTGTGAGGACTCCCACCACAGAGCCAGACAGTGGCGGCAGAAGTTATGGCCACAAGTCAAAGTGGTGGGGTTCACTAAGATGTCGTAGCAACAGTGACATGAGAATTCATGTTCTGAGATGTTGTTGGTGGTCGAGGACATCGACTGAGAAGATTCAGGTAAGTGAGGGGAGTCATCCATTGATGCTTCCAGACCGTCATCTGTTGAATCCCACTCCATGTGGTGGAACATATTCACAACTGAAGAAGAGGAGAAACAAGGTTACAAAGGAAGGAATAAATGGCATAAGTTTAAAGATTAAATTAAGTGCAGTCTCTGAAAATTTTTCAGAGACAGCTGGTAATTTGTATGCAAAAGTTTCTGAGCAAATTACATATTTTGTTGATTTTTGAAGTGACTTTTGAAGTGACTATTTATGTATTTGACTTAAAATTGAAAAAAAAAAAAAATTAAACAGTAATTGTGGCATGTGCAAACATTTGGGCACCCTACAAATGAAGTACTTAGCAACCTCCCCACCCCTCCATGCTCGCATTTAGTAGCAGCTAAGAGTCTTTCTTTTCTTGATTTAGGAATTTTCACCCACTCCTTCTGCAGATCACTTTACATGCTGAGATACTTTTAGGCTGTCTTGCACTTCTAAGATCTACTCAAGAATTTCCAATGATGTTCAAGTCAGCGGACTGTGACAGCTGTTTCAAAAGTTTCAGCTTATGCTTTTTGAAGCAGTTCATGGTGGATTTGGAAGACTGCTTTGGATCATTGTCCTGTTGTAGAAGCCAGCTTCAATTCAGCCACAGATTCTTGACTGACTACAGTACATTTGTATCCAGAATAATTACGGATATTTGGAGGAATCAATTCTTCCCTCTATCTATGCAATGTTTCCTCTGCCACAAACCCCCAAAGCAGAATATTTCCACCCCCATGCTTAACAATTGGCAAAGAAGAGGTTATTGATGCCCAAACTTTTCCACATGCCACAATTACTGTTTGATTTTTTTCATTATTAACAGTTCATGAAAGAAAAAGTGACATCAACATTGACAGAGGCTCATTGTAATGTCTGTTTGCTGCAGGGGTTGTATTTATTTCTTTTCACCTAAAAATAATAACAAAATATGTCATTTGCCCAGGGCTACCCGAACTGTAGCATACAACTGTGTGGCTGTTACAGCAGTCAAAATTCTGCTTACACATTGATTCATCAGTATTAACAATCTAGCAAAGTCATATACTGCGCAAAATGTCAGTAAAGGATCGTTTTACTGCACAGTGAAGCCTTTATGCACATTTCGCTGATAATTCTGATGTACTTTTACTGAAGAAAGATTGTGAATGCAGGGCTTTCACTTGTAATTTTTACAGTCTGTTGTTAGCACTTTGCTTAAATAAACGATCTGAATCCTCCTTCAGCCACTACAAATTTGTGGCTTCATGTGCATGTGGATAAAACTAAACAACTGAATAATCTTAGCACCAAATTGCATTCATTTTAAATCCAGTTGTAGTGTTTTGTATGCAGGAAGGCGTGTCATGATAGCACCAAATAAGCTAGTGTACACACAACCGGACAGCAGACAGTAAAGCGGTCACCACCGGTCAAACCATGAAACAGAAAGAAAGCAGCAAGTAACCGTAGTTTGGGCACCGACATGTTTTATACGTGGATAAGAGGAAACGTTAACTTATCGCAATAGTGACCCGGACGTTAGCTGTAACTGGCTAGCTAGGCGTTAGCTACAAGCTAGGTCAACAACAACACTTATCTATAACGTTATTACCCTTGCGTAAAGCAGAAGGAAGGGACCCTTAACTGACATTACAGATAGCAAAACGTAAGGTTTATGAGTCATAGTGCTAGTTAACCAGTAACTAAATGATAGCTAAGAGTAAGTGCTAAGTTCTGTTTGCTAAGTTAGTAACCGCTAAGAAACGCCATTCAAAAACAGTCTTACCTCGCCTCAGGAATGTCCTTCGACAGGTGACCAGTTGGAGAATGACATAACTATATGGTTAACCAGCTTACAGTTTCTTATTGATATTTAAACTCAAATTAAACCGACCATAGGACAAGTAAATGCTTCAGGTTGAGTAGCTGCCGCCATCCTCGCTGCTATGGAAAGCCCCACACACATAGAAGCAAACACACACACATACGCGTACGTCAGTGTGTCACCTGATGACCTGTGAGGCTCCTGTTACCTGGTGTACAGGAGGACAGAGCACGAGGTCGTCCTGCGTCGTCCACAGTGATGTTGTAAAAGCCGAGATAGAACTGTTTTTCAGCCGTGTGGCTTTTAAAAGCTGCTTCAGTTCAAAGTTCAGACCAGATTCAGGACTGAAGTCTGGGTCTTTATTCTTGACCATTCTTGATAATAGTAATTGTTTACAACTTCAGAAACTGGTTGACTTATAAATATCTACCAGTGTTTGTGTGTGTGTGTGTGTGTATATACGGCTGATTATGAATGAGTAAAGAAGAAATAAGATTGCAAATCTGACCACAAATTCAGTGCCAACCTTTGACATTTTACAGAAGTGCTGCAACTAATTATGATTGTTGTTATCAATTAATGTTATCAGTTATTTTTCTCAATTAAGTGAAGTATCAGTTGAGCTACAGAATGCCAGCACATAGCTCAAATGACCATCACCATTTCCCAGAGCCCAAGGGGAAATCTTTAGAAAGTCTTATAACACTCACTTCATTGTTAAAGAAGGCTAATCCAACCAGCAAATATTGTGTGTGTGTGTGTGTGTGTGGTGTGTGTGTGTGTGTGTGTGTGTGTGTGTGTGTGTGTGTGTGTGTGTGTGTGTGTGTGTGTGTGTGTCATAATGGCAAAAAATGCGGTCCTGGACTCACCTACTGTACTGTTACACAGGCGGTATTGAGTACTTTGGCAGATGTTTATCTGTCTGCATGTGGACAGATGTTGCCACCGTCACAACCGTGCATGGTACAGTCTCTGTGGTGGTGGACAGCCAGGTAGCTTGAGGGTCGTTTTGGAGTCAACTTGACCAGCCTGTGTACGATGGTTACCTCGCTGAACTGCCACACTGCTAACCCCTATCTTCCTGCATTGAGTTTGCCTTCAATAATGGCCTTCAATAATGATAATTATACATTGTTGATGAGCTCCTTCAGAGCAAGAGCACCTCTGCCCCTCACCTAATGTTATTTTACTGACAGAATATAATTGTATGGGGTTTCTGCTATAGTACACATATAGCCTCCACTTTCATGCAATAATGTAGTAGTAATGACTACAGGCCACTCGTGTAATAACTACTGAGTACTCATGGAAGGTCAACATATTGAGTGTGTTGTAGAGATTTTCTTTGCTTCTTTCTTTCATTTGCTTGCTTGCTTTTGGTAAATAAACCTCAAGAAAACTTGAAGACTGGACAATTGACTTCTTTTGCCTGTGTAGACAATTGAAGATGTCGACATGATTGCATCACATAGTTTGTGCCAATGTCCAGTTCTACCACATCCCAAAGGTGTTCTCCTGGATTCAGATCAGGTGACTGGGGAGGCCGATAAAGTACACTGAACTCATTATCATGTTCATGAAACCGGTTTGAGATTAATTTTGCTTTGTGACATGGTGCATTATGGCATTAGCCATTAGAAGATGGTTAACTGTGGCTATAAAGGGATGCACATGGTCAGCAACAATACTCAGGTAGGCTGCATTAAAATAATGAGGGATTGGTAGTGAGGGGCTTAAAGTGTGCCAAGAAAACATTCCCCACACCATTACACCCCCAGATTGCCTAGAGGTTGGGTCCATGGATTCATGCTGTTGATGCCAAATTGTGACCTGACCATCAGCTGAGCTGCTTCCCTCTATCATTTCACCTTTGTGAGTTTATTTCATTATATTTTCTCAAGTGATGTTTATTTTGTTTGTTAGTTAAGTTGTAAGTCTAATCTCCTTGGTTTGTTCTCACATATATATTTAAATTGAGAATGTATTTAGATTTAGATATGTACTTATTTATTAGAATTAATTGTTGTTGTTTATTCAAGATAATATGATAGAATTTGACCTGTATGTGCGTTTTTATTTGTAGAAATATAACCACACAGCTGTAACTACTCACACTTGACTGATTGCTAGCAAAAGAATGAAACCTGTTGACTGTTTCTCTTGCTTTGCTCATTTCATCACGTCAAAACCAGTATAATCCTAGAACACATATGTGTGGAAAATTACATTTGCATTTTTCATGTTTACATGATCATTTGAATAAGATCCCCAATAGCCTTCTATAATGGCTTTAATATGTATAATTTTTAGTAGTTAAAGTTAGCTCAGCCTTCATATTAACAATGAACAATGAAATTGCAATTCGTAATTTCTTAACAAAACAACCATTAACGTAGAGCACGTTACTTGTCGCACGTTACTTGTCGCCGATTATTTCGGAGGGAAACAGCTCATAGAAGACTGCGTGCTCTTAATTTGAAAAGCGGAAATGTTAGGAAGATATTCACAAATGCGTTTCATTTATTTCTAAATTACTTTAATGTATTCACATATATGTTTGTATTCGTGGAATTTGTTTATGTACTTGCAGATCCGCTTTATATTTGCAAAACATTTTTGTGAGTTTACAAATGTATTTTTTGTGTTTGTGAAAGGTGTTTTATATTTACAGATCACACATTGACACACTGATTATCAATCCGTTAACACCAATAATATTAAGACGAATCTACCTCCATGAAAAGAAAGAAAAAACGACAAAAGCTCTTGAGTAGTGTGTAATATTATATTGCAGCACCTACTGTACGATCCGTGTGCTGTCCAACAGGGGGCAGTATGTGCCTTCCAGCTGGTGACCTACCATAGCCACTGGAAAAAGAAAAGGAGAAAAAAAAAAAAAACAGAAGAAGAAGTGGTGGCGCAACATAGTTTAGCTAACACAGACAGTAGGTGTAGTTCATGACAGCTGCTCCATCTTCAATAACGCAGCAACTTAGCTTCATTGTCGTCTTCATCCTCGTTTTCTTATGACATCCCTCAAACCCGGCGGCCATATCGCACTATGTTCGAGGTAACGTTGCTGCTATCCGGGCTGTTATTACACTGTACAGCCCGCTGTCGTTGGCTGGGATTTTGGATGTGTCTTAACTATTGCAGCTAGGTACATACAGTTCATTTACCCTGCAGATAAATAAGAAGTACCCTGTTAGGTATGGGCCCACTGGCGTGACATTGGTTCAAATATTAATTACCCCCCTTTCGCTCCTACATTTAGCAACAGCTATAATTGATATTGTGAGAATAGCTTGAATGCTAGCTAGTTAGCTGGTGGCGTTTGTTATAAACTAACTAGCGTTGCATTTAGAAGAATATACAACATAAATTATTTATTCTCTGCTCTTGACTGTCGAGGAAACTCTTCTTTTAATTCAAAGTGTTAAGGTTGTGAAGAAAATATCAGACATAATGTTAGCTCTAGGTGTCAAGGATAATGCGAGCTTAACAAAACATAAGTTTATGTAAGCCTGCAGCCCACTGTCACATCACTATAGTCATGCATTTAAGATTGGTGTCACCATATCAACATCTTTCATTTTAAGAGTGCACAAAAACTGCAACTTACTTATAAATAAACATAGTAAGACTTTCAGCCCAACAGATAGAGAGATAACACTTAGAAGGTATTTAGGTAAGAAGGCCTTAAATAATAGACATTACATTTAAAACATTTAAAAAAAGTAATTTTATCAGACTACAAACCGAGCCTAGAATATACACTCAGTTTGCAGTTTGTTAATTCATTTATTTTTATTATGTACTAAAACTGATGAATTTTAATATAAAAGTCCTGCAATAAATCCTCCTTCATGAAGGTTATGATCAGTTTTTATGTCATTCTTTGACCCGTATGAATCTGGAAATGGGGATTAAGTTGCATTTTGTGTGGTATTAAAACGGTCTTAAAAAGTCTAAAATTAAATTTATTGAACCCTGCAGTAACCCAGTGTGGGGTTGATAGTAGCATAGAGTAAAATAGATTGAACTGAACATCGACTATGTAGTAAATACATTACTCAGGTAGAGGTGTTGTGCAGGTATGTAGCAATGCAGAAAATTTGAAGTGACTGCAAGGAGTCAAAACATATCAAAGTTTGTTATTGGTTGTTAAGGGAAAGGTTGTTCTTAAATAGGGCTGCAAGGAACAGTTATTGTCATTATCAATTAATCTGCTGATTATTTCCTCAATTGAACACTTGATTAAATGGGATCATTGTACTGAAATGATACATAGTGAAACAGATGTGTTGACTCATCTTTTTGTGATTTTGGAGGCTGTTGTTTGTATAGCTGTTGAACTTTGTTGACTGTGTTATACTTGGGGACATTTCTAGCACATTGTTTTGATTGGTGTGTATGGACGGTACACAGCTTGCAGTGATTTAAAACTTGGAGGCGTTACATAATTCACAATGAATTTCATGTTGGTTTCTATTTATTGTTATGCCATATATTTGTTGTGTCTCAGTGCAGCGCAGATGTAATAGTGCTGTAGTATTATGCTATTTAATGATTGCATATCTGCTGGGGAGGGGGGTTATGTTTCTGATATAAGCAAAGCTACCACTAAACAGCAGTTCAAGAAATATCGCGATAGATTGATAGTTCTTTTTCTAAAATAATTAAGCTTGTGTTAATATCTATCTATCTATCTATCTATCTATCTATCTATCTATCTATCTATCTATCTATCTATCTATCTATCTATCTATCATTACTTTTTTAATAAACATAGTGCTGACAGCATGCAGGAGTGCCTACTTCTCCTACACACCTGTGTGTCAGTGTGCATTAGACAATATTAAATCAGGCATAAAATGTCAGACTGCAGGACCGGCAATGTGGGTCACTTTCTTGGAATAATATTTGAATGCACGCAAGTTGTAACAATAGGTTGCTGTTTCATTCTGCTGTCATGAATGTGGCATTACTCACCTAGCCTGATCTTTATTCAAGTTGAAGATGCCATTCATGGCATATACAGACTTTACCGAACATGTTTTCAGAAGTATTTCTGCCAGACTAAACTTGTATAATTGTGCAGCATTTTCCCTTCATTGCTGCTACCCTAATGAAGTGGCTGCACATTTTAAAGATTTCTAAGGTTTGTTACTGTATGCCTGGCAGGCACTTATTATTGAGCACAAGTGTCTGTTTTTATGTCTTAATAGGATCCTGAACTCCAAGATCCATTGTCACTGAGTTTAAATGAAAATTATGATGACCAGAATTTGACACTTGATCAAAAAAAGGCACCGGCAAGTCCCGACTATAATTGTGAGACACCAGAGATTCGAGTGATCATCAAAGAGGAAGAGGACGGCTGGATTGTGAGTGAAAATCGTGAGTTGAAAATCTTAAATATCAGCATCACCTTACTAGATGACATACACACAGTTACTCTGTTGTGATTTGTCATGTTGTTGTTTTGCCTTGTATTGTTAAATACAGATGAGAGCTTCAGCTCAGAGGGAGAAAAAGAGGACACTTTTGCACAGACTTGTCAGCCCCACCTCAAAGCATGTGGCAAAGAGAGCTCCATTTCACATGAAGTAAAGAGACAACAGAGAGTTCATTCGGGGGAGAAATGCTCGGAGGAGTCCGGCGGCCCCACTCTCTATGGCCAGAGCTCCTCTGCCAGAGAGGGGTGGCATAGAGACATGCTCATGGACTCTGATGAGAAACCTAAGATTTCCTGTGTTCGTGGGAAAGCGCTGGGAAATGCGTCTGTGGATCAGTGCAATAACACAGGAGAGAAATCCTTCTCCTGCCCAGTACGTGAGACGTCCCCCAGTCATAAAAGGAACGTGAATTCCCATCAGACGACACATGCTGAGGATGGGTGTTATGCTCCGGACCGCGGCCTTGACGTAAAACAAAGCACATCGTCACCAACAGAAGAAGAACTGCACAAGACCAAAAGATCAGCACCTTACCAAACAGTATGTAGAAATACCTTTTGTAGCAATACATGAAATAACATTGTGCAAACATTGTTCATTACTTGTTTTTCTAGTCATCTAGTAATGGTTTCATGTGGTCAGCTAAAGGACTGAAATTTAGACACTCTTTGGTTTCATGTTAGCAATGACACAATGGGGTTCATGCATGGACTACTCATATAAGTAGATTAGTTCTTAAGTTGCATGTATGCGATTTAAGAAAACGTGGCATTTATCACTTTTCTCGTGCGTAGAATTTTCTCATAGGTATGAACGACTCATGTACAGAAAGCAGGTGCTTGGCACTTTAGTTGTTTACATCTGACAGTGTGTAACATCACCTGCTGTAGGCTACTTTATATATTATTCTCCTGTCTAATATCTCTGACTGTTACATCTGCCTTGACTGCCCCTCGTATTAGTAATGGAGCTCTTTGATTAAAGCCTTTCTAGCATCTTTTTCTAAAGTGGGATTATCAAGGAAGCAGATAACTTTCTAAAGCGTCACTGATTACTTTTTTTTTTAACTATGCTTTCCAATCAAATGAGAAAAATTTCAAAATCTGGTGTCACTTCTTCCTGTCAGATTTAGTTGGTGGGTGAAGACACCCAAAAGATGAAGAAAAGCAATACTTTTTCACACTGTGTTCTGTATTTAGGATTCTCCTGAACTCAAGCCCCTGATGTCACATGGACTGAAGATGGCATCTGCAAAATTAGCGGACCAAACACTCCATTTGACTGTTAGATTGCAGGCAGGGGAGGAGGATGAGGAGGAGGAACAAGATGAAGAAATTGGAGGTTTAATCAACTCTGATGGAGAGGTGGTTGAGTGGGATGCCAGTAAGTTATTCACAACAACATGTTTACTGAGTAGCCCAGACCTCTGCAAGCACCTCACATTCATTTACTCAAGGGACGGCTCTTGTTTCAGTTTCCCACAGGAGTTTTAGAGTTTATTTGGTAGAGATTATTTTAAGTAACAGCTGATAAAAAGTTGCATTCTGGGAACTGGCAACCCAATGCATTTCCAAAAACAAAACATTTTCTTAAATTTATGAAAGCTGATTGTTAGTTCTTTTGTTTTTTGTCATCATAATGTTCAGATTTACAGTTTAATCGGTGGTTGTAACTTGTAACATTAGTAAAATATGCATTTAGTTCATCACCACATTGACTTAATTCTTCATCTAGAACTCAGCCTGTCAGGTAGATGTGAACCTGAGACATCTATGTTGATTGTTACAGGAGACAGTCCCGACCGAGGCTCTGATTGCACAGGAAGTCATCAGCCTAGCAAGGTAATTTGTCAAGACATAATTTATCAGTTTGACAGTTAAAGCTCTTGAAACATCTGATTCCATACATAGCATATAGTTATATTGCATATTACATATAACACAATTCAACAGCATCACATATATACAGCCGCCAGAATGACCTCAGAGTTGAGTCAATTTGCAAAACTCGAAATGCAGCTTTTCCATTTTTGACAAATGGACAGGTAGAAATGACAAGATGAGAATGTATTGGAAAACAATGAGATTTAAGGCACACCAAAATTCACCAGATTCACTTGTGAACTGAATTGTCATAGTTGTCCCCCAGAATTTTACTTCTGGTCTTTGCAGCAGGTGCGTGTTAAAATCAGCTCTTTGTTTAGGGATGACGGAGAGCAGCTGTCTAAATTTCGACCGAGCAAAATTACTGGAACAGCACAACTTCTGTACAATGGTCGATTTAACCTTTATGTCCATAATCAAAATTCTCTTGTGAACCAAAATTTTGTCACCAGAGGAGAGCGTCTTCAGTCTCACTGCAGGGTAGATAATAAGGCAAGATTACTAATTAATCATTACTGCCACTGTAGCAGAGCTCCACAGAGTGGTTTGGATTAGCCCCCGTAACTGCAATAAAAATGCATTTATCTCTGCTCTGCTTGCAGATTTAAGTTCTGTTGCCCAGGGAGGGTTTCAGGGGTATATTTCTGATGATTTTTAATTATTATGATCACAGGGTATCGGCCTGTCCGAGTCTCAGCTGCAAGGCCAAAACCAGAGAGACAGCAGTAGTCCAACGCTCATCATGGAAGTTGTGTCTGTGGGAGAAGATGAAGAAAGGGAAGAAGGGGAGGAAAAAGAGAGAGTAGTAAAGATGACAACTGTTGCACCCTTGTACCGTGGTAAACGGAAATCAAAAGAAAAAATAAAAAGTGTTCAGGTTGTAAATGATAGTTATGTCTCAGTTCTCAGGTTATCTTTATGCACATGGTCTTTGCAGGAAAGAGAAACAGAAGACGGACCAAGGTTCCAGAAATAAGAGTGGCATCATTGGACGTCTCAGATGCAGAGAAAGAAGTTCCTGCAAATCCTGGTGAGTGGACTGATTGGGAAACAACATTCACAATATCGATTCAAGAAGTACATGTAGAGAATTCAACGGATAATGTAACTGTAACTGCTTTCCACACTGAAATATTTGCTACCGTTCTGTTTATGTCACAAAGTAAAGAGAAGGGGCAGAAGAAAGATTTCAGAAACTCCTCTGTTGTCTGGAGGAGAAGACTTAGAGGCAGAGCCTGGAAGTAAGTGTTGCTCCTGGTTTGTATGGAGATTGAATGAATCTGAAATAATAATTTTGTATGTCATTGGATGTTATATGGTTTATTTTTCATTGTTTTTTTTCTTATAGTATCGAGGAGAACCCGAAGAAAAAGCAATTTCCCCACTGTAGTGGAATCAGAAGAGTTAAACTCAAAAAGTGTCCGCCGTGCCGCTGGTAAGACTAGAAAAAAATTTGTTTCACAAGTAGGATTGGGTTTTGATTTAGTCGACTCTGAATCTCTGGTTCTTGAAGAAGTTAAATCCAATTGTTAACTGGTTCTCGAAACCTGATATTAAACCCATATGAGAGTTTAACATCAGGTTTATGTTGTTGACCAATGCCATAAACAGTTTTCTTTTTTCTTCTAACAGCAAAGCGACCTTACAGAAGAAGGAAAGATACCAAACCATGTGCTGAAGGAGAAGGAGAAAACACAGGTGTTTCATCTGGTGAGAGCAAATAAAATGTCCACAACACTGTGGAACCAGTATGATGTCCTTTGCTGAGGAAAGAGAAGGTGGCTGTGTTTAAATTGCCTTCATTCTTTAAGTTGGCTTATACCATGTTACCCATGGTCAGCTCAGTTTCACCAGTGAGTTACCTGCTAATGTAAGGCATAGTAAAATGTTAAATCCAGGTCATGTTTTGAAAAGGGAAATATACAAAATGTTAATGCTTCAATATTTCCCATAATAGTTAAAGTCATATTGCAACATTTCTTCTTCTTCTTTTTTTTTTTTTTAAATCTTTGTTTGTGTAAAACCTCAAAACTCACTCACACCTAAAAGAAAGAGCATACATGAGGAACAATAACATGTTGCTATAACACACTGCCTGCAGGTGCTGCGGACCAATCAGCATTTTGCTCAACATGGAGTGTGTTTGAGTTTGTGTGTTACGTGCCAGTTTCATTCAGTGTTTAGCATCTAAAAGAAAAAATAGTTTTGTTAACAATATTAACGGAGAATCTGGTTGATATGTGACTGCATTTTATTAATTCTGCAACCTTATTTTGTGAACTTTGAATTACCAGCCTAACCTTGTAATTTCATGTTTTCTTTCCACCACACAGGGAAGAAGCGCCCTGGCAGAAAGATGGTTCGTCTACCAGTAGAAATACCTCCTGAGCTCCTGAAGAAGCCCAAAGAGAAGATAGAGTACCACTGCTCAGTGTGTGGCAAAGAGTTCCCTCATGCCTATAAACTGGAGAGGCACGAGCTGATCCACACAGGAGAGAAACCTTACTGCTGCTCCATCTGTGGTCGGGGTTTTAACCAAAAGGGAAATCTCAAAACTCACTACAAAGTTCACTTAGGTGAGAGCTGTTGCAGGAAAACTGGATAATAATTAACCGTTTGGCTCAAACCATTGTCTGTTTGAGCCAAGTGTTTTTGGGAGTGTGTCAAATGGCTACATTCATAAATAATAATATAATATAAATAAACTGCCAAACTGTGGGGATACATTGCTTTTTCATCATGGTTCTAAAAAATCCAAACCATCACAGCCTTAGTTGAAGATATTATTGTGCAGTCTCAGCTCTGCGTGAACTTTAGCTCTGAATGTCAAGAGATTCTGGTTAAAGTGAAAGTATAACTATTGGATTCAGAGCATTATTAACTATCTGTTAGCACTGAATGTTGGTCAGTACTCAGCTGTAACATACGAGGCTGGAAAAGGACTTGCACCGTCGGTCAGCAGCACTAGATTGTTTATTGACCGACCATCACTCTGATGGTCTTTATCAGCATCAAAAAGCCACAAGTCTGGGGGATTTGAAATGCATGTTTACTTAGTTAACAGTTAATCTTGTAGTTTGGCAACTCAACAAAATGGATGTTTATGCAACTTTTAAAATCTAAAAAAGCCCTATTTTTGGACACAGGATGATTGTTGTAACTGGACATATTGTTGCAGTAGCTCGCTCTTCCTCAAACCCTGCTTTGCCCATGTATTCATTCATGTAAATATCTGTTAAAATAGTGATGTTATTTATATAAATTTTAGTTTTGCACAAATTCCATCATTTGAAAGTAAAAGTAAAACATAAGTGGAGTAAAGTTTGACGATCTGAACAATGCAAAAGTTGTTATTTCCTGAAGAGGACCCAGGCTTAAACATGGTTTTTCTCTTCTTTATCTCTGTGAAGGTCGTAAGGGTGTTGCGGACTTTGACGATGAGGTGAATCCCATAGCGTCAGAACTCTCAGAATACTTGAAGTCTCTGCCGGGGGAGTCCAGGATCAGATCATCCCTCCGTTGCCTGGAATGTGGGAAAGACTGTGATAGTCAGTCTGCTCTACAAGCACACCACATTACAACACACACACAGACAGCTCCTGAGTCAGACACAGCCGAGCACAGCACATCACAGCTTCTCTTCTGCCGCCGCTGTGGCACTCAGTTCAGTGAAAAAGAAAAGCTGGAAGAGCACATGAAAACCCACATCAAGGAGAAGCCCTACTCGTGTCCCGACTGCGGCAAGAGGTTCATCAATGAGAGCTACATACAAGTCCACCAGCGCATCCATACTGGAGAGAGACCGTTCCTCTGCTCCCAGTGCGGCAGAGGTTTCCACACGGCCTCATCGCTCAAGCTGCATGAGATGCAGCACTCGGAGGAAAGGCCGTTCGCATGTTCCATCTGTGGGAAGACGTTTCGGATAAACTCGTACCTAACAGCACATTACCAGACCCACATTAAAGACAGACCTTTCATTTGTAGCATCTGTGGGAAAGGCTACTCTAGAGCCGAGGAACTGAAGGTGCACCACAGGCTTCACACTGGAGAGAGACCGTACGAGTGTGGAGAATGCGGGAAGAGCTTCATTTACCGCCAGGGTCTGCGGCAGCATCAGCGCACACATGCTGGAAGACGCATCGGGCCAACCAGACAGCTCGGTCGACCGAAGCAACAGGCCAGGCTGGACATTTAACAGTTGCTCTAATGATGCTTTTTTTCTTTTTTTTTTTTTTTTTTTGTTGTTAACTGCATTTGAAAATATTGCAGTAAAATACGCTTCTTCCCTGCTCTTCTTCCTTCCATTCCTCCCACCTACAGCATAGACGATTACTGTGTCTGAAAATTTGCGCTGCAGAGTCGGCGTGGAATGCCAAGAATAATTTGGAAGCTTACTGTGTTGTCTTTCCTGTATTCTTGTTTTGTAATCATGTTTTAATGTTTACTCTAGTAGCCCATCTGTACAATTTGAGTGCCTTTGTATCCTGCATGCCAAATACTAATACTTAATGTTAAAAAATTATGCACAATATCCTTGTTATTTTAAAATCCATGAAATACAGAAATTTTTCAGTAACGTCTGGATTTTTATTTTATTTTATTTTACATTTGAAATAATTTATCCTCACTTCATGAAATTTGAGGGGTATAAGTCTCACTATAATCATCTTATAGACCACACTGATCAACCAATAAAACTAAGAGAGTGACTTGCTGGTCACACTAGAGGAAAAGTCAAAAGGTTCCACCAAAGTATATCTACAGCAAATTTAATTGCAATCCAATCAACAGTTGTCAAGATATCTTAACTCTGAACAACAAATGTGAACTTCATTGTGGCTCTAAACGAAAAGTCATGGCGTCACCAAAGTCATCAGGATTCATCCCTTGCGGTCCTTGAACCTCTGCACAAAATTTAACAGTAATCTATCAAACAGTTGTTGAGATATTTCAGTCTGGATCACAGTGGTGGATGAGTGATGCTATCAATTCAAATTGAAATTGAATCTCTACAATCTGATGTCACGTATAAAAGAAAGTAAAAGCAATGCAGAAGGATTCATCCCCATCACATCTGTCATTTTTGCCCATCTTCTCTTATCTCTGTTTCATCAGCCTGATAAAGTTGTGTTCACCTTGGTTTACACCTTGAATTCCCAAAGGTGATCTCCATTCAACTCAACAAAAGTTTGCTTCAGTGTAAAAATATGCCTTCAGGTGTATTTAGCATTTAGTGGCTTTATAAAAAAAAAAAAAAATCCACATTTAATTTTCTGAAAATAACATTTAGCTCTTAATCCTTGGGTGGAATCAGATTTAGAATGATTAAAGCTGCTGTTGAAATCTTAAAAGCAGAGGAATATTTCACATATCTTGTTATGGACACTAATTGACAGCTTGAATTACTTATTTGTGCACTCCAACCTGGCAACCCGGACCCAGCTCGCCTCCCACTCTAATGGCGCTACATGCTAACTGTTACCTCAGCTTGTGCAAAGACGTGAATGACCTTTCCACACGTGCTCTGTGGTGATGCTGACACTCGGGGACGTGAGTTGAAGCCCACGTGGTGATTTTTATCCACCGCGAGGGAGGTGAGTTTTGTTAATTTGCCCATAAAAGTCGAGTTAGTGCAACATGCTAGCTAGCCGTTAGCCAGCCGACCAATAGCAAAGTGTGTATGTCCGAGTAGCAGCGTGTTAACTTCTCAGGTTTGTTTACTACGAAAGCAGCTGAGCAGAGGAAATACGTCATCCGGTTGTCTGGTTTACTGGCTCGGCAGGGGTGTGTCATTAAAGCAAATAAAAACAATTTCATTGAGATATAATTTTAATTTTAGACATGATGTGATGCAGCACAGCTACGTTCACATCACGTGCTCATGCTGAATTTATTATCATATATTATTATAGTATATTATTGCACTGTAGCCTATCATGGTACCTTTGTGGAAAATGTGTGGAGATCTTTAAAAAGAAATTTCAGTATTGATTAGTCTCACAATTAATTTCTTGATTAATTAGTAAATAGTAAAATATGCCAGCCACAGCTTTGCACATGTCACAACCAAAAGTTATTCATTTAACTACATATAAATACATGAAGCAGCATATCCTGCCTTTTGACAAGCTGGTGCCTGAGAATTTGTTTCACAACTTATTTCACAACCTTTATTTGGAAAATGGCCAACTGTTTCAGCCGTAGTCTCCAGACATTAAGTTTGGTATTCTAATACTTAATACTAGATTATTAGAAATGTAATATAAACAGAGACAAAAGAGGAAATTTTAGGTGTGAGATTCTCTTTTACAACTTTATGGTCATCTATGAGGAACATTAAAATTAAAAAAGTGTGACTTTGCTTCCAAAAAGCGAAACAAATCTGTCGACTAGCAATTAAGTATAAGTAGCCCTTTTTATTTACTTTATTTTACTATCTCTTGTTTAGGAATCATCCTGTAAACACCCTCGCCAAGCTGCCCCCCCCCCTGTCAGTGTGAAACCACATCTGACCTGAGTCCGGCCATGAGCAGCACAGCCTTGCCAGTAATGTAACATATAATGATGGAAACCAGCCCAAAAATGACAACATCAGTCCTCACAGCAATTGATGCGACTGTGGTCGTAATCCTTTGCATGGAGATCAGAGCATAACAGACTAATTCTTCACCTATGAAGCCACACTAAGTGAGTGTTATGAACTTTTCTCTGATGAGACGTGTCAACTCTCATATGAAAACACACCACCGTCATGACGAAGGTGCGAGAGGAAGAAGAGACAGTCGGTGGTTTGATCAACTCAGAAGGAGAAGAGTTAGAATGGGATCCTGCCAACTCTAGTAAGTGGAAATAGTTTTGCTTTTTGACTTAATAAGCTGTCTTTTCTCTCTAACAGGTGAATGTCTCCATGTTGTATTGTAGGAGACGCTCATGATGTGCGCCACACTGATGATCAACAACTGGACAGAAGCATGGGCCCGTCTTGCTTCTGCGTTCCGTGTGGTAAGAAATTCCCGAGCAGCAGAGCTCTACAGCGACACCAGAGGACTCACACTGAAACCAAACCTCATGAATGCTCACAGTGTGGGAAAGGCTTTAATTTCCCGAACAGACTGAAGAGACACCTTTTAATCCACACCAAAGAAAAACTTCTCACCCGCCCAGAGTGTGACAAGAGATTCTCTCGCGATGACCGACTGAAGGAACACCTGGCTCCGATCAGCTCAGACACATCACATCTGGAGAGGAATTCTGCTGGTAAGTTGATTCAGCTGTAGAAAAGATAATGTGGAGTCTTAGTATCCGACCTGAAAATCAGAGAGTGATGTGACTATAAATATTTTCAGATCTGTTAAAATAATAATTAGTGATTCTGATTTTAAGGAAATCATATTTTCTCACTCATTGAGCCAAACAGGTCAATGTACTGTAATTTGGTTTGTGTTGATCGAAGCTGTAAAAAATGTCCCACTGAGAACTACTGACAGCAAGGTCTCTGGATCATCCAGATTAACAGGGCCACTGTTGCTGGAATAAATTGCTATACATTTTGAAATGTAATTTCTCAATGTTGTGAGCATCAGAGATAATCTCCATTGTGTTGCGATGAAGGCAGAAACCACAGAGGTTGAAGTCTCAGCAAATAAAACCAAAATTAAACTCAGGGCTAAATATCACAGGTAGTAAACGAGAAAATGTGTTTTTCTGTTATTTGGGTGAATTTACCCTTTAATGACAAGAATGGCCAAAGTTAAAATAAAAAGACAATATATTAATGCTACTATTTGTACATACTATATTATTATTATTATTATTGTTGATCTTTTTTACATTTTTAGTATTTAATATTGTCTTTTTTTTTGTTCTGTCTACTTTGCTGCTGTAACACAGTGGCCCGCATAAAGGACTGTCTTATCTTATCTTATCTTATCTTAATACCTCACCCCACAAACATGTAGGTGTCAAGACCCAAGAGGCAAAGGAGAATATAAGACAAGAATAAATAGTTGTCAGTTGAAACTGTTCATTAATTTTTCTTAATTTCTCAAACTGTTTAACAATTTGCTCCAAACTTTGAAGACAGAGTGACAGTTTCTGTGTTACTGCTTTGTGCACCTACCAGTTTCTTTGTTCCATACATGCAGGTAATGCTCCTGATGTCACATCACCTGTTGATCTGCACACAGCCACGCCAAGCAAACCTGGAACTAACCGATCTGTGAACACAACACCCAGGAAACGTGGAAAGAAAACGGAGACTGAGGAGCTGTTCAGCTGCACAGAATGCAGTAAGGAGTTCCAGAGCGTGTTCGCCAGGGGCCGCCATCTGAGAGAGAAACATGGCAAACACCCGCTTCACGAGTGCTGCGACTGTGGACAGACATTTAGAGCCAACCGAAGCTTGATAGTTCACCGGAGGATATACCATCCAGAACCTACAGCGGCTGTGGAACGTGAAGAAGAGCGCAGAGCTCCAAAGACGTATATCTGTTCAACATGTGGGAAGCAGTTCCCTACCAGTGCCTCGCTGAAAAGGCATCTCATTATTCACTCAGGAAAGAAACCGTACAAGTGCACTTTGTGTGGTAGAGGTTTCACACAGATTGGAAATCTCAAGACACACCAGAAGGTTCATAAAGGTGAGAACACTGAGCTCCACATTATTTGTACTTGGCAGTTCTCGTGTCTATTTATGACAGAGTTGAACTCAAACTTTATATTGGAAATATCTGTACATGAAGAATTTTCTACTTTCCCATAGAATGAAGCTCAGATTAAAAAGAAAATATCTACCAAGTACATAAGGATTTATTTTTTAAGCTGTATTAATTGTTTTTATTATTGTTATTGTATATTCTCCTTTTTTGGGGGTGGGGGGGGGCAGCGCAAAAAGCTTAATCTGCAGCATGCTAGCTAACAACAGTCTAATAAATACATAGCAAACACAGAGCATCATTAGCATTTATTTTGAATCATGTTTATGGCCACCTGGCACTTTTATAACTTTCCTTTTATCTTCGTTTTTTTGTCTCTACCAACTCCTACCGAATAATATTTAGCTTTTTTTGTTGCTGAATACCTGATGAGACCTTGATCTCCAGTAAACTTGATGAAAGTGTCAAGAGTGAACCAAAGCAGTAAAGTTGTGAGCTGTAAAACCATAACAAGTGGCTGAGAGATGCTAATATCCTCTGTAGAGCTGAGGGGAACTGCAGAGTGGCGTGATAACTCTCTGTGGGTTCATCACTTTAGGCGACCACCTGTGAATTACATATGGTAATTTGATCAACTGTTAATCGAAAAACATTGATAATTCCAGCTTTAAGGATTTATTAACTTAATTTTCTTTTTCCTCCGACAGGGAAATTCAGCAACACACCAGCATCACAGGAAAGTCCGCTTGAACCTGAAGAGGCTCAGTCATCAGTGGAAATCTGCTTCTGTAACTTCTGTTGGACACAATTTTCCGATAAACAACTGTTAGAAGAACATGTGAGGCATGTCCATGAATCAAAGAAACCATTTTTTTGCACACAGTGCGGCAAGAGATTCACGCATCTCCAGAAATTAAAAGAACATGAAGCTGGGCACGAGGGTCTGAAGACCTATCAGTGTTCCCGGTGTGATAAAGGTTTCCAGACATCAAAAGGATTAGAGAACCACATGCGCGATCACACAGGAGAGAAACCGTTCCCGTGCATTATATGTGGAAAAAGGTTCAAGCAGGAATCTACTCTGAGAGCACACTGTGTGACTCATTCTGGAGAGAGACCACATCTCTGCTCCATCTGCGGGAAACGTTACGTCAGGGCTGAAGAGCTTAAAGTTCACCTCAGAGTTCATACAGGAGAGAAGCCGTACCAGTGTGACGAGTGTGGGAAGAGTTTCTACTACAGGCAAGGCTTCAACAACCATAAGAAAACTCACAATGCGAAACCCATAGGACCCACCAGGCGGCTCGGCAGACCCAGACAGCTGGGGAGTCCCAGGAAGTCAAAGAGGCCCAAGAAGATCTCACAAAGTGCTCGGCCTGATTCAGATGGAGAGGACCTGAACCGGGAGCCTCCTGACCTTGGTAGGTGTGTTGATTAACTGACTTACCTTTCTAAATCAGAGCCCTCCCTCCATGATCATGTGCTTATATACAGTATTTGCTTGCAAACAAATTAAATGTAAAGTGTGTTTAGTTAAATTGTGAATCTAAAAATGTGTAAATTTTAAAAAAGAAATAGAAATTACATTTTAATTTCAGGGCAAGTGTGGTGTGTATTTTAAACTTCACTTGAGATAATCTGTTTTATAGTTTTATATCAGCTGCAAGTGATGAAATGTTGCAAAAGTCACAGACTCTTTAAACTAATCACTAAAATATAAACTATTTGTTGTGTAACCTAACTAGTGGTTCTAATATTTCATGATATTTATAATATTTCATTTGTTGAAACAGGAAACAGACCTCATCATCAACTCGGGCACAGGGACCCTCATGCTGCAGAGAACGACAACCAGGTCAGAGAAATTGCATCTTGTAGTCGTTAAGATGAACTCACTGCCTGTTCACAGACATCACATTCATTGTTACTTTATATTTTTCAGACATCCGTGGGGAACTTTCGTCATTACACAACAGTCAGCTCTCGGGACCAAATCCCCAACACATCTAACTGGAGAGCAGCGGAGGGGCAGGGGGCTTACTGTGGCCCAGCAGGAGGGAGCAGTAGTTTCAGTGCCCTCATCAGGGGCACGGTGGTAAGTGTTGCCAAATCACCCCCATCTTTGTTACCTTGACATCTCAAGCAAACAACCATCTGATATATCTTGATCTCACTTAAATGTATTATGTCACTAGGTTACTGCCGTAAATCAGCGTACTTCCATGGTACCAAACATCTGCATTGTCAAGTTTGACTGTGCCTCACATTGTGTGATAATTGTGTATATATATATATATATATATATATATATTATATTAGGGGTTGACCAATTATGGGCCTTGCTGATTATGGTATCCAATATCAGCATTTGTTGATTATTGGAAACGTTATTTTCGGTCGTCAATGAAATTAATTAATTTAAAAATGTGCTACTTTGGAGAGAAGGTTATAGCCAATGCAGCGGCCTGTCCGGTCTCACTACTGACCATGGTGGCAGACAGGGATCACTGGTTACTACCACTAAGGTCCTTGTGGCCTGGACCAGTTGCTCAGTGGCTCTTCTCTTTTCTCTCTCCTTTGACCGTGTGGTACACTTTTGTTAGCTGTTAATGCATTGTCTTTGTTGCGGAGACAAATACCACAAATCATACACCACAGACCACATAAAGGATCATTAAACAACTGGTCCAGACCACTGTGTGAAGATTTGGGTTTGGACAGTAGGGACATCTTACTAATGTCCATGTGCTGCTGAATTGTCCCCACCAGTATATTTACCCATCTCAAACAATCTTGTTATTTTAACTCCCCTCTGTGTTACCTGTAATATCTATGCAGCAGCTACCAGTTGTCAGATTTTTGTGTTTTCTGCAAAATGTTGGTTATAATGATAAAGGGTGAAAGACTATGATGAATATGGGGGATACTGGACTTTGATCTGGCAACCCCCATCTTCAAACTGCATTACACATTGTTGACCAGCTGCAGGAGCAGTAGGAGAGTTGATGAAAGTATTTATAGTTTAATGGTTTCAGATATCACAGAATTGAAAACGTCCTCACTGGACGAAATTAACATCAGTTTATATTATATTTATATTTCAGTGTTTAAGTGGTCACTAATTTGTGAGGCGAAAAAATTCCCAAAGTGAATTAAGACATCAGGTCCTTTTTAAAGAAAAACTGAACTGTAAATAACAGCTGAGCTTAGCTAATAACAATCTTCAGTTGTCCGTCCAAATATATATCTTCTTTTAAATTAGTTGGAGGGATAGTTAATATTTAATGCCTCCCTCCCCCTTTTAATCGTTGGATCAAAGGCAGAGTTCTTACCACATATGGGTCTCGAAGACATTGCATCTTGAGATCATTTTCATATTAGTTTCTAAGTTAGTGTTTTGGCCTGGCTGAATGGCGCTATCCGTGGTACTGGAAAGGGGTGTGTGTGTGTGTGTGTGGGGGGGGGGGGGGGGTAATTCTGCCATGTTAACCCTTCGTTTTGTTGTGTTCGATCGCATCCCGCGTGTGTCCGCACGAGGAAAGGGCAAGACACATGGTTGGACTGAGTGAGGCGTTACCTTGGTTACACGTCACTAGTAGTAGCCTATCGACACTGAAGGCTACTGTATACACACACCGCGGGTACAGAGGAACACAAATGCAGGCTGGAGCAGCTCGGGTGAGCGAAAGGAGCTGTGTGTAGAAGGTAAGGCAGCGGATATTGCCGAAGTTATAATAAACATCATAATCCTCCACGCTGAACTTGTAAAAAAACACCACAGTCTTATGAACAAGTTCATTTGTTGATCCGGCAAGAGAGAGCAGGAGATGGAGGGAGAGAGAGAAGCCATATCGCTAGCTGCTAAGCTAAAGTTACTAGCAGATCTGAATAGCTTGTAAACAACTGTGGAGTTAGCAAGAAAGTCACTAAAAGGAGAGCTATGGGTGCCTGAACAGAACCGGTGTAAGGGTAAATGTATGGCGGGTGTTTGGTTGCTATGGTGATAAACATATATAGCAAAATTAGCTGGGTTGACACAGAGCAGCAACAATTGCTACCAGTGACACAGAGTCTCCCCTGCAACTGGAAATGAGACGACACACGTTAGCAGGTGAACTCACTCACTACTTAAAAGAAATCAAAACACTTACAAGAAATTAAATAATAAATAATTACAATTATCTCTTGCACACACTCGGTTTGCAGTTTATTAGGTACACCTTACTAAAATTAGTGCAGTCTTATACAACAGTCCTGCAATACATCCTCTTTTCATGAAGGTTATACTGTTTAGATGTTATTAAAATTGTTTTAGAGAGTTGTTGATTCAACTGTATGATCATTTTGGAAGATGTAGTGTGTGGTGGCCTTGAGCTGTATTGCATTATATGGGAGGTGTTTCTCATATTTAGCCTACCTTCATTTATATAAATGTGGTGGACAAAATAATAAAAGCACCTGGACACCACAGTTGGTGTCCATAGACTTTATGCAGTAGTTTTGTGTTGGAGTTTGTGTTATTCTTAATTTTGACTCCCACAATTTTAATTTTTACTGCAAATGTATCTGTTCCAAATATTGCTTGTCTGACATCTTAGATACTAATAATCGGTTATGGCCCTGATAAAAACATATTGGTTGACACCTAGTCCACAGGATCAGTGTTTTCAGACAGACAGGTCTTCTTTAGGGATGAACACCATTCTTCCAAAAGATATTGCCTCATATGGTGTTATTGTGATGGTGGTGGAGAGCACATTATTATGTCATTAACTGTGTTATCTGTTGGATGTGGACCTCTGGGCAAGTCAAGGGCAGATCATTAACGTATATGCTAAATAGAATTGGTCCGACCTGTGTGGAACTCCAATAATATATTCAGAAAAAGATGAGCATGTGTCACTTATCCTTGTGCACTGTTTTCTTGAGTTTAGGTATGTTTAGGTATAATTAAAAGATGACAGCATCAACTACACCTCCCATATCAAGACCAGGTTTTATTTATTCAATAAAAGGAGCACTTTGAGGAGGGCTGTCCAGCAGAGCAGCCCCCCTGGCCTTCTGGGACTGCCTCTGTAGCACCACCCTCAGAGCTGGGTCTCTGCTCACATCACCCACGTAACTCCACATCAAAGAAAATGCATCTGAGCAAGAGGGCTAGAGAGGAAATTGAGTACGAAGAACAGACACCAGCAACCCAAGGCCAGGACCACAGCCCAGCGCCTAAGGGTGAGTTAGTTATAGTCCCTGGACAGAAGCCACCAGAGATGCGTAGTTTGATTTAGAAATCACAGAATTAATAAAAGCATCACATCAGCCTCATTGTGATTTTTTTTTTCTTTAGGAGAAGCTCCAAGAAGGCCAGAACCTGTGGATGAACCTAGCTCTGATAAACAGCCTCAGGAAAAGGTGTCTGCAGAGCCAAAACAGAACCAAGTGCCACGCAGACCAAAGAAGAAGTACGACTGTCCAACCTGTGGAAAAGTTTTCTGTCACAACTCCGCTCTGAAGCGACACCTTGTGATTCACTCAGGAAAAAGACCATTTAAGTGCTTCATATGTGCAAGAGGATTCACCCAGAGTGGAAACCTGAAAACACACATGAAAGTTCACAAAGGTCAGAAGTAACAAAGTGACAGCTTTTTCTTTTTAATGCATATGTTTGTGGTCATGTGTTTTTTAGTAAAATCTTCTCAACTTTACCTCAATAATAACTTGTATCTTAATTTTTTTCCCTGATTTAGTGAAAGATATGTTATGTAGATTTAATCTTGTGTTTCTACTACTGTATTTTATGCTCAAAAGTGTTGTCTTACACTATAACTTTTACTCCACCCATACATTTTTTTCTTGACTTTTGTTTTTCTGTTTTAAAAGCTGGTGTGACTGTGTCTTCACTGTGCAGAACTGTCCAACGATAAATGACTACAGATGTGTTTGTTTTTCTCACAGGAGAGTTACCAAATTGGACATTAGTTCAAGAAACGAGTCGTCCTGAGGAATCTCCTGTGACAGTTCATGTGTGTGGAGAGTGTGGAATGGACTTCCCTCAGAAACAACAGCTGGAAGAACACAGAGAGAGTCACAAAAAGCCTTACGCGTGTTCTGACTGTGCCAAGACATTCAAAAACGAATATTATTTTAGACTGCATAAGCGCATTCACTCTGGAGAGTCACCTTTCCTCTGTTCAGAGTGCGGGAAGAGCTGCATCACAGCAAGTTCGCTAAAAACGCACGAGTTGACACACACTGGAGAGAAGAATTTCCATTGTGATCAGTGTGGGAGGGCATTTTCACAGTCCTCCCACCTCAGCATGCACCTCCAAACTCACACTGGAGAGCGACCTCATCTCTGCTCTATCTGTGGTAAAAGTTACTCCAAAGCAGGTTGTCTGAAAGTTCACCTGCGAGTTCACACCGGAGAGAAACCGTATACCTGTGAGAAATGTGGCAAGTGCTTTTATTACTCTCAAGGTTATCAAGCGCATTTGAAGATTCACAACAAGAAGCCAAAACCGCCAACAAAACCTCTGGGGAGACCAAAACAGCAGCTGTTAGTGGTAAATAATCAATAATGTCATCTGGGTAATCTGAATGGACATACAAGGAAATAGTAAATATATTACAGTTTCCCATCTGTTATCATGTGAAGTTAAACATCTTTCAATTAACTGATTTAATTGGCCAAGCAATATGGTAGGAATCATATGTAATATTACAGTATGTGGTGTACAGTCTGCTCTATTGTTATTTGTATTGGATAACAGTGAAGTAGTAATAAATCACCATATTGTGAGTTATTGTTAGTTTTATTTGTTTTTCTTTGTGTTTTTCTTTGTGATTCGCCTAAACCAGGACCAGACTTGATTTTATCTAATAATGTGACTCCACAGTTTAAAATGTTATACTTTAAGTATATTTTACAGGCATCATCTAATTACTTAATATACACTTGTTGTTTTAGTCAGAACTTTTATTTTTGTATCTTAATACATAAATATAAGATTCTCTATGCATTGGATTTTTATTTTTTTATGGTTGTGCAGCAGGATCAGAGTGTTGGTGTTACCTATTTCATTGTTGGGACTCATTTTAGTATCTAAAGCATTTGGTCTGATGGTTCCCAAACTTTTTCTGCCAGGTAATTCTGTCAACTCAGTTATTGCTGTGAAAAGGTATTTTCTAATTGCCACATTTTTTTCCTGATCATGTGCACCTCCTGCCCCTCAGTCCAGGAACCAGTGACTAAGTCTCAGAACATGATCCATCCATTCACCTCTGTTTAGTATCATACTTGGTTCTAGGTGTCAGTTAACAGAGTATTCTCCAGGGGGATCCTGAGTCATACCCCAGTGTGTTCTGCCCATAGGTTCTGCCCATAGGTTCTGCCCAGTGTTATACCAGTCCAATGTGCCTGATAGATCTTCAGAGGGAGGCATCCAGTATCATGAAAAAAATAAAATATTTTGAACTTTGCTGCTTCTTTTACTGTGCTTGACCCAAGGACTGTGGTGGAATGTAACTAAGTCCATTTACTCAACTACTGTACTTGAGTATTTCCATTTTGTGCTAATGTATACTTTCTACTCAACTACACTTATGTGATATCTTAAGTTAATAGTTAATTTGCATATTCAAATTATTAAGTATATAAATTGAATAATAAATTATTAATAATTAATTATAATTATATAAATTATTATAGATTAAACTACCAAGCAGTATATAAAGTAGTTGAAATTAGTCCCACCTTTACCAGCTGCAACATTAAAGAGAGACTTAAACAAATGCATCAATAACTCCAAAAAAGTATTGTTATGTACTGTTTATTATACTGGGCCATTCTCCATAATGAATACCGTATTTTTACTTTTGGTACTTTACATATCCATATGCTGATACTGAAATAGGATTTTGTATTTATATACTCTTATTGCTACTTTTACTTTAACAAAAGTACAGCTGCTTCAGAGTAAGTTCACGTACAAACATAATAATCAAGTGGTTATTCTTTCATTATTGATGAGCATAAGTTATAATTTTGTTGAATTATAGTTGACGTTAATACATGTTATCCTCGTGTATTTGTATATTAAACAAGCGAGTAATGTAGAGTACTTTACGTGAGCATTATTCATTTGATGTCTGTGCCCTGTAGAAAATAAAACTTCAGTGCTAGACTTTATATTAGCGGGGCTTTTATTGTGGTGTAAAAGCCAACCGGAAGTTCCTATGTTACTGTAAGTTGCTAGCAGCTAAAGCTAGAAAGGTTATCATCAGATCCAAACGATCATTTAACTTAACTCATAAGTTGGTTGACATTAATTAGATACGCTGGCTGAGCACGTTGAGACTGAAAATGAGAGAGAAGTAGAAACACTGCCAAGTCTTTTCAATAAACTTCTATCGAGCGACTTCTTATTACCTGAGGGAAAAATCTATGCTGAGGTTGGTCAAAATGTCTATTGTCTGTTGTTAGCTAGCTAAGTTAGCGAGTGTTGTACGAGCGAAGGTGAAATTTGAAGCAGAATTATTCATTTCACGTTGGACTCGAGGGTGATCGTATCGGTTCTGTTGTTCTATATTTGTTGCAGTAGCTTAGGGGAGTTGATCGTTAGCTAATTGCTAAGATAATCAGAGCTGGTGAACGCCATGTCTGTGGCTAGCTGGCTAATAACACTTTCACTGAGGTGGCCGTTGACCAGAGCACTGGTCACAGCACGCCTGAGACTCATTCAGAGGTCATGTACTGATGTCTGCTGTGGACTGCGTGTGCTCCTGATGCAATTGCTTTTATTAATACACCATGGTTACCAACAGGTTAGCTAGTTAGGCTGCTGACAAACTTAAATTACAAATAATTAGACTTAAATGCATGGAGCAAAAATTAGTCCTCTTAGCTAACGCTATTGAGCTAGCAGGACTGCTCAGTGTAGATGAACGGCAAAGGGGTTTCACTCACATTTAAACCACCTGAAAGCACATGAAATTTTTTTGACAGTATACACCGCAACATAATTTCATAATAATAAATGCTGCCCTTGAGTAGTTGTTAGTTGTGTGTCTAAATTGTAAAGACAACTCCTTTTTAAGGTGGACTATCCTTCAGCTTTAAAGGCCCAGCCAGGTTCAAGTCCCTGTCACAACAAAGCATCCGCCCTGCTGAAGTGTCCTTGAGCAGGACAATGGATGTGTTCCAGGGTGGAAGCACTGTTGTGTAGCTGACCCCCCCCCCCACCCCATTCTGTAGAGGGGGACAAGTGACAAGAATACCCCCCCCCTCACCCTCCCGATAGAGATTTGCAGCTGGAGGCTGAAAATATGAGCAAGAATGAAATAATAATAAAAAAAGACAGTCGCTGAATGAATCCTTGAGATTATTTTCCTAACTGGTCCTAAACGCACGAGATAAATCACACNCTGTTGTTCTATATTTGTTGCAGTAGCTTAGGGGAGTTGATCGTTAGCTAATTGCTAAGATAATCAGAGCTGGTGAACGCCATGTCTGTGGCTAGCTGGCTAATAACACTTTCACTGAGGTGGCCGTTGACCAGAGCACTGGTCACAGCACGCCTGAGACTCATTCAGAGGTCATGTACTGATGTCTGCTGTGGACTGCGTGTGCTCCTGATGCAATTGCTTTTATTAATACACCATGGTTACCAACAGGTTAGCTAGTTAGGCTGCTGACAAACTTAAATTACAAATAATTAGACTTAAATGCATGGAGCAAAAATTAGTCCTCTTAGCTAACGCTATTGAGCTAGCAGGACTGCTCAGTGTAGATGAACGGCAAAGGGGTTTCACTCACATTTAAACCACCTGAAAGCACATGAAATTTTTTTGACAGTATACACCGCAACATAATTTCATAATAATAAATGCTGCCCTTGAGTAGTTGTTAGTTGTGTGTCTAAATTGTAAAGACAACTCCTTTTTAAGGTGGACTATCCTTCAGCTTTAAAGGCCCAGCCAGGTTCAAGTCCCTGTCACAACAAAGCATCCGCCCTGCTGAAGTGTCCTTGAGCAGGACAATGGATGTGTTCCAGGGTGGAAGCACTGTTGTGTAGCTGACCCCCCCCCCCCCCCCCCACCCCATTCTGTAGAGGGGGACAAGTGACAAGAATACCCCCCCCCTCACCCTCCCGATAGAGATTTGCAGCTGGAGGCTGAAAATATGAGCAAGAATGAAATAATAATAAAAAAAGACAGTCGCTGAATGAATCCTTGAGATTATTTTCCTAACTGGTCCTAAACGCACGAGATAAATCACACTACAGCTGCAAATAACAATTATCATTATGGCTTAATCTGTGGTTTATTTTCTTAATTGATAGTGATAATACTACTATAATTTACCAAAGCCCAAAATGATGGGTTGAAATTGCTAGTTTTATGACCAAAATAATTCTGATTAGATTCTAATCCTAATTACTAGAACCTTAAATATGATATCTGGGAGATATGGACAAATAAAGGAGAGTGAAATTGTATCTCTTTGTCTGTCAGATCAAGGCAGGTTTGTTTAATGCTTGATTTATTTGAAATAGTTTATTAAAATACAAAGTCTGTATATAACAGTCCATCTGTAAAAGGACTATGATTGACATACTTATCATATAACACACTGTATGTTTGTAAATATTGCAAATAACACTTGTCTCCTGACTTACTTACTTCTTGTGGAAGTGTGATTGGTTCCATTATATTAAAGTCTTGTAATTAATGTGCCTTCTTTGCTGTTTTTAATTAGCCTTTCTGACAATCCTCTCAGGAGCTATGAAACAAAATAAGAATATTAAAACTGAAATGAGTGTGAAGATCCTGATTGAATCATTTGGTTTGATTAAAATCTTTGTAAATCTATGAGTTGGACCACTGTTGTTCAGACCACAGACATTTTAGCACAAAATTGTAGTACTAGTAAAGGCAGTTAAATGAATTTGGTACATCCTAGTAGTGTAGTACTAACACAGTTATTATTTCTTGCTGCATAGGGCTAAACGATATGCAAAAAAAATCATATTGGGATTATTTTGACAGAGATTGCCTTTGTGGTATGAGTCAAGATTTTAGTGGGAATTATAAAATGTCATATTCACAAAAAAAATAAATAAATAAAAAGATGATGTGATTTTTGCAGGGGTCTGTACCAAACAAGCATGTCCCCTTACATCTGCATAATATGATTTGTAAGCTGGGGCAAATCTGTAGCACCACAATGCTTTATTTATAGTGGCATGTTGTGACACATTTTACCTTTATCAAAAAAATTGGAGCTCCTGCAATTTGGATATTACACTTGGTCATATTGTGTTTTTGATAATAATATTTCGAAGAAGTGTTCAGCCCTAAATTCATAAATGCAAAACAGCCAAACCGGCCAATGTGAGATTAGTGTTAGCACTATAATGTACTAATGGTCCAAGTCCACAACAGCAGTGGATGCCCACTCGTCTGCCACACCCGGGAAGCTTTTGGCCATGTGTTCTGATATATATTCAGTCACTTGCTATAAATTTCTTATTGAATGTCTGTTTACTGACTCATGATTGTTTACCTCTACAAGGTTGTATATTTGAGAGATGGGGTCTGAAAACCCAGACGACTTTGGACCAGCTGTGCTCCTCGCTGAGGAAGAGCAGCAAGAAATAGGAGGTCTGATCAACTCTGATGGGGAGGAAGTTGATTTCTCGGATCTCGGTGAGTAAATAAAAAATTGCAACAGCAACAGTACAATTCACTGAGCGAAAGGGAAAATAGAGTCCCCTGTTCATTGTAATGGAGTCCAATACAGCAGTCGTGTAATGAATTCTAACATAGTGCAAATTCATATTTTTGAGTTGTAGACTTGGTACTACTACTTGCCAAACATTTGACACCCATGATTGAATATTTTCAGGAGCTATTCTTCATAGTAAGTGAAGGTAGACTAAAGGCAAGCGTGTTTTAAACACAAAGTTCAGATGCTGTAAACAAGACAATCTACTGTGTGCTGCCTGTTTAGTGTAGTATTAATCATATGTAACGACAGAGTCAGCATAAACATCCAGAACCATCTCCAGGCATTCCCAGCTAAACCGGCTGACAATCCTGTATCAGATTAGACTGTGAATGTGTGGCAGTACTTGAATGCACCATGTCTCACAACATATTTAATTAATTATTAAGACTAGAGATAACAGCGGTCCTACTTTTTTTCTCTCTTGATACAAGCTCAGTTACCTAAATATCGTATTGGCCAATACCATGTCTCAATATGAGTGCTCTTTTTCTTTTTTCCAATTTAAAATCTGTATATCTGTATATTTGTATATCCATGAGAAGCTTGAATGTGTTATGGCAGAAAAGCATTTTTGCACTGACTCATACGTGACTCTGTTACACGTCTTTTCAAGGAATTTGTTTTAAAAAGGTCTCTTCTTTTCGTTTTCATCGATAAAATGTTGTCTTTGTCTTTGTGTTCACACAGGAGAGAGCGCCGTCCACGGTATCGGAATAGCAGAGCCTCCCTCAAAGACGTTTGACCAGACTGAGAATGAAAAGCCACCGTCTCTTCACAGCTGCTCAGTGTGTGGCAAAGACTTCCCTTACGCCTCTAAACTCCAGCGCCACCTACGCACTCACTCAGGAGAGAGGCCTTTCCCCTGCTCCATGTGTGAGAAGAGATTTCCAGAGAAGGGGCTTCTCATGATCCATGAAAGGGTCCACACTGGGGAGAAGCCTTTCCCATGCACTTTCTGTGAGAAACGATTTGCCAGTCAGGGGGAGCTCAGGCTTCACCGGCGGACACACACCGGCGAGAGGCCGTACCACTGCTCCATCTGCCTGAAGAGCTTTTCACGTCACTGGCACCTGAAAACACACTTAGAGGCCATGCACTCGGAGGTTGTTGCCGGCTTTACGAGGAAGAAGTTTCCGTGTTCGGACTGTGATAAGAGCTGTAACTCGGCAGCCGAACTGAGAGATCATCAGAGGACTCACACTGGAGAGAGGCCCTACCAGTGCTCTTTCTGTGACAAACGGTTTGCCTTGTCGGGTACTCTAGTGAGACACGAGCGTCTCCATACCGGCATTACCCCCTACCACTGCTCTGACTGTGGGAAGACATTTGCACAGCAGTGGACGCTTACGACGCACATGCGAACTCACACGGGGGAAAAACCGTACAGCTGCACGCAGTGCGATAAGTCTTTCGTAGCTCCCGGAGAGCTTCGGAGACACACAAGGATTCACACTGGGGAGAAGCCGTACACCTGCGCGGACTGTGGGAGGCACTTCTCACTGGCAGGAACTCTCAGAAACCACAAACGGTCGTGTACGCAGAACAAAAATGGATCAATTACAGGTCTCATCTCAGGCCCAGTTCAAGCTCCAGATGGTGAATCATCCCAACAAGACCTGACCAACAACATCAGCTCTGAGGTAGTGACAATACACAGCAATCTCAAAGTGGAATCTGTGTTGCTTTTCGTGGAAGTTTCATTGAGATTTTCAATTTTATTTTCTTCTGCATTTATACATGTAGTTCTTCAAACCTCACAACAGTTGTTGCCTCCATTTGCTCTGATGAAACTTTTTTTTATAGGTGTCTGGCAGACAGAGTTTTCCCAGTTCGGTCGAGCCCCGTTCTTCAGAGGGTCTTAACTGTGACAAAGCAGCTCAGTGTGAAAATAACCAGAGACAGTCAGAAGACCGGCAGGAGGTCACCACCTCCAGTCCACAAATGAATGTAATAGTGAAAGAGGAGGAAGAAGAGGAACCTTTGTGTGGTACATAAACATAATAAGATTCCAAATTTCCTTCTTTTATATATATATATATATGTGTGTGTGTGTGTGTGTGTGTGTGTGTGTGTGTGTGTGTTTTAAAAGAAACATGAATGCCTTTGATGATGATTTAACGAGTGGTTTTCCCCACTAGAAGAAGCTCTTGACCAGGCGTCCAGGGGTGAGGATTGCACCATGTCAGAGGAAAGTGAAGAGCTGCAGCAGGAAAGCAACACAGAAATTAGGATTACAGTGATGCCATCGTTGGTGAGGATCAGCAGATTGTCCAGAGCAAGGGGGCATTTCTCATGATTCTCATGAAAGGGTCCACATCGGGGAGAAGCCTTTCCCCAATGCACTTTCTGTGTGAGAGAACGATTTGCCAGTCAGGGGGAGCTCAGAGCTTCACCGGGGGCACACACACCGGCGAGCAGGCCCGTACCACCTGCTCCATCTGCCTGAAGAGCTTTTTCACGTCAACTGGCACTTGAAAACACACTAAGAGGCCATGCACTCGGAGGTTTGTTGCGGGCTTTACGAGGAAAAGTTTCCTGTGTTCGCGACTGTGATAAGGAGCTGTAACTCGGAGCCGAACTGAGAGATTCATCAGAGGACTCACACTGGAGAGAGGCCACTACCAGTGCTCTTATCGTGTGACAAACGGTTTGCCTGTGTCGGGTACTCTAGTGAGACACAGCGTCATGGTCCCATACGGGCATATTTAACCGTTCTAACACTGCTCCTGACCACTGTGGAAGACATTTGCACAGCAGTGGACCGCCTACGCACGACGCACATGCGAATTCAACGGGGGAAAAACCGTACAGCTTGCAGCAGTGGCGATAAGTTTTCGTTTCGTAGCGTGCCCGGAGAGCTGTGCGGAGACAACAAGGATTACACTGGGGAGAAGCCGTACACCTGGCGGACTGTGGAGGCACTTCTCACTGGCAGGAAACTCTCAGAACCACAAACGGTCGTGTACGCAGAACAAAAATGGATCAATTAAGGTTCATCTCAGGCCAGTTCAAGCTCCAGATGGTGAATCATCCCAACAAGACCTGACCCAACAACATCAGCTCTGAGGTAGTGACAATAACCAGCAATCTCAAAGTGGAATCTGTGTTGCTTTTCGTGGAAGTTTCATTGAGATTTTCAATTTTATTTTCTTTCTGCAATTTATACATGTAGTTCTTCAAAACCTCACAAACAGTTGTTGCCTCCATTTGCTCTGATGAAACTTTTTTTTATAGGTGTCTGCAGACAGAGTTTTTCCCAGTTCGGTCGAGCCCCGTTCTTCAGAGGCTCCTTAACTGTGACAAAGCAGCTCAGTGTGAATAAATAACCAGAGACAGTCAGAAGACGCGGCAGGAGGACAGCGGCACCTCCAGTCCACAAATGAATGTAATAGTGAAAGAGGAGGAAGAAGAGGAAACTTATTTG